TAACTTGCGATTTTATGCAATAGTTCTCCGGTTTCTAGAAAATGAAATTGCACGCCAGAAAGCGCGCATTTTCTTTTATATCCGATCCGTACGTATTTTAAACCGTTTGCAATAGGATTTAGGGACTCGATACCATGCAGATAAGACATTTTCTTGTAAAGCCGCATTAGTTTTCCAATTTCATTTGAGCTACTCGCAGAACGAAAATGTTTCGGAGCAGGGTTTTTTTTCGCAATTATATACATGATTTGTCCGAATTTCTCATTAATGTTTCACCAGCGTAATCTGATTATGATCGATTTTAAAACTCGTTAAGCAAATTCTGTGCGTGATTGATGAAATTGCATAAATCTGTAATGCGCTGGGGGATTGTGCATCATTATTCCTAAGAGCTTTTACATGCATTTTAGAGATTGCACCGTCATTCACAGTGACGTTGTTGACTTTCCGTTGATCTTTAATACTTCGCCCTTCAGTTAGCAAAATGAAATCAATATTCCAGAAACAATCTCGTAATAGGTCGTAAAATAATTAAGACTCTATGAAGACATTAAGACTTTTTATGTTCCACAACCCAGGATTGTATTAGAGACATTTTGAGTTTTTGATTTTATCTCTGCGATTACCTCGGCAATTACCCATGTAGGGTTTTTCATTGTGTTAGGCCATGATGCTTTCCATATTTTAATGAAATTAATTTTTTTAGTACTACTTTTGTTTCAAAGACAGCTTGGATGAATATTGCAATTTAAATTTGTGCATCTACGTATTTTCGCCATACCGCTGCGTAGGAAAAAGGTATCAAAATGTGTTAGAATATGGGAATATAAAAGTATCTTTCGCGCAAGACTATTTTATTGGTAGATTCCCGAAGGTACACACACAGACGTACAAGCAATATACAAATGACAAAAACGTGGTTAAAACAAATACAACGTATATGTACTGGATTCCAATACAGCGTGAGAAACCCATGCATACTTGCACTCTTCCACTACATTTTGGTTAAAAATGGCTCAACTAGTATTGCACAACATTTTTCTTGGCATTTTTCTGAACACTGCCAAAAACCGCATTTCCATACGAAGTTTGCAAAAATTTATAACTTTTTTCGTTGTTTCTCTCGTGTATAATGGTTTTGTTGTATTTTCCGAATATGATGAACTGATATTGCAGCAACCGTCGAGAAGGAAAAGCGAATTTGCCACTGTTATCCAGGGAAACTGGTCTTCCAGTGAAACAACCACCGACGTTTAACAAAACTCATATAATTTTTGGGCGCCAGGCGTGCAAACCCATTAGTAAATGGGTTTCGGATTGCGATATACATAAAATAAAGATAGGTAATTAAATTGAAACATATGGCTTAAGCTAAAAGCAAAAAGGGGGTTAACAAATAAGGAATCCTATGAAAATAAATTTATCTACCGTGCCTTATTCACGTAAAATCGCTAGATAAATAATTTAACCAATTTTAGTGATGATGATGCAATTTTCCACTTCAGATATCAACATCTTTCGCAAAAATCAGAACTTGTCATTTCAACGACAAAAGCGAAAGTGATATTTTCTCAATGCCAGTGGTACCAACTACTCCTAAGAGTGCATTCAGTCAAATCACCCAAACCAAGAGTACATTCAACGAAACAAAGAGACGTTACACTATGTAAATAAAAAATTTATAAATTATTCTTGGATTTTTAGCTAATTACTCATCCATTTGCAATGCGTATGTCCCATCCAAGAAAACAAGATTTCTCAAAAGCGGTACGAAGTTCACGGGGTCTGTTATTAGTCTTAATATATAAAACAGAATGTCCATTAACCTAGCAGAGCAAGGCCAGCAGAACACAATCAAACTACCTTAAAAACCCAAGAAAATGAAAAGTGAACTAACTATAATTAGGTGCTAATTAAATGTCCTATTTCGGAATTAAATGCTCCTTTTTTTTTAAATTATGACATGTTCTGCCAGGTTCATATGAACTCAGCAGAGCACTACCTTAAAAACCCAAGAAAATGAAAAGTGAACTAACTATAATTAGGTGCTAATTAAGTGTCCTATTCCAGAATTAAATGCTCCTTAACTATTACCGGATTCAAAATTTCTTTTTTGTACTCCGTAGGCTAAATGAACTTGTTTTGTCGATCGTTAAGGGTCAAAAGTGTCACTTTTTCTCCCAGAAGGATTAAAATGCAATGAGGGACGAAAAGTGACAGTACACAACATCTTTTTGAATTTGGGAGGCTGTAATTTCCTCATAACGTTCAGTTTATATAAACCTGGCAGAGCATGTCATAATTTAAAAAAAAGGTGCATTTAATTCGGGAATATGGCACTTAATTAGCACCTAATTATGCAATATGTTTGATTGTGTTCTCCTGACCTTGCTCTGCTAGGTTCATGGACATTAAAACAGAGCCGTGTATCCACTTGTAACTCAAGAACAGCTGGACCAATGTTCATTGTCTTTGATTTGTTGCAATTAAAATATGGCATCGCCTGGGTATAGAGTTTCAGGGTAAAATGAATCTGCCCGAAGTTGTTCTATGAAACATGTTTTGAGCTGTCAATCTTTAATTTATCAAACGTCAATTAATTAATCGCCTAGATAAGCACAAAAGCAAACATATTCTTATTTGTGGACGTACAGATAATAATCAGCCCTGTGACGTATCAGAAACCTCAAACTTAACGTGCAGGTTATAAGGCAAAAAAAAATTGTTATTTAGTATGGGTAAATTAACGTTTTCTACAAATAACCTGCACGTTAGGTTTAACGTTAGTGATCAGGGGGTCGAATGAAAAGTTTTTAAAACTTTCCGTGCTACGTGGTTGCTATGGAAGCTAGTTTTTACGTCATTCGAGTTGTGTTCACACGACTTTAGTTTACCCTGACATTCACATACCCAACCCTCCCAGATCCTCCTGCAGACTCTAAATTAGTCATCTCGCTGTAGTCTTCTTACGTGGCGGTACCAGTGCAAAGCAAAATTAAGTACTTAGGTATATGTTAACTCGCAATACTTTCCAATATTTAAAACGTGCACAGTGTGATTTTGCAACACATCAACACTTTCCGAAATTCCCACGAAAACGGGAACAGAAAAAACAGAATTTTATGTTTTACAGTGGGAAAGAGACATTTAGAACGTAGGTTTCTTCGAACGCGTGAAAGTGTACTTCCCGAAGTTCCCACAGGAACGGGGCACGGGAGAAAACGGGATTTTCCAAAGACGGTACGAAGTTCGCCGGGACTGCTACTTAATAATAAACTTCGACTTTTTACTATAACTTATAGGGGTAGATTCATTGATTCATGTTCGAAATCTAATGAAATAATTAGAAATTCGAATCTCATCAGAAGCTATTTTTGTATGTGTTGCCTATCTCGTTACAATAATTAACAAGAAAGTGCGATTTCTTCCTAGAACTTCGACGGGAAGATACACCTTTTTATTTTCCGACTATTGAACTAAATCTATACAGGGTGAAATGTTGTCTGGAACCACTTCAAAACAACATTTTTGTAAGAAGCTTTTAATGGCATCCAAAATTATAAAAAAGTTTTCTACCCAATCTACGTACTTTAAATTTGCAATTAGTGGCCGAACTTCTGTATGGTCAAGGGGGGCAAATATTAATTTCAACTATTAGTTTTCATTAGAAATTATTACAGAGTACACTATTTTGGATATGACAGCATAAAAGGAGATTAGGATGACTAATAAAAAATAGTGGCTGCTATATGCCATGTAGAAGTACGCCATTGACCACGTACGTAGGTTAGTAGCAAACGTTTTATAATGTTGGATACCATTGTTTTGCCGGAGTGATTTACTTTTTTTTCGTATTTCCCCACGAAATTAGTACGTAACCAACGATTTCGCGATATTGGTCAAAGTGTAGGAGAAGAAATTACCTTTTTCTGTTCAAATCATGTCAGGCTCTCATAATTTTTCCTTCTTTGAAAGTTACAGCGTAAAATCAAACAATTAGATGAATTTTCATTCAGAATCCCTATGGATATTTAATGCATTCTGACAAACTTGTTCAGTAGCAGTGTGTGTTATATATTCATTTTTATTCGTACAACACTTTATTGCATCATTTTGTTATTCACGAATGAGACATCTTTCAATTACACTCAAAATAGCGAACGAAAAAGGGCGAAAATGCAAAGAGTAATCGGATTCATTTTTATGTGCGCTACGAAGACGAACGTAACATAATTTCACATTTGACGCGTTAGAAAAAGAATTTTGATTACATTTACGGAAACAAAAGATCCGGGCGTAAGAATTCGAGCGCAAATTATCCGCCGCATTTTTACGAAATTAGCCGTTGAATGAGAAGAATATATACCCCACTTATATTAAAAAACAGACCGGCATTGTCATCATCTACATTCCTAACCGCCTTCGGGGGGGTTGAATTTTTATACTATCCCCAACCTCGCCTTTCCCCCCTTTAGCGATTTGAGTGATTATTAGTACACGTCTGCGTTTGAAAATCCGACGGGGTTTTAACAGATGGATTTGAAATATCCAGACTTAAAATGGAGAAGCCGCGGGCGATGAAATAATTTTCGATTTCCCTTTTCACAACGGAGATATTGACGGGCGAGTTGTGTTATTATGTTGCGAATTTAATATTTTCTTTGGGAGAGAGACCTTAATTATCTTGTTTCATTTTGTTCTATTCGGCGTTAGCAAATGGCTTTGTTAACCGTATTATTATTCAAATTTTGGTTTTTTGCTCTTGCCGGATTGTCCTCTGCTAATGGGTTTATTTAAATGTTAATGGGAGATTTTAATGTAGATGTTGGGAAAAGAAATTAAAGGTAGCATTAGTTCTACAAACTTCGGTATATTAAAGAAATGATCTGTTGTTTAAAGTCAAACACGTGACTTTAATATATATTACATAAGGAACGGTGTAGCGTGATGTGAATTCTCTTTGGGTGCACCAGGTGCTCAAATCGATTGTTTTGTTGCAGATAAACTTGCGGCTAATCCTTGTCAGTGGAAAGACGAAAGAGTTTCTGTTCTGTCCAAGCGATTCCGCGGGAGACATTGCGCAGTATGTCTTCGAAAATTGGCCGGAAGGTAAGCAAATTCTTTTCAGTGACGACAGATTAATTATTTCAGTCTCTGTCTTAATCACCTGTTGGTATATAGAAACAATTGCAAAAATGTAACAGGTTGACTAAACTGCCAATTTAAAAAACAAATTTCATTACAAAGATTACATAGCAACCAATTACTGGCAATTTATTGGCATGCCTACGTCAAATTATTTCTTACAAATTTGATTGATGTATGAATTTACTGATATAAAGGGCGACTACGCAATTTCGGCATTTTTTTATTATCTTCCAGGTCAATTCCTCCTAAGATTCCGAATCGGAACCCCCTTATAAAATTGAAATCATATTTTCTCTGATGGTGTGCCTATAAGACTACAAGGCATGTCCTGATTATCTGTCTTGTCTTCCTGTCTGTGTGTGTGTCACGGACTATTAAAACGATAAATCCGGAAAGGAGATTACGTTTTCGGCGTTAATTAACAAAATGGGCTTTATGGAAATATTTCAAAATCATTATTCGTTCGCTAATATTTGATTATACGTACGCGCACAATACTGTATCGTGCATTCGTGCATGTTAAATGAGCAATTCATACGCATTACTGTAAAGAGTAACAAGTATAAATTGTGCACCAATCTTGTGCAGATAAAGCGCGTTTTTTAAAGGCCGCCTGGCATACATTCAAAATCCTCCGATACTCCATTTTGCAGATTTTGCCTTTGACAGTACTTTCCTCCGACAAACCGTTTTCGAGATATTCGCTCTTAACGTTTTGACACCACCAGGCCACTTCCAGACGTCCAAGTCGCCCTTTGTGAGTACCTTTTGCCGACAATCCGTTTTGGAGATGTAGGCAAATATATTCGATCATGATAAGGGGTCGAGAAGGAGGACTATGGTTGGTAGAAATTAATTCCTTTCGTTGAGACCTTTCATTAGAGTACCATGAAGGATAAAACCTCCCCCCCCCCCCACACACCTAATCCAACCCCGTTTTTTGATAAGAGGGCAGAAAGAAGGGCAGTAGTTGGTAGAAAACTGTTCCTTTCGTTGAGACCTTTAATTAGAACACCATGAAAGATAAAATTAATTTCTAACCCCCTCCCCCCTTCAGGTGCCGTCACCCACTGATCTCGAAAAAGAGTCGCGCGGGAAATACTTTGTACAATCCAATTTATTTCGATGAGACCTTTCATTAGAACACCCAACACCATAAAGGGTAGAACGTGTGTTTGCACCCCCCCCCCCTCCCCATTTTCAAATGTTTAACTTGACACCACTAAAGGCATGCGTATGCAAAATCTGAGACCGATTGAGTGTGTATGTATGTAAAAGTTATGCACGTTTTACTGACAAAAACAGCATCTCAATAAATAATTCATGGAGAGCCCCCCCCTTTAAGACAGCGAAGTTTCATGGCCGTCTGGCACACCTTCAAGGTATAGGAAACAATTGCAGAACTCTAGGACCATTCCCCGAGAAGAACGGCAGAAGTGGGTCCGACTGACGAACAAAACGCAAACATTAGCACATTTTTTTTTAATTTTTACACTCTTCTACATATTCCCTCACGAGCGGCATCCGCTATTACGAAAAATCGCGATAATTCAGACTTCGTAAACGTAATCAACACTTGAGCTCAACTCGAATTAAAACACTTTATATAAGGACGGATCTCTTAGAGCACCAACTACTTCTTCTACAACAGACTTTTATAATCACTAAGACTGACTGTCTTTCCAAAACAAATTCGATTACGACAAATTGCCAAACACACACCCACCAAACAAAAAGCTTGACCAAAAGGCAACGTTTCATCTCCATCTCTTCTACTTAACGACTCGTCCCTGCTATACCTTCAGCCTCTACTTCTTTATCAAAATAAATGCGCCGTCGAACGATAAACTGAACACCTGTATTTACTTCGGCGAAAAAACATCTGCTTATCTTGAAACTAATTAGAGCGGTAACGAACTCTTATCGGACTGACCGGTGATAAATTTTTATAATTAAATCCGGATGTCCCTGAGCTTTTATACAATTAAATTTGCAAGAACAAATCAAAATAAACAAAGCGACTATGTAAACCGAATTAGAAATTAAATAAATGTACTACAAACTACCGCCTTTCTTTCTACCCCTTATCAAAATAAGGAGCTGAGGGGCGTTGGTACTCTAGTGAAAGGTCTCAACAAAAGGAATTAATTTCTACCAACTATAGTCCTCTTCCTCGACCCTTTATCGTGATCGGATATAATTCATTATATCTCAAGAACTTGTCGGAGGATATATTGAATGTTGATGTGAAAACTTTAAGAGCAAATATCTCGAAAACGTCTTGGCGGAGGAAAGTACTCTCAAAGGCAAAATGAATCCTCTGGACGAAACATATCTATTCTAAGTCGCAACGAATATCTTGAAAACAAAGTGTCGGAAGAAGGGTACCCATAGAAGGCAAATGGAACATCAGGACGAGACGGTGACGTCAAAACTTTCAGAGCAAATATCTGCAGAACGGACTGTCGGAGGAGGTCGAAAAGATGGTCTAGGCAAGAGACATCTACTGGCGGTGGAAAAACTATGAATGTCTCGAAAATGTTGGAGGAAAGGAAAAATGCAATATTTCTAAGAGTTTCTCTAAGGGCTTGATTTTTCTTGCATTATATAGCGCAGATTTTGAATGTAGTAAGCTAGGCGGCCTTTAAATGTTTATGTAATAATCTACTAACAAAGAAACATCGATAAATATAGGATGCTACTATTTTATAACCCAACCATTTACTACGCTATTTCGATTTCAAAAATGCGCTTTATCTGCAAGAGTTGTGCACAATTTATACTTGTTTAGAATTTTATAGAGGTAAAGTTGAGATTTTTGGAATTGCACGACTGGTGGAATTGTAAAAGTCCGAAAGTAATTGGTGGAATTAGCGATCGTTTTGTTCTGCTTATTTAAATTCTATAGAATATTATTCTCATATTAGCTTTGTCTTAATTGTTAGACGTCATATCTGAAAAGGCGTTAATTATTTCATAAAGAATAGAGGGGATTAATCTGCTGGAAAAATCGTAAGGCATTCCGTTCTGGGCCACTGCGTGGTTCAAGTTGACAATTTTGATTTCATAATTTTTGGCAGCAAGTAATTCAAAGTGTTATCTGAATTTAAGCGTTAAGACATTATTTGTGTTAATAGAAATAAACCTGATTTCAAGCACACGTATTGAAAAAAAACCTTCATAAAAGTAAAGTGTACGATTTTGCGTGGTGGAAATTTCTCCTATTACGGTAATGAAAATCGTTAAAGAACAGTTAGCATTACATTCCTGTGGTAGTTAAATGTTTTGCTTTCTTGTGTCGGGCGGATGTGCACCCAAGTTTTCTTTTCACACGCCTTTGTCTTGGTTTAAATTAGCGTCTTCTTGTTCCATTTAAGATAGTATCACAAAGGTCCTAGTTTGACTATGGCACATTTTTCAATTAGATCTATATTTGCCGATATAATTTGTGACCACCCTGTATAAACTGAAAAGATGCAAGTGGAATTGGATTTCGTTCCGCTTTCTTTTTGAATTACGTTGTCAGAAATGAGTAGGTATTCTATTTTTATATACACGCCATATACCCTTATATGGTATGGATTAATGCACCGGTCAACTGATTATGGTAACAAAACTTTTTTTCCGACACCTGTTACCATTCAAGTTATCCGATATAGAGAGCCCGAGAAAAAAGCCGTTTCCTCCCAGGAAAGTAGCATTAATTAGTTAATGCGTACTAACCGTAATTATATTGCCTTTTACAAATATGATGTTACTTCTAATTTAGCAGCCATAAATAGAGTTACCTACTCGTACTTTACTATATTTTGAAATTACGAAACAAAGTTTATTATTAAGCCTCAAGTTTGAAGTTCGGGGCCAGGGAGAATATATGAGGCTATGAGTAAGAGCCGTTAATTAATAATTAAGGTAACGATAACTATGGCAGAAGTGTGGAAGTTTGAAAACTTTCCTTGTACGTAACAGGGATTTGTACTTACTTTACTCTTAAACACCTTGTAAAAGAATGTTCGAGCGCAAAAGGTGGCCTTTATTTGTCCATCTTTCTGTGGTTCCGTGTTTGAATTCTTTCAATACTTTTATATAATCTACTTAGACATAAAAGAGACGGAGGGCAAACAGAATGTTTTGCACATATGCACCTTCATTCCACTGTTACCTCTATAAAAGTGTTGAAAATGGGACATCCTGTAACATGGAAAAAGTGAGCATTTAAGGACTCGACAGGCCTTCTTGAAAATCATACTTTTGTCTGTTTGTCCATTCTACGTTTTGTACACAAAATCCTAGCGGCTTGAAACTTGGAAAGCTCTTGGCCCAAGAAAATAACGTTATTGAAATTAGCCCAATACAACAAAAGTCACCCACCAAAGTTGCAGATAAAAAATGTATTGGTAACATTGTTTAGAAATTTGATGGACTTTAATGTTGAATGTAGAAATAATTTACGTTTAGCTATCTATCCCACATTTCCGCTGGGAATGTACAAATCAACTGTATTTTAACAATGAATTATTTGTTCGGTGGACCGTTTACCAAGCTAAATTTACTCAAATTTTGTTTCAGATTGGTGTCAAGAGGCAGTCTCAAAAGCGGAAATATTACGACTTATATACCAAGGACGATTTCTACACAGCAACGTAACACTAGGAGCTCTGGGTTTACCGTTTGGAAAAACGACAGTTATGCACCTCGTTCCAAGGGAAAATCTTCCTGAACCTAATTCACAAGGTAAAATTAAACTGCGAGAACCATTGATTATAATCCAATCACTTCCTTTTCCGACAGTAAAGTTTCTTTTATTTTCGGTCATTGTCATCGGACAAGGATGGCAATTATACGTATAATTCCAGGTCTGTAATTTCATTTTGAGACACCTGCTGATCTTTCCATTTTGGTCTTTTCGTGTACTTAAACTTTCCTTTTTTAATGTTTTTGGTTTTTAACATCTGCGAATTGTCGCGTTCCTTATTTTTTTATTTCCTTATTTTTTATCTTTCCCAGCTTCTAGATTCATTTTTAGAGTTTTTAATTGCTAGTACTCATTGTTTCCAGTGGTTAGTTTTCTACTTTCAAATGCTCACTTTTTAGATCTCTAGTTTCATGCTGCCTTTTTACTGCTTCCATTTTTAGCGCATTTTTGCAAATTTATTTGGCCGGCGGGCTGGCAGGCTGGCTGACTGGCTGGCAGCAAATGCGGGTCCGTAGAAGAACACGCTTGTGGAAAGATGAGGAGTGTACATGTACCTACGGGGCAATGTAATTAATAATTTTATGGACGGGGCTACATGATATGGGGTCGGCGACATCTGGGCACCATCCCCGAGCGCGTTTTACTAACTTGGTGATTTTTCAGTTTCTTATCTTCTAAAGTTTGGTCCGATTGTGTTCAAATTGATGTCGTCGGAAACAGAGCTGGGCAGAATACTTTCAAAAAGTATTTGAATACTAAATAGTAAATACTTTACACAAATCAAAGGTATTTAAATACTAAATACTTTTACGTCCAGCACAAGCGAATACTAGATACAGATACATTGAAAAGTATTCAAATACTTTAGAATGTATTCGAATACAAAGTATTCTAATACTATAAAAAGTATTCGAATACAGTAAGAAGAATTCAAATACTTGTCACTCAAATACCTACATTAAAAATTTAAAATAGTATACTAGATAAAAGGAGGAGTAAAAGCGTATTATTATTATTATTATTATTATATTATTATATAGGAGGTACCTACTAGGACCTTTCTTATACCAGTTATATCCTTAAGAGTATGTGTACCAGTTTTCAACGCGTCGTGCCCATGATACGTACGCCTTTCTGAAATTAATCCTAGCGATTTTGGAACAGATCCATTTTTGACCATCCGTTTGTCCGTGTGCATGATAGTTTCTTTAGAAACGTGCGATCGCTTTGAAAATTGGTCTTAAGGATATAAGAAAGGTCCCTATTGTTTTTACGTTACGTAGACTATCGAGTCAAAAAGTTTCAGTCCAGGATCGTTCGGTATTCAGTTGTATCGGATTTTTATATTTGATTTTGTGACAATGGAAACTTTCCCTAAACAATTCTAAATTGTGCTCAAATATTTGAATAACTTAATAGTACTGCCTTTTTTGAGACCCGAAAAAAAATTATCTCAGATCGACCCGGAAAGAAAATTTTCTTATAGAATGTGGCCTGTAGAATCCATAATTTCAAACAGTTCCAAGATTGGGCTACTAGTTCAAAAGTTACAGCCCTTTGAATTTTCTTTCGAAATTAGTTTCTAGTCTATAACTTTTGATTGAGAAGTCTGATCGAAAAAGTACGAATTGTTTTGGATTCTACGCACCAAAATGAATAAGAAAAAGTGTTTTCCCGAGAAATTTTGGTGCAGTCGATTTTTGGTAAAAAAGGAAGGTTATACACTGCCTTTTTTTGAGGCCCAAAAAAAAAAGATCGACCCGGAAAGAAAATTTTCTTATAGAATGTGGCTTTACGAAGTATCCAAATACTTTGCGAAGTATTCGAATACTAAATATTTGTGAAAGTATTTGAGTTACAAATACAAATACTGCTTCCATAAAAGTATTTAATTACAAAGTATTTTCAGTTATTCGGTAATATCTCAGTTATTTTTAAACATTTTTTACAAATGTAATGGGTTTTTTTAGTCCACAAAAAGAGGCAATTTTGCTCTTATTTAACCTACACTGCATGTCTCATCGTTATGGAGATCCCAATGGTAGACCACGAATTTGAACCATCCGTACAACTTTCTAGTTTTCAGTTTCACACACTTCTTGTTTTTATTGGCTCACCCGCTCTTCTGCTCCTGATTTTTTGATTGATTGATTAGATTTAGTATTTTCAGATTCCAATTTTCCACCTTCCAGTAGGTACCATTTTCTTGTTTCAAATTTTATGACCCTGTTTTCCATTTTTAGATTCCACTTTCTTGTTTCCAATATCTTGTTCCCGGTTTCCTTTTTGTGTTTGTTTTCCTGTACATGTGGTCGTGTTTGCATCTTCCTGTTTTTGGTTTCCACTTATACATTTGTAGTAAATTTTAATTAATTTTTCTGTTCATGTGTACTTTCGTCTGTTCATGTTTTTGTTTTCGTTATTATTGTGGCGCGCTACCCAATTACAGATGGGTGAGAGGGGATGGGTTTATTTATTTATTTTATTTTTTGTGTGGGCGGAGTTTCAGCAGGTGGGTGGGGGTTTGCATGTCATTTTCTTGTAAAATTGTGGTCGGGTAAAAATCATATCTTGCTTTGTACCATACAAATTTGTAAACCGATTCACTCCCAATCCCTAGTCTAAGTCTTTAAAATTTAGATCCAGCTTTTATCAAAAACGGTTGCTTGGGGGGGGGGGGGAGGTAGTTCTTTAAATAGATTGTAATTTACCTTAGATTCTTGACCAAATTATCGGCGACATTGCAAGTTGGTATTTTTGTTTAATAATTGCACGTTTGTATTTTTGTTTCAGATCAACGACAGAAAAGTAAAGGTGGCAATAGTAGTTGTTGCTCGGCATCGTGCAGTATTCTGTAGATGGTCGTTATATCTTACGATGGCTTTATTTTGTATTATTAAATTACAAGATTATCGACATCCCAGTAAAAGCTACTGCTGACCATGAGACGAAAATTGTGCAAAGCAGTAAAAGACATTCAAAGAAAGTTTCCATAATGTTGTGATATTGGTTAGTGTATATTATAAATATATATCAACATATTCATGTGCCAGACTAGAGTGTGTGATTTCGCATACACATTGTTCATTTTTAACTAAAGGAAAATCCTCTACTCATCATTCGTCGTTATCACTTTTAGTTTATTTATATATTAGTTATGTATATTGTTTTATAATCATAGGTGTACATTTTTCACTTCTTCATCCGTCATGCATTACAAAACGTACTAATGTTTATATTCCTAGTAAAATTGTTCAAGTTTTAGTTGCAGTATTAGGTGATTGTTTTAATTATCGATTTAGCAACATTAACTTTTGAGGAAGACAAATCTTTGATAGGTAATTAATTGCGAATCTGTGTTTTAATTACTTAAGTAGCTATATTTGGAGTTACCTACGTATATAACTAATTAATTGTATATTTCTTAAAATCGCATTTAAGAGCCCAAAATATCCCTCCATTTGATTTCGGCTACCTACCGTTTTCTCGCATGTTTATATTTATTTCATTTGTTCTTCTCACTTTAATTTTTATCCTTGCAATAAATGTAATGTTAGGTATTACATAACATTTAAAATGCAAAATTCGTCCCCAAGCTTGTTTACAATTTAACACAGGGTGTACAATACATTAAATGTACAGCTATTTATAAATGTATAACATTTGCACAGCTTTAATTTTTTTAGTACAACTAGAGTTTTATTTTCGAAAGGCATTGCTAGAATCGTAGAGCAAAAATTTTGCCAATTGTACATTAATTTACTCCTGTAATTATTTACCTACCAAAACTGTGTTAATATTTTTTAAGAAGACTTAATACCATTGTAGTTTAACTTGTCGAATAAATGACGATACACAGTGTAACCAACTATTCTAGCATTGCTACATTTTGGATAAGGTATTTTGATGATTTATCTTGGTGGTGTTAATAATATAAGCTTGATGGCGAAATGTAATTTTAGAACAACGATTACCTACATATAATTGTTTTTAATCATCACTTTTCAAATAGCCAATTTGAAAAAAAAAACTTTTATTTTTCATTGTATAGGATGTGGAAATATTTAATACTGAATCAAAAAGAACAAAATGTAGTGGTTATACAGGCCTGTACTGATTCGAAACTGTTAGAATTATGTAATTACACTATAATTAATGTTGCTACTACAAATGACATTAAATAATATCCTATGTTCAAAAATTTAATGTTTACATAGTTATATTGTAAATATGTAGTAGTTTAATGATAAAATGTATTTTTGTTCCCTTAAGCATTGTTTAATAATCGCAAATAGAGTTTAGAATAAAACTGATTACAAACCTGTTTTTCATTTTTTGTTTCAGCCATCGAATCAGTTGTGACTTCCATTGCTGAATTTGTGAGATCTTAAATTTGCCTCTCTTCCCCCCCCCCCTCTCCCTTTTCTTCTCTAAAATTCGTTGGATCTATAGTTCATTAGGACTTTCTTGGGATACATTACCAACATTTTAAAAAACCTTCAATACCACAGGTATTGAATTTGTGGAAAAAAACACTTTCTCACCTGGGGGATTCCCAGTGTTTTAACGGTTTACTCGTTTTACTTCTGCGTAGTTATTTAATCGATTTGAATATGTAAAAAAACAAAAAAAAAATGTTATTCGGGTCAAAGAACCAATATCTTGAAGCACTTATTTTTAACAAATTTTGACATTTTTTTGAATTTATGAAACAAGCATTGGTTTTTTGGAAATATCACGTAAATAAATTGCCTTATTTTGAAAATTTTGATACAAATTGTTGTCTCCACTTCTGCAGAATGCAGATAATCATGCTTGATGTTTGACGATTGATTATTCGTATCAAACTGCCTTCAATCTCCAATCGCTATAAAGTTGCCATCCCTTTCCACCTTTTAGTTACGTTTTTTTGAGGGTAAATCGTACGTGGGTCGAAAGTCGCCTCCCTCTCGCCCTAACTGTGCGCCTCCGCAAATTTGTTGTCAAAATGTTTCACCTTCAATACCTTCCCTGTCCAGCATGTCATTTCCTATGAAGGTATCCCTACCCAAGTAAAACTCTGTTAACCTCTGAAAATCGGCTTTGTAGCTCAAGTGGTAGAGCGCTGGATTACAAAACCGGAGGTCGAGTGTTCGAACCTGGGCTGAGGTAGGAATTTTTCATCTGTGACAGAGATAGGAATTTTTTTTAAACCAGTTTCGAGCATCCTGCCGGCTTCTCCAAATTAGGTTTTCCTGCAGTTTTCCTAATTCATAAGGTAAATACCGGAGTAGTATAGAACAACTTAAGACCTTCTGCAGAGGCACCTCTAAAAAGCATTCTGCGGGTCACTCTGTGGTTTTTACGTATCTCCTCCCCTGAACAGATATAAAATTTGAGATTTCATGGGATGGTTTTGCTATTATTAGACTCGCGAAAAACCACAAACAAGTTAAGAAGTCTACGCACATGTGCGGGGACGATAGCACCTTTTTCATAGGTAAGAGGTAGGTACCTTGCCTCTGCCTACCGAAAATTTTACCAAGACCGAAACAGCACATAAGTCAAGGGCTAACGCATTTTGCAGTTTCCACGATGAAAATATTGAATGAAGACAGCACAAAATCTAGTTCCTGATGTGCATTAAGTCAATGTGTTTTGCCGTTTCCCCGACGAAATGGGTAAATTTTTCCCAAATTTGAGCATCATCCCAGAACCCAGAGTGATTAGCAAAAAAACATTTCTTGCTGCACTTATAATGGTGAACCTATATCTATCAAACGAGACTTACTCTCACTACATCGTAGGTGGTAACGACTACCCATTCGAGTATTCGGCAATCTTGTAAATTAAACTGCCCCCAGTCTGTTTTTCATTTACTACAACGGCACTATAGAGTCCTTAGAGACATTTATAAGCGTTTAGAAACTTCACTATAGGACAGCTCGGTTTCGTCGTTGTAGTGCCTTACTATAAGACAGCTCGGCTCTGTCGTTGTATAATGCCTCACTATAGCACAGCTCGGCTTGACCCTACTGCTTACTATAGGGCTGCTCGTAGTCGAATCAATTTTAGCGCGCTGCCCTAAAAAATAAACCCCTCTTCGACGGTGGGAATGATTGTTTCACAGCGTCGGGGAAAACGCCGTGTTGATTTTGCTGACATGTCGATGTGTTGAGCTTTTAAGTGCTTGTTGGAGACTCTAAAACCATTGAAAACTCTTGGAGGAAAAACATTTGGGGCCTCATGAAGGTTTAAATATTTTCAAAGACGTCTTAAAAGCTCTCATCAAAGGCTGTTAAAAACCTTTAAAAACATATGAAGCGCTGAGACTCAAGAGACTTTTAAAGACTAAGGTTCCGAATGTTCTTGAGTAAAGATTCTTGATGCAATTAAACTAACGCAGTAGAAAACTGTAGAAGAGCTTCAAACAGTCTTAAAGGCTAATAAATGTGATGCCTTTAGAAAGTTTTTCGCAGCTTTTGGAGACACTTGGCCAGGGGCGGACTGGCACGGGGGGGGGGGGGATTGCCACCTAGCCTGTAGATCATAATGGCCTGTTGGAAATTTATAAGTATGTGCTGTATTTAGTTTCTTGCACTATTAATAAATTATTAACACGTTTCTCTAATTGGGGTTGATGTTAGGTTGTTAAAAAATTCTGTTTTAATTGAAGTGTTTTACAATGAATTTATCATTTTTTGTCGTAGTATTTTGAAAGTGCTGAAATACAATGATAGGCGACGCACCTCGTGTGGATTGTATATTTTGTTACTTTTAATTATCAGCTGCAATTTAAAAAAAAACTGTATGGTAATTGATTTTCGAGAAAGGAGTACTTTAAAATGTTTTTGTGGTGCACCTCAGAGCTACCCCCCCCACCTTCATTACTACACTAATACTTTAATGGCCCGTAAGTACCCAGTCCGCCCCTGTGTATAACCTTCCTTTTTTACCAAAATTCGACTACACCAAAATTTCTCGGGAAAACACTTTTTCTTATTAATTTTGGTGCGTAGAATCCAAAACAATTCGTACTTTTTCGATCAGACTTCTCAATCAAAAGTTATAGACTAGAAACCAATTTCGAAAAAAAATTCAAAGGGCTGTAACTTTTGAACTAGTAGCCCAATCTTGGAACTGTTTGAAATTATGGATTCTACAGGCCACATTCTATAAGAAAATTTTTTTTCCGGGTCGATCTGAGACAATTTTTTTTTCGGGGCTCAAAAAAAGGCAGTGTATAACCTTCCTTTTTTACCAAAAATCGACTACACCAAAATTTCTCGGGAAAACACTTTTTCTTATTAATTTGGGTGCGTAGAATCCAAATCAATTCGTACTTTTTCGATCAGACTTCTCAATCAAAAGTTATAGACTAGAAACCAATTTCGAAAAAAAATTCAAAGGGCTGTAACTTTTGAACTAGTATCCCAAAGTGCATACAATGATAGGCGACGCACCTCGTGTGGATTGTATATTTTGTTACTTTTAATTATCAGCCGCAATTTAAAAAAAAACTGTATGGTAATTTATTTTCGAGAAAGGAGTACTTTAAAATGTTTTTGTGGTGCACTTCAGAGCTAACCCCCTAACTACACTAATACTTTAATGGCCCATAACCTATGCAATTCCACCTGGCCCGCAGTTACCCAGTCCGCCCCTGCACTTGGCCACTCTTCAAGGGATTTAGTGGCTCTGGAATATTTTTAAAGGCTCTAGAATGTTTTAAATGGCTTAGGGTGCGTAAATATAAACGAGGTAAATATTTTATAATCTGTATAAGTAGTTTACGACAAACGGACAGAGAAAGGCGTCGCAATAGCGCATCTAATGTTGTAAGACAATACTTTGACACATACTGCTTAAATTTGGTGCACAAAAGGTCATGACTTAGGGAAGAAGTGATTAGACATTGGACTTCTGGAGATCAACCCCGTGAGACGGCATCAAAGTCCAAAGAAATTTTATCGGCGATACATGGCATGTGTTAGAAATCTTTTATCAAAAGCATTAAAAAAAGTGTATTATGCGTGAGATACGTGCCTATGATATTTTTCTCATCGAATCCAAAATTTTAAAAAAATGCTGACATTATTAATTCATTAATAATAATATTGATTAATTATGTGTCTCTTAACGTCCTTGTATTATTCCATCCACATACCTGCGCATGCGCGATTCTGCCCACAAGCGTTTCAGCTCTTTTATGTTCAAAAATATGTGTACAAAATTTGGTTCTATTGTTCCAATCAACTACTTTATTACAGATTATCGACTTTTTATTTAGATTTGGGTCTAGTATTAGTACAGTAGTATAAATAAATACCAAATACGTTTTTTGGGTACAAGCATTATTTTATACAGTAGGTACAAGATATTCTAAAAAAACTGGCAACATTGCAATGTGGCGTATGTGACGCTAACTGTACGCCATCTTGAATGATCCGCTAGCTGTTGTTGTTTGGCTGTTGTATGTATGGAACATGGCCGAGAACGATATAGATTTATACGCCGACGATATTGACCAAGACTTCGCTCAGGTAAGGCTCCGTATTCCTTAATTATTCTTAATTCCTTTCAAAAACGCGGACGAATCCTTCGGAAACGCCCGCTTAAGTTTTCTTTTTTCAATGAACTTCAAATACCGTTACCGGCATTTTGTATCTCATGTGTTTTTAGGACGATTTCGGAGGTGGTGACAATGTAGATTTATATGACGACGTTATTTCAACACCCGCTACGGGAACTGCTGGTGATAATGCAGAGTCGAACCATCAACCTCCCGCCGACACAAATACGGAAGAGACAAACGGCACCACTTATCAAACTCAAGGGAATAATATTACACCTAACACAATCGGACGTAGACATCAGCTTTACGTAGGCAACTTGACATGGGTAAGTCGATCTGTAAAACGTTAACATCTTTTACATTAGTCTTTATTAGTGGACGACAGATCAAGATATCACAGATGCTGTACGTGAAATTGGAGTGAACGATTTTCACGAAGTGAAGTTCTTCGAGCATCGCGCCAATGGACAATCCAAAGGTTTCTGCGTGGTCTCAATGGGCTCGGAGGCAAGCATGCGGCTCTGCATGGAACGTTTACCCAAGAAAGAAATCAACGGACAAAATCCCGTCGTTACCCCTCCAACCAAACAGGCCCTAAGTACCTTTGAAAGTCAGTCCAAAACTAGACCGTCTCCACCTAATAACGCGGGCCCTCGCGGTCAGCATCCTAGCCAATCTAACCAGCACCTTCCTCCAGGTTCCCATCAGAATTTCCCGCCCCGGATGCCGATGGGTTCGCCAATGCGAGGACCTATGCCACATCCCGGAATGCAAGGTGGACCGAGGATGCAGGGACCGCCGCCCGGATTCAACGGACCGCCTCAGATGAATCAGGGGCCGCCCAGGTTTCAAAATCCGCAGTGGAATGGACCGAGACCTAATGGACCTCAAGGTGGACCTGCAATGCGTGGCCCACCGCCTGGACCTCAAGGTCCTCCTAGGCCCATGGTAAATATTTTGTTTTTTTGTCCAAATTTGTTTGCTGTATTTGCTGTATCATCAAGTTTTTATTGGTTTAGTAACAAGTTGATGTACAAGAGGTTTACTGAGTGATACATCGTGCATATTTTATTTATGGGAAATTTGCACTACTGCAGTTGCCACCACTATGCATTTCAAAGATTTGTTTATTGTGAGGTTTGTTGTTTATGAGTAAGTGGTGGATTATACAGGGTGATATTTTCTCACCCATGAACTCGGTTTCTGGTTTGTTCGGTTTCTATCATGGAATTTTGGTTTATTTCACTTGGAATTGATGCTCTTTTTTGTGTAGCAGCTTGTTTAGCAGAGATGTCAAGGGCTGTAGTTCAAATCGGGCTGCCACGTATGGAGTAGAAGTACGATTTGTTGCTTCAAAATAAGGAAATAAAATATTACTGAATTTTTTTTGGTAATTATCTTTCTTGCTTAGGTTTTTTTGTGTTTGTTAAATACACAGTATGCAAAGGGTAAGGGTCAATTATCTCTGTTATCTGAAAATTAATCTTCTAAATTTGGTATGTGCATACTGTAAAGAACAGAGAATTTATTGACTATAATATCGATGGTTTAACTGGAAACTTCACCTACTAATTTTATTAAACTGAACATTATGAATTTTTTTAATTTTTCAATATGCATTAAAAAACTATGGTAAAAAATACCATTCACAAAGTTTTTTGTTTGTGTGCCCTGGATATGCAAGATTATACTTATTACAAGATAGCAAGGCACAACAGGGTGTTCCAGATAGAGTGCGATAGCTTGGGTACTTTTGTATTATTTGAAGATAGCGATTAGATCTTTTTTTAGTTAATAGTAGAAATATTGATTTTTAAATGTTTATGAAGTGTTTAAAAACCAAGTTGATTCAGTGCAATTTCTTCTAGACAATTAAAGGCAAGAGGTGTGTCCCAATTAGCACATTAAGTAATTTATTTACCCAAAAATAGCATACATTCTCATGAATAAAATACACACGTATGGAATATGAGAAAAACTTATTTTATAGCAGATGATAAATTTACATTTTTATAAGTTTGAATGAGTGTCTCTTTAACAGTAAGGGTAGATAAATTGAACCAAATCATTGTGCATTCTAATGACATCTATTATTGTTATTAAAAATTGCACGCGGATCACGAAATAAAATGAAGTTCAAAACAGAATACAATATTGTTTCCATGGAAACGACGGGAGGTCTAAATTAAATACCTACAGAATGTTCAGAAGTTTTATAATTATTTCTGTGGTTTCTGCTATAAAATAAACCTGTATGATATACGACGATAAAGGGAAACTAACCACCTTGTGACCATCCCTTTATCTTCTTGTATAAGAAACAACTATTAGACAATGTTGTGCACTCTAAATATTACACAACATAACGCAATGCTGTAGACGAACATCCTGCAGTGTGTCCGGACTGTCACTGTGAGATTCGCGCGTCCGGATTAGTATGTGTCTATATCTCGAAAAATTTCTTTGTTAATTGTTATGAATCTATAAAAATCTGTTCTGTCTGATCCTAGAAATGTGCTGAAGAAGTTTAGAATTTTCTTGAAACATCCGTTGAGATGCCTTTAGAATATGATAGATCATTTTCCTAATAATACTTTGGAAAAGAAATATAAGTAACTCCATCACAGAAATTTCTCTAGAAGTCTCCTGAATAATTATGAAGTTTACCAGAGCTCTGTTGATGAATGAATCTTAGAAATCATTCTAGGAACTTCCTTGTAGCTCTGTTTGCTGACTCATTTATTCGTCAAACATTGTCACATTATCCAATCCAGATTCATTATCACAGCCCTGGGGGATATGTCAGTAAAAAAAATCTTCCAGCAATATTCTCTGGGGAACTCTCAAATTCTTTGGAAATCCATGTGTAGTATGTCAAAAAAACTTGAATTGTAAGAAGACCGGAACAATAATTTTTATCAGTAAATTGAAGATGCAAAATTTGTCGTTTAAAAAGCCTCAAAACTTGCGTTTCTTTAATTTTTCCACAATTCTGACTCCAAAATTCCTAAACATGGGTGCAATAAAATTCTTATTTTGACAACATTTGGTATCTGAGTATCTTTGAACATTAAAGTAACAAAACCAAGAAAAAATTGGGAGATTTCTAATTATTCCGACGCCTGAAATATACGTTCATAATGAAAAGATTTCGCTCTAATATTTAACGAACTTTGTCGATAAAATGGGCATAACTATTTTTTGGTCTGACCAAAAATTACAGTTGGAATTTGAATTCTCTATAAAAACTAAATTTCATTGAGCTTATAATTTTTTCCGCACTCCCATCAACCTAGGAATCTGCTCAGTTTCTTCATAGAAACCTATGATAAATGCCTGCTATCTATATACAGTGCGTAAATTGTAACTCGGAACATACAAATCTCCTATATTCAATTCTTAAATATACAAGTCAAATACCCCTTAAGATATGCAACCAATCCTACCTACTTTCATCTTTGGCAAATGTGTTTCAATAAAGGGCACTATCTGCATTATTTATTAAATTAAGGTTGTTGTCTTACCTTTTATGTGTATATGTATGCAGGAGACTGTATGTTCAGAGTTAAAATTTACGCACTGTATATTTTGAAAATGAGACCTCAGAATATTTTGAAAATTCACCCTATATATAGTATTTTATTTTAAGATGCTATGTAAAGTTCTATTATTTCATGTATAATGACCTATACTTACCCTAATTTACCGTATTTCTCATTTCTTCTTTTCGAGATCTAGTTACCTGACATTCGTCGCGGGCGCCCTGTTTATTTTTCTTATCAGTAAACTAATTAGTTTTTGGTACCAATGACAAAGAATTAAAAATGTGTGTATTACTATACAGGCTAGCATTTGGGGGTCAAACTTTGGCTCCCCTTCTCATTTAAAGTTCAAAAATAAAGCGACACAATATATTAAAAAGAACTAATTGTCCCAATAGTTGGTGATTGGCTAGCACAATTATCCAAATATTAAATCCATCTGTCACACTTAGAAACACTGGAAGATTTTGTGACTATTACTATTTTCCTCTCAATTCATTTACTAGGAATAAAGTAGACATTTGGCAACATCTGGAGACCCAAACGAAGAAGTTCCTTGATTAATTTTAGGAAAATTTCTTCAAATTCAATATTTTAGTTTGCTTTAATTTGTAGGTAAACGGAATACAGTGGGCTCCCGATTATTCGGGAGCCTTTTATTTTGATTATGGACAAACTGTGATGGTAAGTTAGAAATAATATGATACACTAATATGTATTTACTCTAAATAAAGTGTTAACGAATATGGTGGGATCAACTTCTACTGCATTTACAACTGAACATATATAGTGTCTCTCAAGTCTTAAGTTGTTTACAATTTCGTATAGTACTGCAATTTTTAAATGACCTAATCCACGTCTTCTACAATTTTCAACGGAAAACTTATGTTTGTTATGGTTCTATAATGTTGAACTTCTTCGACTGTGATGCATAATAATATTTGATTGTTTTAGTGTAAGGTTTAGTTAGTTTGTAAACATTTACCTAATACTCGTTTATAAGTAAATGTCGGATTAATTGTTATTTAAATTGCTTAGAATTGTACAGAGTGAACTAAGATAAGACACTTTCTTATAGACAGAAAATTAGACTGCTTGCTCGCAAGTCACAGGCGCAAACATAATGCGCCTCAACCCCAAAGCCATTAGAACCTATTAATCCTTTTTACTCGATTTTTGAATGAGCCATAATTTTTATGCAGTTTTGGTGTGGAATCGTAAGGTGGTAAGGTCTTTTGTAATATAGGGCATTTTTGTCTTGTTAACTACAAGGCAACATTATTATTCAAAAATTGAACGAACACTGCAGTATATCTCAGCTGTTTTTAAAGAGAGGTTGACGGTTTTCGCGACCCTGTGCCATTTTGTTGTGAAACTTTTAATACTCCAAACATAATCAATCTAGCTATGTTTGCGTCTGAGATACAGGCTGGAAACGAAAAGTTTTACTTTTTGAGATGTTGTATCTTACTACTCATGTAAAATACGTGGCGTAAAAAAAATTTTTTTGGACCGCTTGTTTCTAAGATTTTTCCCAAAGTTGGTATTTTTTAAATGCAACACCCTGTATATCTTAACGTCGATTGTTTTGCATTCTTTTCCCTGATTACATTTATGTATTACAACATATAGTTCTTTAATTTAAGCAATGAATATCCAATAGAAACAAAGGTATGGTTTCGTTGGCTAACAACACACAATAAACCTCTGATTCTATTGGCTAGTTCTTAACAGTACAGTAGCATTAAATCATTAAGAAATAGCCAATAGAAACAAAGGTTTATTGTTCATCACTAAGCAAGGATTTCTTTCTATTGGCCATTTCGAAATGACACTGACTAATGATGATGATGGTTTAACCACCATAAGTGAAATTGACTAAATTCGAAAAACGCTCCGTAGTGAACAAACGGTTTAAAGATGTAGTTATCTTTTACTTTTGGCAGAAACCTGAGAAAAAACGTCTACTTTAGTCCACTTTGTACAGATAGTTGTAAAATACCATGTATACGCTTTATTTATATTTCTGTAATTGTGATCACACTGTTTATGCAGTTCCAAGGACCCCCACAAATGCAAGGCCCTCCCCGAGGACCACCAAACCAAGGCCCTCCACCACAGGGACCTCCTCGACCGGATTGGAATCGACCTCCAATGCAACAAGGTTTTCCACCACAAGGTCCGCCTATGCAAGTGCCCCCGAACATGGGGCCAAGAGGACCTCCACCGATGGGCGCACCACCTGGTCCGCAACAAGGACCACCTCAAGGCCCTCCAGCCCCTCATGTCAATCCTGCCTTCTTCCCACAAGGCGGGCCCCCACCGCAAATGCAACACCCGGGTATGCAACCGGCCCCGGGAATGCCACCACCACATGGACCGCCACATGGGCCGCCCCATGGACCACCCCACGGCCCACCAATGGGTCCTTCACAAATTCCACAGCATGGTCCTCCTCACAATTATGGCCCACCTACAAACGTGCCGCAGCCTCCTTATGGTGGCCCCCCTGTCTCTGACCACAGACCTGATATGCCCCAAATAAGTGAACAAGAATTCGAAGACATAATGTCTCGTAACCGTACGGTTTCTAGTTCAGCGATTGCGCGTGCTGTGTCAGATGCGGCGGCCGGAGAGTTTGCCAGTGCCATCGAGACACTTGTCACAGCAATTTCACTTATCAAGCAATCGAAGGTGGCCCACGACGATCGATGCAAAATACTAATTAGTTCGTTGCAAGATACTTTGCGAGGTATAGAAGATAAGAGTTACAGTTCAGGACGGAGGGATCGTTCTCGATCTCGGGACAGGTCACACAGGCGCGCGCGCCGTGAGCGTTCAAACTCAAGATACCGCGAGCGAAGCAGAGATCGCGATCGCGAACGTGACAGAGAACGCGAACGTGACCGCTACTACTCAGATTACAGGGAGCGAGAGAGAGAAAGGGACCGATCTCGTAGCAGAGGAGGAGACCGCGAGAGAGAACGTGAAAGAGAAAGGGACTATAGAGATCGTGATGGGGAGGAAAGGTGAGTTTGTAACCCAATTTATCATAAAAGTGATCTTTCTCTGTACAGTGCCGCCCAAACTAGGTAAGGGTATTCACATTCGGGTTTTAGGGAGTGAACCATATAGTGTAAGTAATTACCATTTTAGCTCTAGAGTTTCTCGTCCAAGGAAAACAACTCCCGATGTAGTCGACACACCCTCAGAACCAACCACTAAATCTCGGTACTATGAGGATCGCTATAGAGAAAGGGAATCTGGTCGAAGAGAGGGTGAGCGGGAACGAGAAAGGGAAAGGGATCGTCGAGATGAATCGCATCGATCCAGGCATTAGAGAAATAAGGATTCAAATTTTATTCGTGGATTTATAGATATAAGTGTAGAAAATAAGTTTCATTCACTTACTACAATTGTGTAATACATATTTTCTTCTGTTTATGTAATTTCAATTAGGTCCTATTATGATAATTTTTTGTAATACTTCAATGTTTTTTGCTTCTTGTCTATTAATGTACGTAGCTGTTGGAAGTGTTGACGTCGTCAGAAGAAAGAAGACTACAGAAAGAAGATTGTAGCTATTAAGGGAATAGATAAAAATAATTGTGAGAAAAACTTGAAAATAGTAGTTTTTATTCTATTCTGTAACCTATCCGTGTATCGTAACCCCACCCTCGCGTCGTAATTTACATATGCCTTCTGTGATATATTTATTATGTTTTTACAACTTTTTTTCATTCATTTATACTGTATCATCTTAGGTTCCACTTTTATCGCCATAAGAACATTTAAAAATACAGAATTATTTTGTATTTTTCAAATTTTCACAGTAAAATTTGTTTTATTATCAATTTACAATTTGTTTTATACTGTGTATTTGCAATTTGCAAACAGTGGACCTGTTTTGTTAAGTTTCTATTTGTAAATTTTATCCAGTCTTTGGCGAAATACAAATTTAATTGTACTATGTACAAGTTAGTCAAATGGTTGCTTTTACAGAGTTCAACATTATCGAAAATTATAAAAGGTGAAACTGTTTCTAGTCAAAACAGTATTAAGTTTTAGCATATCGTGCTAACATTGTGATAAATATTGTGTATTTTTATAACAAAACGATTTTCCAATGTGATTGAAATAAAATGGAAACAATGTGAATTTTATACATTTTTCTTGAGGTACGAAGTATTTGATCAAGTTTTATTTTCACGAAAATTTAAAAATACTTTACAACATTTAGCATTTGCGTCATTTATTGTATTTATTATTCTGTGACACTATTCTTAAAATAGATAAAATGGCATTTGGTTATCAATTAAAGAAAAACTAAAAGGAAAATGTAATGAGAAGAAAAAATATATATAAAATAATAATACTCGTGGTATTATTTCTCAAACCAGTAGATGTCTGGTTTGTTCATACACATGCATTTTCTGATATCCAAAATAAACATACGAATTGTACGATATAATCTTGTGAGATATCTGCTTACATTAAAACTACAATTTGTTTCTGATGTCGCTAGCACTACCCATGCTAGTTTCCGAACTTCCGTTTTAACTATTCGATTATTAACAATTATAATCTTTGAGTATACGACGTATACCTTTAAATACAGTGCTAGTTGTAGAACGATTGTAACATAAAGTCCTATTTTCTGATCTCATAATTATTTGCTGTTTACATTCTATTGAAAGAGGGAGTAGATACTCTGCTTACCCTCTCGCATATAATTTATACCTACTACATGCAGCAGCAACGTCAGAATTTTGGTAAAAGGGATACGGAATTTGTCGTGTGTAGGTACATAATATGAATTGGTATGTGCAATCGCATACGATCACTGCGCCACTCAGAAAAGCTAGCTCAAAGCAAAACAAAATTGAAACTGAATTTTATTATCTCTCCTTGTCCACTTCTAGCATCTGCTGCCATTATTGACTGAAATAAATCTTGGGCACCAATAGAAAACTATCCGGGTCGCACAATTGATTTGAAGAAACACACGACTATCACAAAAAAATTTATTCCGAAACACATGAACTAGAAAATAAGGAATCCCAGTTTGGTCCCTCTAAATCTAAAGAAAAATGTTTTTTTTTTTGTAGAAAGTGAAACGATATGAAAATTTGTGCAGGTCTTGTAACATCTTTAATTTTTGCTTTGATTGTATCAAAGAACTGAAGACTGTTTAAGACACCTCTATGTACAACTTTTCAGAAATCTCATACATTAATTCAGTCCAGCCAGCCCACCATTGCACATCCTGCATTATGGTAGATCTGTTAGGAATAGGCTGAAGATCCTGCCTCATTATCAGAGTTCTAACAAACATTTTCTCGAGGATATGTCACCAACACCAAGTTTATATCAAAGAACTTAAATGAGAGGAAATATTTATTTTTTATTAAAGTTGTAGTATTAAACTGATCATAGTAATACAAAAGCCCTTAGAAAATTAAGCATCCTCTGGCTCGGAATCAGACTCTGCATCCATTGCTTGTTTTGCAGATCTTTCAGCCTCTGCAAACACATGATCCGGAACCCGCTGATGAAATCCATTGGTATCTTTAGAAACCCATGACAATTCTAATTCAAAATTTTTATCCTTCAACTCGTCGTGCACCAAGTAGATTCTAAAACAGTCAATTGGCAAACACCACCTTATAAATCGTGTCTTACATCTTTGCCGCTTCTTTTAGTAGGTCTGGAGTGGACATATCGGTTAATTTAAGTTTTTCTATCTCAGTCTTAGCAGCTTGTTTAGCTTTGCCGACCGCGCAACCATGATAACCCTGGAATTGTAGTCTGCTGTTACCTGTCAACACTAAATGGGAACTTACGTAGCTAACTCCAGAAGGATCAATTAAATACATGGCAGGACCATCGGTAATATCATAACCTCCTAAAATTACACTACAACCATATGGTCTTACAGCACTGTATAGTGTATAGGCATGCATATACATGCTTACACGATCATTAAGATACTTTATAGGTATCGGTATTCCATATTGTGATCGGTAGTTTGTAGCTTCTCGTCTAGCAATATCCACAATCTGTCGTGCATCAGCTATCAACCCACAAACTGCCTGTAACTTCTACCTTCAACCCGCAACTTTACGCCAACATTGCCTTACCATTCCCACATGCCGGTCAATTGTAAATATTCTTCTATTTGCACCTGGTTCGTACAACTTCGAGGTGACAAGTTTCTCAACCGCAAGCACTACTCCCTCTTTTCCTTTCAGTGCGATCACTGTGCCACTATTATCTAAAGCTTTGCATGCGTATTCCACTTGGAACACACGACCGTCCGGCGAAAATTGTGATGCGGAGAGATCGTACTGCAAGTCTTGAATTTATTTTAAAATTTAAAATGAGTAACACTTACTCCTGTGCCAATCGAGCTCATTTTAGTTTATTTCAATCGATTTTTAATGTAAATAGAGATTTTACCACTATACAAAGTAGAGTGATTTGCAAGTTTGTGATGAAAAACGGGAATATTCGAACATAACCTAAAATTCAAAGCAAAATTGTTCCGCGTTGCCAACATAAAAAAATAGTAACCATTCTACTTGGTTACAATGTTGCCGTCGTTACATATTTAACAGACCTACAGGGTGTTCAGAGGTGAATTTGTAAAATTTATTTAAGATATAACATTTAGAGCATCTACAGGATACACAGACAGATGATCTATCTAAGGTACTTATACAACTTTTATTTAACTAAATTATAACAATTAAATACAAGATTAACAAAATAAATTCAATGCAAAATATAAAAAACGCGTTGAAACATTTTTGGTATGTAATTGTTGCTATAACAGATATCGTTATAGTTTAAGAAATTCAGTTGAACGACTCTGTCTAGATTTCTCAAAAATTTTCCGTCCTATATCCTTGTAGTCATTAAGATATCCTGTAGGTACGATCTGCGAAATACACAGAATTTACAATACCAAACAAATTTGTATTGACAGAATCCGCAAAATCTACAGGGTACATAACTGGCACAGACTTTCTGAATGTCGAACTCCGGCGGGATTTATCCCTAACAAAATGTCTGGATATAGGTACGTAAGATCCGCAAAAAATATAAAACCTAGTAAATATTCAGAATCAACAAAAGCGTGTAGGCATAGGATCTATTTCTGCCAGATTGCATAAAAGATCCTCTACACGTTCAAGATCATACCAGTTACCAGAGTCTATAAAATGTTGAATTGAAACGCACGTAGAATTGGTAGAACATTAATTATGCTATATTTACAGGGTCTATACATTAGTTGTAAGTTTTACATAAATTAATTTCTTGTGCTGAAGGATAAGGGAATGAGTGTAGAATATTATGAGATGAATCAGAAACCGTGCGTCAATTATGATAAGAGGAAGCCGGCACGGAATATTTAAAATAGTCGTGTTGGATACATCGGGGAGTAAACTTGTAAATATGTAAGTAATTTTATTAATATTCATTTTCTGGCACTAGAGCAACCGTTTTTCACACGAACGCAATTTGACTTTGTATCAGGAGAACATGGCATGTCAAAGGTTGTACAGCTTTTTTCCTTTCTGTGATCCCGATACTCTTTGTAAGGAAAAGAAAATGTGTACCAGGCGAACATATATCGTGGACAGTAAAATGTTTAAACTTTTTTTTAGTATATACAGGGTGGAGAATTGGTAGAGATTTCAATGGTAATTTCTTTACATTGAAATTTTTTCTCCCCTAATTATTTTATAGCAAACTTGTAAATTAATTGTTTTTTGATTCTAAAATTTTGCGTCTATTCATGTGAAACCTATTTACAACTTTGCCCTAAATTAATTAATTAGGGGAGACACATTAATTAAGAAATTAGCATTGAAATCCCTATGGTGCATTAACCGCTTCGACACCCTGCAGTGGCGTACGTAGATTAAACAAGTTCGTGGCACATACAGTCACCCAGTGCGTACTAGAAGGGGGGGTTATGGGCAAAAAAATTCCTGTTTTTAAAATTTAAAATTCTTATTTTCGTCATTTCGTGAAAGGCAGGACGCAGGTACCTCACCTCAGTAGCAGTACTAAGTACCTGCGATACCTATTTGTTATTTTGGGCACCAATGTAGCGAATTGCCGATCGATACCGAATAGCCAAATCGTTGACTGCCAACACTGATCACTCACTGAATAGTGAATACTGAATACTACAGAATATTTAGATTTTAGTGACTTTAGATTTTAACCAAAACCAAAATTGCTCTCTATATATACCTATATATATTATTGCCTTTAATTTAAAAGTGGGCGAAGCGGATAGCGGAGTATTACCTAAATACCTAATAGCTATGATGATAACTCAATTCTTAGGGGGGGGGGGGGATATCCCCTTCACCCCCCCGTAAATACGCCACTGACACCCTGTATGGTCACTATACCGGTTTTAATTGTTTTTGTAATAGAAAAACATGCGAAGGCGTCTGTAATAAATTTTGCTCTTATATTCTTTTCTGTAGTGTAGTTAGAAGTTGTTTATCGATAAATCTTCAATTTACATGTTCCTTTACCTATGAGTCGTGTGCAGCAATTTATTATCCCATTGTTTTTTGCAATTTTGATTTATGGTCTCGGTAGCCAAGGACGTTCTGTGGCATGAACTGCCTTGGTTCGATGAGCTTCTTTTCATTATCCAGGCCCAGACCTTAGACCTAGACTATTATCTCAAATGTACGTATCCACATCAGGGGACGGCCTCTCCTAAAGCTGCAACTGTGTAGGTAGGTATAGGTACAGAGATTAAAGTGACACTTGCTCGGTTACTTACTATGGCAACGTTAAACGTTTACAATGACAATCTACCTCGAAGCAGAGAATTGCCGCTGGTTTTTGTCTAGCATTCACAATTTGCTAGACACGTGTTGGGTTCTACACTTCCCGCTTCCGTCATACAAAATATAGTGCGGATGAGGAGCTGCCATTTGTTCTTTTATCCGTGGTTAACATATCTTATCAACAGTATTATCAGGCACATTATCACAATATTTCAATAATGAAAGGTAATATTCCATATTTATTAGTCGAGGTCATCTTGACCTCCATGAGGTAGACCTTAGAAAATGCAAAAATGCTCCTATGCAAGTAGGTAAATACGCTATACCTACTTGTTGAAAATCTATTATAGAGGTACATACGTGCTTGACAGAATAAATGGTAAATTCCATTACATGGCAATATTTGCTTATAATTATCTAATAGTTATAATTAAGTGGTCTAATTCAACATCTGGGCGGTTATCAACCCAAAGTAGTAGGAGAGCGATTGGAAATTAGCTGCGAATACGAGTACCACTCATTCAGAGTCGTCACCAGGGCTGTGATTGCTAGTACAATTGTACTAAATATAGTACATTCTAAGTACACTTAGTACGCTAGTACTCCTTTAACAAATCTAGTACGCTTTGGGATCAAATAATTTTACAGTTAGGGGTGCAAACAAATACACTAATTTTAGAATCGCCTGAAGCATTTTATTGCACTAAGAACAACAGAAGGTCCTCCTTTCACCGTTCACGTCAAAATTTATGATACCTATTAATATTATACAGTCTACAGACCTGTTTACTTCTTTGCCATGACTCATCAGTTAATTCTTATCTCTATAATGAGAAAAACAGAGTACGACACTATCTCGCTGTCCGCAATACTTACCTTGCGCTTTTCTACACCCAGACCGCTTATTAGATTGCCGCGAATCGCAACCCGTTTGAACCAGTCAGTGTTTTCAAATTTGTTTATTATTAAGTTTCTTATTTATTTTCGTACCTACTTACGGAAGTGGGCGCAGCACGCAGTTGGTTAGATTTTTGTTTGAAATGGACAAGTAAGTATGAAAAAAAAATAAATTACTTAGTCTTTTAATACAACTTATAGGTTTGTGGTAAAAAATAAAAGAAACAGAGATTCATCTGTGTCAAATGAGCCGCCTAGTGCTGGTAACGGTAACACTGCACCTGTAGCTTCCACATCTACGTCCCGTGATAGANCATGTTCCATAATTTTACACTTTTGCCGTTTGATCCTAGAGATCGTTTATAATTTTGCATTGCTATCTGACGCCTGCCGGTTGGTCTCTCCGTCTGTTCCTTTGTCTGTCTGTCCATCTATTTGTCCGTGTGAACGATAACTTTGTTTAGAAATGTTCGATCGCTTTTACATCTCCGTTAGTTATGAACTGAATTGCATGAAATTCAATATGGGCATAGATTTAGCCATATAATACGGCAATGCCAAAAGTTGGATCGAATCGATTCAAAATTCACAGTGCCCTTTTCGCATCTCGACCATTTATAAACCGAATTGCAAACTTTTTTACTTATAAAAGTATTTGAATGAATTTTGATACATAGGCACTTGGAATAAAGGAAAATCAAACGCCAATTTCAAAATTTGGTTTTGCGCATGCGCAGTGCCAACTTTTTTATTTATGGAAGAATTTAAACGAAATTTGATACATAGGCACTTGGGATAAAGGAAAATCAAACGCCAATTTCAAAATTTGGTTTTGCGCATGCGCAGTGCCAACTTTTTATTTATGGAAGAATTTAAATGAAATGTGATACATAGGCACTTGGAATAAAGGAAAATCTAGCGCCAGTTTCAAAATTTTATTTTGCGCATGCGCAGTACCAACTTTTTTATCTATGGAACGATTTAAGTGAAATTTGATACTAAGGCCGGATGTCCACCGCATCGGAACGACCAAGATCGGTGCGATTTGAATCGCCCGATAAAGATCGCGCGCGTGTGCTCCTATTGAAGCCTGTCCAGTGTCCACAGGCTCGATTTTCGTCGGGACCGATCGAAATCGCAACCGACTATTTTCGCCCGACCCGACGTTCTTGAACGATAATTTGTCGGCAGTCGTGTGTCATAATAATCAAAAGTGCTGGTAATCTTTTTTCTACCGTCACACATCTTCTGTAATTGGTGTCCTTTTTGGCAATTAATGGTCGAGCAATGTCAGCCAAAGGAAAAAAACTACTCTTGGACATACGATACATACATTTAAATTTGTGTTCATGATTCGCAAGTTCATGGGCACAAATGAAAGCACCTCTGTTTCTTTTATTAGTTATGTAAGGAAGAACCCAATAACTGTGGCGGCGAATTATCTTTCGCCTGTGGTGCAAAAGCATGACAACTGCTTCACTTGACATTTTATTTAATGTCAACTGTCAACCCGATAAAAATCGTTCGAAAGGCGATCTTCCTATGGACATGAATTGCCAATTTTAGTCGGCCCGATCAATCTGGATACGACTACAGTTGGACCGATCTTCGTCGCCCCGATTCGGTGGACATCCGGCCTTAGGCGCTTGGAACAAAGGAAAATCTAACATTAGTTTTAAAATTTAGGTTTGCGCATGCGCAGTTCCAACTTCCTTATTTAGAAAAGCATTGAAATGAAATTCTTCTCATAAACTGAAATTGAAGTAGCACGTCCAAAATGGATTGCCCATGTGCAACGCTATCTTTCATATTTGTCGCCGGATTTTTACGATTTTAACAGAAGTTGCATCTTACAAATGGGAAATGAATGCAAGTGGAAATGCGCTTTATGTAAATCGTTTACGATCACTTTTTAACTTGTTAGTATTGTTCCGATTTTGATGAAATTCGAAAGCTATAGGTAAATATTTAAATACCTATATTAAATTGAAATTTGCAAAAGTTTCCCATTAGAAAATTAGTAAGAAGTATTAATATGAATTTGGGAAGACTACCTTTAAAAATTGCACTCGGGATGTACTATACCTACCTAAATTTTTTACCTTCTAAGACGTCGGCCACTATTAAAGCTACACTTAATATCGTCTATATATTTTAAAGTAGTGACAAAAAGAGGAATTTTTTTATGTATAATTTTATACGGTCCTCATGCTTTAGTTCAGGGGGCGCTTCGGGTGAAGCGATTGGTCGTAAATTTTTTTTTGAAGATGTTGAATTCCATTTCCCTGTTAACTGCCTTTTTGTCGGAATGAAGAGTTGTTTCTGTCACTACATAGTTTATACATGCAATTTTTCAATGTTTTAGGCACCCTAGATTTAAAAGAAGCGGTGCACGGCGCAGTATTCGTACAAGAGTGCGTCCCCGAAGTTTTGGAATTGAAAAAGAAAGTATTCCAAGCTGTCGATGACGTGTGCAGTGAGACCACTATTCTGTCAAGTTCAACTTCCACATTTGTACCTTCATTATTTACGGAAAATCTTAAAAATAAGTACGCTTCGGTTTTTCTCAATTTCGAATGACACATTCTTTGTAGGAAAAATGCCGTAGTCTCGCATCCAGTCAATCCACCGTACTACGTACCGTTGGTCGAGATTGTTCCAGCGCCTTGGACTGACCCAGCTACTGTGAAGAAGACGCGAGAATTAATGACAGAAATCGGACAGGCGCCCGTTTCCTTGTCACGCGAAATCCCAGGCTTTGCGCTGAACAGAATTCAGTGAGTAGCAACAACGGTTGATAATCAGGGAACAAAGCATAGTGTTGTAGATATGCCATATTAAACGAATGTTGGAGTCTTGTGGCCGATGGAGTTGTGAACGTTGAAGATGTCGATAAGGTGATGTCGCAAGGTTTGGGTTGGAGGTACGCGTTTTTAGGTCCATTGGAAACGGCTCATTTGAACGCGGAAGGATGGATGGATTATTGCAGTAAATATACGAACACAATCCATAGCGTCTCGCAAACTTTTAAACCTCTACCAAAATTCGAGGGGCCGCAAACGAAAGAAGTGGCGAAACAACTTGAAAAGATGGTTCCTCTTGAACAGTTGCAAGCTAGGCGTAATTGGAGAGATTTGTGCCTTACTAAACTAGCAGCTTTAAAAAAATCGCTAAGTAAGCAATAATTGTGAAGTATAAGTACCTTCCATGTTATCATTTGTTACGCCACTTCTTAACAATTCACTTGATTACTGACTAACAAATGATCTGGAGAGTATCATGCTTTTAATAAACATTTTTTTTAAATTGGCATAAATCTAGTTTTTATTGCTATTGACTATGGCACCAACCCTGAAAATATCATGGTCATTAAAAAACCCGGAGACTATTATTGTATTATGAAGCAATACACCCCATACAATCAGCAGCGGCCGTGCACATTTCTTAAGATCAGTCATTTTGTTTTTGGGCCATTTACAAACGAGGTAATATGTAATTAAGCAAATTCAGCCCCTGAAAAATTCTCCGCAATACTGAATTTTTCCTTTCTCCTTCCCTTCCTTAGACACTTGCAGATATTCACATTGAAATAGGTATAGGTATGTTGTAATGAGAGTGCGCTCCTCCAACACTCGTGAGATATCAGGAATTATGACCGATCACGATAAGGAGTCGATGAGGAGGGCTGCGGTCGATTGATATTAATTCTATTCGTTATTTAGACCTTTCATTAGTGTATCATGAAGTATAAAATCAATTTATTACACCCCCTCCCATACCCTCAACACCCTCCACTGGTTTTGACAAGGAGATGGAGAGAAAAGTTAATAGTTAGTACTCAAAGGTAGCTATATTGTAAAACCGCCGCGTTGCACATCCATTTATATCATAAAACACTGTTGGCAATACATTCTGTGTTATCGCAAACCTAATATTTATCTTATGCAAATACAGAACGCTAAAAAAACCAAACCAATTCAAACATTACTGTTTACTTTTACTTTTGCGATACGAATCAAAAATGGCAGTCAACTTTTCCAAACCATTAACTTCTTCGAAGCCGGGAACGGAAGATTTAAGTTTGCTGTACCATCTTGTTATGTTGCCATAAGCGCCGCGATCAAATTTGACAACATCTAACGTTGTAATTGTTGCGCTCATTCCAAAATCAGCAACAGTTAGTGAGTCCCCAGCAACGTATTCTTTGCCTTCCAAGAATGTGTTTAAAATGTCCAGGCTGTCTTGTAATTTTTGAAGCTTGGTAGGATCCGGGGTGTTACCCATCATCATTGGATACTAACAGAGTTTATCACACCCAAGGAAAATAACTGGTAGTATACTCACATAGTATTCTGAAAATCGTTGACCAAGCACTCCCAGGTTAAAGTAAAGGCGTTGGTCAACAACGGACCGCTTTTTGGGATCTTTAGGGTACAACGAGTCGTCCTTACCATATTTTTGGATGAGGTATGTGGCGATTACGCTGCTTTCCCAAACAGGGAAGCCGTCATCCACTATTGTGGGAACGCAATGTTGTGGGTTGATCTAAAAAAATACCTATTCAGCTTATTTTGGAAAAACTCGAATTCAATTAGGTACCTTAAGGAATTCCGGCGTTAAGTGATCTTTCTTGTGCATTAGATCCATGAGCTTAAGGTTCAAAGTTACTCCTAGATTTTTCGCTGTTAGTTCAACGAAGCGACAGGGCCCACTTCCGGGCGCGTAGTAAAAGTCGATGGTCATAGTGAAGGCTGTAATGAAATAATTGTACAAAAATTATTGGAGTGCGCCAAGTAACTACTTACCTTAGAGATGGATGAAAAGTGGATGTGACAATCGACGCTTGCCAGAACGCCTTTATACGGGCGTATAGTTTCCTTGGATGTCCTAAAATTACATTGCCCTTGTATGAAATTCAAGTGGGTATCATTTTAGATAAACACCAATTATCAAATATGCGAATCATTGTACGATGAAATGGAATATTTTGTGTATCGTCATTTCAATTTTTCTAAAACGACAATAACATTCTTCGTTCATTTTTTTTAAATTAAAATATGACTGGACTGATGAGCAGATGTGCAGACAAACGAAACATTTTTACACAACAGGCTTTTTCATAAAGTAGGCATGAAAATGAACGTTTCATGACGATTTCGGGAAAAGTTTGTGATGTATACATACTCCCACGGTTAGGCAACACACCTTACATAAGAAAGGACAGCACTATGGGTATTTTTCGCAATATTGATTTTGTCTGTTCTGTTTTGAAAAGTATAATTATAGGTAGTTCTTTCTTGTACTTTCCATCAATCTTTACATTTGAGGGGTGCCACTCTGTATGTATATCCTACGATGATGCACACATTTTTGAGAGCTGGCAATAGCGTGGATTTTTAGAAGGAGAAAGCCGTCTCGAGAGCACCAATGTTTATTACGTGACAGCCTCGGTTACAGCCATCGCTTGGTTTGAGCTTTCGTTGAGAGAGCATCGTGTATAGTTGGTTGCTTATTTTGTATTATCTAATGCGAGTAGTTTTCTTTGCATTTCTTTAACATTTTATGTTTTTGTTAAATAATTTTAATTTTGTCATGTGTATGAAAAATGACGTGAACATTTCTTTTTTGAAATCTTTTCACGCTTGGTGTAAATGTTAGATGTTTTTCTACTAAATTGATTTATCATGTTTCCACCCTGTCTTTCGTTTTTATTAATTTGTTCAACTGAATTTGACTCTTGTGACTTTTGATTTGTGTATTTTTCTTGGATTTTGTTGTTGTAGGTGATTTATTTCTTGTATTGAGTTGATATACTTACAAGAGAAAAATTATTATATTCTATGTAAGGAAAAAAAATGGCTGAACGGAGTAAGTAGTTCACGCACGGATAATTTCCGCCCAATAAAGGTTTTGTATAGGTTTTTCCAGCGTAATTTAGTTAATTTTTTTTGTCTTTTCTTACGCCCTTCACGTCTACGCCCAACACATAAAAGAATCGCCATCGGCAACCATATAACACAGCGTAGGAGTCCTATTCAAATCACCTAATCCTAGCCTAGATTTCCAGAACGGTGCGAAATGTCCGACATTTCGGTATGGAAGTTAGATGGCCCTAGTTGTAATCTTTTCTTCAGAGTTGACAACTGTATGTACAAGTTTTGTATTATATTTTTCCCGAAATCGTCTTTGTTAAAATGCAATTTCAATTCTCATATACATCTTTTGATTAATATTATTGTGCCAGTGTTGACATAGTCTGGTAAGGTGACAGGGGGCAGGAAAAGTAGTCAGGTGGTTACTGCCACTGCTATGGGAATAGTTATTTACATAAAAGTCAGGAAAATGATACATGCGTACTTTAATTTCCGAGTCAGGTAATGACATTTTACCGAGCATTTTACTGACGAGTTTTGTATAAAATTTTACCCCTAATCGTCTTTTAGTATAAAACGCTTACTGTTACGGAACTCTGAATTAAAGGTAGATAAAGTGGCCACTTTCAGAGTGGATAAAGTGAAACGCATGATTTAACATTCCAATGAGATTTGTCATTCTTATTAAAAATGGGACGCGGAGCACGAAATGAAATGAAGTTCAGAACAGAATACAATTTCCATGGAAACGACACGACGAGAACCTAAGCTTGCTGTTTTGTATGCCTAAATTAATTACCTACAGAATTATCAGAAGTTTTATAATGATTTCTATTGCTTCTGCTATAATATAAAGCTTTGTAATATGCACGAAGATAAAGGGAAACTAACAATCTCGTGAAAGTTAATTCATTTTTTAATTGGTTAAATCTGCCTCTGATGATGTGGTCGAAACTGTAATTAACTTTAAGCAGGCCTTCCACGTGCATTCATTTCATCGAACTTGGAGTGTACACTCCTGCAAACAGACCAAGTTCGAACGTGGAAGGGGTCATCGAGCAAAGTTTGCATCGTTCTTGGTGCGGAGCGAAGAGTTTTGCCAATCCTAAATTTTGGCGCGGAGCGATGTTGGGCGCGCGCGTGGATGTGGTTGTCGCTCCTAGAGTTAAAATCTATCTCACTTATGTCTTCGCATTGTAGTATATGAGGAACCGAAAACGCATATTGTTGTTTTCGCGTGCACAATCGCCCCTGTATTTGTTCGCCAAGTTTGTACGAACCATGTGCGAACGTGGAAGTGGTGTTTCAACATTCTGTTCCAAGTTCGAAGACATGGCGTTAATTCAAAGTTCGATGAAATGAATGCACGTGGAAGGCCTGCTTTAGACAGTATAGGTACCTCTAATTCTTTGGACCCCTAGGCTGTGCCGTTATCTAATCCTTATATGGATAATTCATCATGAGATCCCCGCTAGAAAAAGCGAAAAATACGCAAAAAAACTCGATTGTATTTTGTTTGATAAATGTTTATATTTATTTATTTTTAATTACATTGGAGGTCCGGGGTCAAATGTCGATTCTAAAGAACCTATTTCGTTATGAATAAGTAAATCGAACACCTGACATTTGCCTTTTCTCACGTCGAACGATCGACACGTATTAATTTCCAAACATTTTTGGAACAATCAATGGCATATGACTATTTTATAAAGTCGCATCCCGGTTGTCTTGCCACGGTAGCTCCGATACAGCCGCTCATTAGTTCGGATTGCCTCTGCTCCCGGTCAAAGTATCTAAAATAAGTTTTGAGTTTTTGACTTGCAATTTACCGTAATTAAGTTATCAATTGTTATCTCTATGAGTCGCTGTTAAGGAGATAATGATTAGAATTACAGTCGCTATTGCCCTCCGGCCATTAATGAATATCGCAAGTCCCGTTTATTAAAATCAATAAAACGAGAACGCGATATTCCCATCAACTGAGGCAACCAGACGTCAACCAAAAATGAATTCCGAACTACGAAGAAGGAAGGTTAGTAAATTTGCCTGTTGCATAGTTATCCTTATCAAATGTACAGCACTTTCACTTTACACGTTTTTATTTTATGACCTACACTTTTGTTTTCTAGGATTTCTCATGACACTAAGTAGAATAGTAAGTTTATTTTCATTTTTTTTAACACTTGTGAGGTATGTGCTGCAAACTGACCAACTTGTGAGCCTCTTTTAAACTGTCCCCCCATTCAAATCTCTACAAGAGTTTGTGTTACAGTTGAAGGAATCAAATGGACGCCCCCTACCGAAAAGAAAACGTAAAGATGCGGATACATCGTCACTACATCGTTCCTTACTATGTTTAATTTTAAGCGGGACTATTTTAACAGTATTTATTAGTACGTATATTATCCCAACTGTTCTCTTTGTAAAGGTTGTCGTTTTTAGTTTTATATATTGACTACATTCCATGGCACTTGGGGCACCGTACTGTCGATTCCATAGCTAAGAGGTTTGGTTATGACAAGCCGGTGCATGCGGTTGTGATCGATGCCGGAAGTACGGGATCGAGAGTTTTAGCTTTTACGTTTCACGAAGCTTACTTAGGTAGGTTGCATTATTTTATATGCCTTTATTACTTGTAGACATGGGTTGAAAGACCTTCAATTTTTATTCCTTAGGTCCAGTCACTGACCTAGTAGGCCTTGGATACATCAACTGTTAGTATGTAACCAAAAAATTGGTTGATAGAGGAGGCCGACAAATACTTTATTTCCAAATAGGCCAATTTGTGTTTTTAAATTTATTTCTTAGCAGCCATAAAACAAATCATTTTGAAGATTATCTACTGCCTTTAATTTGGGCTTGAAAGCACATTTAACATTTATTTATTTATTATTCCTCTCTTGTTCTGGGCCCTCAACAGGCTTGCGCCCAATTACAGAGTGACCCGCATAAAGTTATTGATATGACTGTGAGAGTATCAATATTATAAAATATAAAGCCTGTATGTTTTAGTTGTGCAGATTCTCTGTAGTAGGTACAAAAACAGTGTGTGCTGTGAATGTGTTTCGTGCTTGGTTATACATAAAAGTTATAAATAAAATACCAGGTGATTAATTTATCTTGAGACGTTTTATGGCCATTTGCACCGACAAATATAAGCGGAGCTTAGCTTAAACGTAACTTATTATGATTATTGCGACAATGGTTGCCATGGATTTCAAGCTAAGCTCAGCTTAACTTTGTGCTAACAGCCATTAATAAAACTTGATGGAATCATCTATTTTGGAAAAAAGTTTCATACAAAGATTTGGACCATTCAAAGCGGGCTAATGGGTGGTGACCTTGCAAATGGTCTAGACCTCCACTTTCACGGTCAACTCTGAATTGTTCCTAATCTAAAAACGATAATAAGAAAGTTGTCTATTGTGCATGCGGTAGGATTTTTGGCTCTTTGATTTTGTTTACTTTTATTTGATGAAGCTCCATCAATAAAGTTGCGCGTTGCGTATTCTCAGTATGCGCAGGACGATTTTTTGGGATTTTATTAGAGGGACCTACCATAAAAATTTGGTTTAAATTGCTCCATAAATAAGAATGAGTTTTGGGCATGCGCAGTACGATTTTTGCGCATGCATTTTTTGCTTTTATTAGAGGGGCCTACGCGAGGGCGTACCATAGAAATTTCGTTCAAATTGCTCCATAAATAAGTTGAGTTTTTGGGCATTCGCAATATGCGCAGGGATGCATTTTGATGCCTCGCGCATTTACTGTAATCGCCGTCGATTCTAGAATGCGCCCCATCGATATAGGAGACCAACTTAAAAAACCGCATCGTTCTAACTCCGCAAAATATGAAAAAGTGCCATATATAAGCAGGGGGGTTGGGGTGGTGTTGGTCGTAGATTTGGAGGGTACGAATACGAGACTAACGTAAAAACGGCATTGGTTCTGGCCCTCTGCATTTCCGAATAAACATCAAAACGGCGAAAGAGTATCGTTTAGAGGTCCAGGGGGTGTGAGGGTGCGAAAACGCATCTCCGATGCGATCCGGCTGGCGTAAATATTTTTTACCGGCGATTATTGCATAAATTCGAATTTGGTCCGATTTTCGTTCGGAAACTTCCTCCCCCTCCCTTACCTATATGACCATATGTTTTCCGCGGGCACGTTGGTGCTATCGATTAAGGGGGCAGCAGGACTACTTCTCGAGCAATTCGCGAAAACCGTGTTGTTGCGATTTCGCGGGTTCTTAAGGCAGCCCCCCCCCCGCGCAACGGCCACCGCGTCGATCGCAGGCCCCAACCTTCATCCCCTCTCAGCCGCGGCCGGAAATCTTCAAGTTTAACAGTTTACCCTCTGAGATTTTCTTTCGTCGCCGCCCTAATTAGAGGCGCGTTTAAAAATTTTGTAGCAATCCCAGTTGCCGAAAAAAGTTATTAACGGAAATGTCGAATTTGGCTTGTTAAATGATTGTCAGGATAATGTATAAATCCATTTTCCAAAAATAATTTTTTTGCTACTATAACCACGAAAAATACCTATGTTTACAATAAAAAACTAACAAAAAATTGATAACTGTATATTTAATATTTAATTTTTTCATCTTCAACTGCCATTTTCACAATCAGATCAAAATATTTTTTACTTGTATTTTTACAAATACATATTAAAAAAGAGATTTATTTAAAAATTTAAAAAGTATCTGACCAATATGGTCACAATGTTTGCGTAGCCGGATCAAAATACTATTTACTTGTACCATAAAAATCGATTTTTGAAAATTAAACATTTTTTTCCAGATGGGCATCTAATATTAGATAAAGAACTGTTCGAATATACAAAACCGGGAATTTCGGTATTCGCCGACAAGCCCGAAAAGGTAACTTTTAATTATTGCCACAACACAAAATCGTCAATGATTGTACTTGTAGGCGGCAGCGTCAATTAGTACCTTGCTTGAAAAGGCGAAAAAAGAAATTCCGAAAGAGTATTGGAGTAAGACGCCTTTGATATTGAGGGCAACCGCCGGTTTGCGATTGCTTCCACAGGAGAAAGCGGAGAATCTTTTGAACACACTTCGCGCTATGTTTAAGAAGACACCATTTGTAACCAACGATGATTCTGTGGCGATCATGGATGGAACTGATGAAGGAATCTTCTCGTGGTTTACAGTGAACTTCCTGCTAGGTAGTCGTCAACTGTGATTCTCCATTCTCATTGTTTTTTTCAGAGCGGATCGGAGGGAATGCTGCAAGAACGGTAGCCGCTCTCGATTTGGGTGGCGGATCCACACAGGTTACATTTTCTCCGACCACCCCTGAAACTTTGTCACAAACTGAACACATTCATCAAGCCATTGCGCCTCAAGGTTCGATTCCAGTGTTCACAAACAGTTACCTAGGGTTGGGGTTGATGGCCGCCAGAAAAGAAGTTATTACCTACAACAACAACGGTCTAGTCAATATCACAAGCGAATGCGTGAACCCGATAATTAGTAATAAAAAATTCCACTATGCGGGGGTGGATTATTTAGTTAGCGGATTAAAGGAGAATTATCCTACCATAAAGGTACCGGGCAACTCGTACACGACGGCCGAAGAACGACCCATTGTTAGTTTTGACACGTGTTCAGAGATCGTTACGAGCTATATTAGATCAATTGCGAAACCCATAGGAGAATTACCCCATAAGCAAATCAACGCGTTTAGTTATTATTTTGACAGAGCCGCGGAAGTCGCACTCATTGGTAACTTTTACTTGACAGTGTTGGTAGAGTGGAGTCTACCCGCCCCTCCACTTTTAAGACGTGCTGATTGGCTGCGTTCTTACCTAGCGGTTGTGTAAATTTTGAATGCACAGGGTCATATTGTTACAATCCCAGCCCTTTTTACCAAGTGCAAGTGTTTCTTATGGTAAATTTGAAACTTTGTATTTTAAAAAACATTTTGTCGATAACTTCCATTTAAGTACCATGAAGCATTAACGCCCCTCCTCCTCCACGCCATTTTCAGATTTGTTACTATTTTATTTTAAAAACATTCAACTTTTGAAAATAAAATAAAAAATATAAAATATAAATATAATAAATATAAAAAAATAAGTAAAAAATTGAAAACGATTTTTGAAAATTTGATATTCAGATTATTATCATTTTATTTCAAAAAAATTCAAATTTGTACTGAGTTGCTGCGGTGCATGTTTATTGCAGTCGTGTCAAAATTTAAAACTCAAATTTTGTTTTTCAATTGAGTTACTAATTCATGACATGCAAAGATTCAAATGTAGGTATCGATGCAGCCAATCACAGCGTAGCATGTGACGTTGAAAAAGTGATGGAGCAAGTAGACCTTACTCTACTAGTGTCAATCAAACTAATCTCTGCTTTTATAGACGAACGCAAAGGAGGCCTTGTGAAAGTGTCCCAGTTTAAAACCGCTGCTCAGAACGGTGAGTAATCACTGGCGCTTACGTGCTACAAATATACTTGTTTCAGTGTGCAAACAAGCCAATGCTGACCAACCGTTCATGTGCTTGGATTTAACGTTCATATGGTCTCTTTTGGAGAACGGGTTTGGCCTCCGGGCTGATACGAACATATTCGTAAGTACCTTAGAAAAATAACCAAACTTGGTAGTAAGATTATTAACATTATAGCTCTTCAAAAAAGTCAATGGGCACGAAATCAGTTGGGCGCTAGGTGTGGCCTATAGTCTTCTTAAAGGGAGATAATCAACTTTGGCAATATTTCTATTAGTTTAAATAACTGTGACGTGCCTTAAATGTATTTGAATAGATTTATCGTTAGGCTGTGCAGAAATTGTAATTGCTTAGTTTTATGAGGTGACGTTTTTTCCTAGTGGTTTAATGTTTTTAACATTTTGTACCTTTCCAAAAGAGTGGTTACTTCACTTTTTGTTATCAAAGTTACGTATATTGTTACGTTTATTTTATTATTGTTCTTTTCCATCGTTACAAAAAATATACATTTCGTAAACAAACAGCTCAATACAGTAATAGTTGTTTTTTTTACGTGGAGAAGAAATATCAAGCAAACGTACGTTGACAAGAATTGTTTTACATATGTTATTAACTTTCTTTCATACTCTCAAGGACATTTTACACAGCTGGATTCATCAAAAGACAAGGTAAAATGATGACACCGGATGTCAAATCAAAATTAAGAGAAATCATAAATTAGCACGCCCTGTATATAACTATTTTGCCTGTCACTGTATATATTCCCACATGTTATGAGCCGCTGAAGCAAGAATTAAGCCTGCAATGCGCATTTGTTGAACAATCGAACTTGGCACCTAGTTTAAAGTGTTTTCGAAGGGGCAAAGAATCTAAAGAAAACGAATCTGAACAATAGACAAATTTAAAAGAAACAAAAGAATCCGAAGGGCTTGATAGATAGTGACTGAAAAACTCAACGAATCTTTATCTTTGGAGAAAATTCATTGTGAACTGTAAGTCTGCTTGCTGGAAATTGTCTTTGTAGTCACATAGATTCTACAACTGAAGTAAACTACATGAATTGCCTCTCGGTCCTCTGAGTGTATAAATATATACTTACAGGTCGAGTGGGATAGCATATGGTAACTTTGATATTCATGAAGATAGAGATTGGGATGCACAGAGTTTTTCACTCTACTGTGTTGATTAAAATTCCGTTTAGAACATTCGGGATAACTCACAAGTTTTAAGTAGCTTTTAATCTGGTCCGAATTTCTACATTTTTTTAAAATAATTTTAATTCGCACACAAAACTGCAAAACCTTGTCCATCTAAGATCTAATCATTGTATACCTACAGGCTGTTTCACGCAAACCGTTATACGTAAAAATGTTCACGCTCTCATTGATACATTAAATCTGAAAATGCGCATAGGTACCGACAGAGTTTTTCATGATGTATCGAAAAAACATATTATCATGATCATCTCACTTCCGGATTTACCGGATGTGAAGAGCTTTGGTATTTTAAATAGAACACCCTGTATGTTATTGCATTTTCAAAATCCACGTACGTTTTCAATATTTTTCACATTTGACTACTTTTGACCTGACTTTTAAAAAGTCTGTCCAAATCAACAATACTGACTTGATTGCTATCAACATCCGGTAAAACAGGAAGTGAAACCATCACGACAATATTTGGGACGTCCTGTATTTTGTATACGTGTTTAAAATTAAAAAATTAGTTCTAATGAATATTAGTAGGTGCAGGTGCTACTGGGTCAGCGGAACTAATCGCTTAAATTAGTTCTTTGTTGATGTGTTCTTTTGTACAAAAGTTGGTTTTTGTATTGTGTGTGTCATAAAATGCCACCAAAATTAACAGTGTCCCAAAATGTGATTAATGTAAGTATTTTATTGTTGCGGTCAACTATTTTAACTCATTTATTAAGAGCGTAGGAATGTTCATTTCGGAAAATTTTAATAAAATATGTTCTAACCTATTTCAGAGGTTAAAAAGTGTACGTGAGACTTCAAAGGGAAATCTTTACGGAGTATTACACAAAAACACACTCCTCATCGTTGGCGTCAGCATCTACGATGATCCTCAAGATTCCGACATGATAAATGCATTGCCGACTGGAATTGATATTTACGGTGTTGTCATTTCTGGAGAGACTAAAATTGGGGAAGAGGAAGTGAAACGTATTACGAGCGACGTCGACGTTACAGACACTCCCCTTTACATGTCTTGTGTAATCGGGACAGCGCAAAATACTATCGAAACGTTCTTCAATGTAAATAATCAACTGGAAAAGACGAGTTACGAAGTAATCTCCGACAAGGAGATTTACACACAATTTGTTCACATTCGTGTCATGACAGAGCTACCTTTCGTCTCTGGAATATCGCCCGAGATTATCAAAGATAGTTTTTCCAATTTGCGCAAACATCTCATTAACGGGCAAGTTGTTTTTAATATTCCAAATACGAACGTTTATTTAATGGGTGATGAATGTGAAGAGAATGGACTGGTTGGACTAACGGGCGAGCCCACGGTGGGCGAGGTGTGTAAAAATTCGCTAGGTGAAGGTGGCCTTAAAAAGAAGAAGACTGATTTAGTTGACATGGTAAGTTGTAAAGCCCTCTTTAGATGGTAACTTTTTATGACAAGATTTTTATGCAAGAAGCTGTTCTCTAGTCTTGCCTTCTTCCCAAAAGTTTGCAGGTCTCTCATAATAGTTTTCACTCGAGTTTTCAGGAAAGGATCATCGAATCTCCCTTTCCTGAAGTGTATTCCATACACCTTAGGCTCCTCATGCTACGGTATTCTGGAAACGTTGAAAACATTTTGTAAAACAGACATTTCCTGAGAAGTGTTAGAAGAGTGTTAGGGGCTGTAGACATTTTGGGGTAGAACTCAACACGGAGAAGTATGGACTACACTCTTTCTTGAAAACTATTAGCAAGCTAATTACAAGCTAATCCGGGGAAATATGAAGGAAAATGGGAAATACGAGGCAATTAGAAATTTAAAAAATCTAGGTAATACGAAAGCATTGCTGGTAAATATAATCTCATTGCGAGTCAAAAATGTTGAGATAATAAGAGGAAATATGAGGTAATACTTAGGAAACCTCTACCGCCTTTTTGGAAGTTTGTCCGTCCAGAGTTTAAACCGTTAAGAAGGCAAGTAAGTCAGCATCCTTCCCAATCGTAAAAACTTGATGTTTAGAATATGCGATATATGTTTGCGTTTACTAGAAGAATCTTTGGTTAAATTTCAAAAATATACCTTTATGAATAAGAAAGGACACATTGTCAGTTTGCGGATTCGCTGCGCACATCCAATATGTGATATGCTTGTCTTTAATAGAAGAATATTTACTTAAAAATTTTAAAAAAATATCTAAATAAGAAAGTTCACATTCCGCAGGCACATATCTGATTTTTTACAATATGCCATGCCCGATGCCAAGTCAAAATTTTTCTTGGCCGATGTGCCAGAACTATAAGCTACCGAATGCAAAATGAACAAACTAAAACCGAAATATTTTGAAAATTGTAGGAGTAGTTAAGGCCTCGGATGGACAGCGAAAGTGACCATAAAACCCCCCCAGACCACCCTGTTGTATGCTTTTATCCAAAACGATTAGTATGCCTTAGTACTCAACCCATATATTTCGAAAATTAAGTATTGAACACCAAGGGTATGTGGCGAGGGGCTGACCACTGCGCAAAATTGTGTACACCACATTTGCCATTTTCCACATTTGCTCAACATTTGCCATTTTCCACATTTGCCAGACATTTGCTACATTTACACAATATTTGCTACATTCGCTATAAATTTACCAGAAATTTGTTACATTTGCTCATCATTGAGGTACAACATACATTTAAATATATGTACTAGCATACAGTGCGAGTCATTTGGTAATTGAAATATGATATCACTTAAGTGATAAACAACAATTGAATATTTTCTAGAAGATTCATAGAGGATAGTAAAACCAGCCTACAACTGGAAGGTAGGCAATAAGCATACAAGGGCAGATTTGGTAATCGCGCTTCCTATACAGGGTCATTCTTGACGACTGTCAGTTAGAAAGATATGGAGCACCTTTGAAAATGATACTAAACTGATAAGTCCTTTAAGGGTTTTGGCACATGATGAATTGAACTAAAATATTTTTAAGATGGCGCCACTTCCACTTCCAATACCGGAAGTAGCCATCAACTTTGTTATTTTAAATAGGGACCCCCTATTTTTTCTACATTTTCGGATTCTACGTCGAATTTGGAGTACAACGATACCCCATAGTTGACCCTTGGCTCCAAAGGCTTCGTCGATATTCAAGTTTTTATGTCAAAAATTGAATTTGCAGGGGTCATTTTAAAAATGTATTATTCGAAAACGGTGAGAGATATTGCAAAACAGTTCTCAATGCTTTATTAAGGAAAGATCGAATTTTCTTATGGTATACGAAACCGTCTAAAAAAGTGAGACAACGTCACTTTTTCAAAGCTCTCAATTTTTAAATTTTTAAATATCCATAACCCCATTTTTTTAAATGGCACCCCCCATTTTGTTCTTCACCATTGTTTTCCTTTTTCCCAGACATTTAATTTGATGCAAAATGTCAAAAGCTGCTTCAAACGGTTTCCGAGATATTCCATGTTTTAGTTATTTCTTGTGGCAAATTGATAAAAAAATTAAGTCGCTTGATGTTATTCTTTTGTTTTTATTTTGATAATGTTTAAAAGTCAAATTTTCGCTGCTTGTACTTATACTTCTCGTCAATAATGGCTCGTTTGGGTTACACTAATGAAGATTTTTTGAATTTAATATTAATACACGGTGAATGTAATCGAATAGCTGCCAGGAAAAGCAGCGAAAATTTGACGTTTAAACATTATCATAATAAAAACAAAAGAATAACATCAAGCGATTTAATTTTTTTATCAACTTTCCACAAGAAGTAACTAAAACATGGAATATCTCGGAAACCGTTTGAAGCAGCTTTTGACATTTTGCATCAAATTAAAGGTCTGGGAAAAAGGAAAGCAAGGGTGAAGAACAAAATGGGGGGTNCCTATACAGGGTCATTCTTGACGAGCGTCAGTTAGAAAGATATGGAGAACCTTTGAAAATGAAAATAAACTGATAAGTGGTTTACGGGTTTTGGCACATGATGAATTGAACTAAAATATTTTCAAGATGGCGCCACTTCCGGAAATACCGGAAGTAGCCATCAACTTTGTTATTTTAAATAGGGACCCCCTATTTTTTCTACATTTTCGGATTCTACGTCGAATTTGGAGTACAACGAGTTGACCCTTTGCTCCAAGAGCTTCTACGATAAATCGATTATCGATTAATTAAGAAATGTTGTGATTAGTTACCTTAAGATTAACACTTTTTACACTTTTGAAGAGTTTCTACTTACTGATTGGTGTTCTAATATTCTGTGATATTTTGTCTATTTTACTGTATTTTAACTTGACCTCTTATTATTTTATTTATATGTGTAAATTGCTCTGTTAGTAGATGCACTAATTTATATATGTTTGACGACACTGATATAGTTTATACTATGATAGCTGGAATATTTAAACAATAAAGCTATTCAAGTTTTTATGTCAAAAATGGAATTTGCAGGGGTAATTTTAAAAATGTATTAATTTTTTTAAATCAATTTGCTACAAGAAGTGACTAAAACGTGGAATATCTCGGAAACCGTTTGAAGCAGCCTCTGACATTTTGTAACAAATTAAAGGTCCCGGAAAAAGGAAAACAACAGTGAAGAAAAAAATGTGAGGGGAGGGGGTGCCATTTGAAAAAATGATGTTACGAATATTTAAAAATTTAAAAGTTGAGAGCTTTGAAATAGTGACGTAGTCTCACTTTTTAGACGGTTACGCATACCATAAGAAAATTCGATCTTTCCTTAATAAAGCAGTGTTTTGCAATATCTCTCACCGTTTGCGAATAATAAATTTTTAAAATTACTCCTGCAAATTCCATTTTTGACATAAAAACTTGAATATCGACGAAGCCCTTGGAGCAAAGGATCAACTCGTTGTACTCCAATTCGACGTAGAATCCGAAAATGTAGAAAAAATAGGGGGTCCCTATTTAAAATAACAAAGTTGATGGCTACTTCCGGTATTGGAAGTGGAAGTGGCGCCATCTTAAAAATATTTTAGTTCAATTCATCACGTGCCAAAACCCTTAAAGGACTTATCAGTTTAGTATCATTTTCAAAGGTTTTCCATATCTTTCTAACTGATGCTCGTCAAGAATGACCCTGTATAAAACAGTCGGAGTGCCGCCACCATTATGAATTCACCTTGCTCATGGTGTGTAATAGAACACCATGACCTTGCTCGAGCACATTATTTACGACTGCACTACATGAACGAATTTTAAAACACTTTCTTTGCATAATTTTCACGAAATGAAAGCGCCTGGTATACATTTATCTTTATATTTACAAATCATTGATACTCGTATTGATATGTCATATTTAATAAACATTTACTACATTTGCCCAACATTTGCTCATCATTTCCTCGGGACTGTACACCACATTTGCCCAGCGGTCAACCCCTCGGTATGTGGGGTAGTCCTTAGTCATGGGAGATTTGCTGTTCTTTTTTTTTTAAGTGTCACGAGAGTGAAGGCGGTCACAAAGTTTAATCGAAGTCGCAGAAGGTGATTTATGGAAAATTAAGAAGAGAGAATTGGAACCCCCGCATTCCTGATACCTAAGCCGCGGTGCAGACTTCTACACCTTAGTTGGCGAAGGGGGTTCCCGAAGAAATCGCCTGCTACAAAAAAATAGGGAAGAGGTTTTCATTACAGCGTTTCGTTTCGGAGGAATCATCATTATTTTTTTATAGGGCCCGTAAAAAAACACTGTATTAAATAGCATTTTTGATTATGAATAAAACGATAGACAGAACATAAAAAGAACGAGAGTTGGGAACTGTTGGTTTCAACAGGATGGTGCACCCGCGCACAACGCTCTAATCTAATGGAACTTCAATCTAGGGACTTTTTTCCGTGTTGCGCGTACGATTTTCCTTGCATCAAAAGTAAGCTTGCTCAATTTGGTCTTCTAGGGAAAGTTATTAGAAATTTCCCGAGAGTCAAAAATTCCACTATCTTGGGGGATCGATGGCTCATCAGACCCCACAAAGTCTACAAAATTTCAATCTCCCTCGCTCAAACCTCCGCGAATTTTTTTCGAAAAAATCTTTGGCGCCTTCGCATCCCCCGAAGATTTCTGTCTTCTTTTTGGAGAAAGTGGCGGTTGACCAGTTCTCAGGTTAATTTATTTTATTTGTTACTCAGTTGTAAACGTTGATTAACAAGACATAACGCAAACGGGTAAACGTCATGTTTAAACGCTACTGACTTGTAAAACTGACAGCTGACCTGTAAAAATTTTACAAGTTGGTAATCTAGCAATTTCATTGGCCAGAATTAATGCGAAGTCTCTGTTACATGGATAACATGATATTTTAGACATTTCTTCGGAATCAATTTAAGAACTAATTATTTACGTTTACTATTGTTTACAAATGAGTAACAAATAAAATATTGTACATTATACGCCAGGTAATAGTTTTTACTGGCTCTAGGAGATGACAGGCTCGCCTGACGGCTCGCCAGTCAACTTCTCCTATCGCCAGTAAAAACTCACTTACCTGGCTAATAATGTAAAATAGGTACTATTACCCATTGGAAAAACTTTTTACCTGCAAGCGCATTTTTACTCGAAAATTTCCTCTCTTGACCTCCGTACCACACAGTTTTTACTCTCCTTCGCCCGGTACGAATTTTCAAACTGGCGGCTTTACCAAAACACTTCGCGCCCTCCTACTGCTTCCCGGGGTAGTCTAAAAGTTCTAAAAGGAAACTGGTTATGCTTTCCATGTAAGAAAATCTGACATTCGCATATAAGGGGAAACTAATGTACCTAATGGGAATCTGTTATAATTCAAATTACACCGCAGTTTCGCCATAAAAATGTTACCATCTAAAGAGGACTTAAGAAGTTAAGTGATCATAATAACGATAACTACATTTACAAAGGTTTTAGGATTTTCTTAGAATGGTTATGATGAAGAAAGTAACTAGGGCGGCGAGCGCCGACTTCAAGATACACACTCCGGTGGTACACATTGATAAATGTAACTTATTCTTCTTACTTCCGCCTGTTTTATAACTAAACTTGTAGGTTTTTCGGAAATGGTAAAAGTCAATCTAAAAGTCGACACACTTGTTGTCGTGCACAAACATAAAAAGCTAGTCGCGTTGTATTCGATACTTGTCGAAAGCTGCTGCCGATTTCTGAGGCATTTGGAAGGAATTATGGTAAACAATGTAATAATGTGCGATGGTGACAACTCCTCTATTTCACCACTGGAGACTTACCATTTCTTTCCTGAACCGTGCGGGCATTTTATTACAAGAACTTTCATTAAAAATGAAAATGCAGAGTTGAGAGGTAACATTTCGCGACCTGGTAGTGGTACCTATTTATATTTTGTTACAGCAAAGGCGAGAAGGCTACTTCACAAGCGTTTATTGCTACCAGTAAATCAACCATTGTTCAGGGTGGGCAACCGATTTGTTTTTGAAGGAGACGCGCAGGGAGCGGGACTGTTGATCAATCCTCATGAGAGTTTAAATTCTGTGAAAAATGGTAAGTTGAACCTGAAACCAGAAGGGAACAAAAAGGAAAAAGCCTGGCACTGTTTAATGAGGTACTTAGTCTGTTCGGTTAGGTTTGGTGGTGACGTTTGCCTAAATCGTCCACGTCGCTCCATACACTGCGCATGTCTGAAGCATTTTTGTATAAGTTTGCTTTTTAAAAAAATTTGAAATCTACAAAGAATCAAACCCGAACCATCCGAGTACAAGCCCGGTAAGGTAGTGGTAAGGATACCCTCCTTACCACTAGACCATTGCCTTTAGAGGTACATACAAGGGTTATTTTTTTGCGTTTTTGGTTTACACTACACTACTAACAGAACTAGGTCGAGCGTTCTAAAAAATCGCTCGAGCGACGAGCGCTCTAATTGTCTCGAAAATGCTCGCAAGCATCGAGTTGTTTTGCAAAGTGAAACCGCTTGCGAGTTCTGAGCACTCCTAACAATGCTCGAGCGCTCGGGAAAAGTGCTCGGGAGCGGAAAAAGCGCTCGTGAGCGGAAAAAAAGCTCGCGAGCGAAGAAAGCGCTTGCAAGCGGAAAAAACGCTCATAGGCGGAAAAACCGCTCGCGGGCAGAAAAAGTACTTGGGCGCCGAACACTTTAAGTAAACGCTCGAGTATCGAGCACCAAGCGGCCTCTCCGAAAAGTGCTCGCACGCGCTTTTTCCGCTTGGAGTACTTTTTCGAGCGAAACGCTCGTGAGCAGTACCCAGCTCTGACAGTAGTCAGTAAGTAGTGTAGTAACACTCCTTAATAATTTTCAGGAGGGGAAATCGTTTTGGTTAAAGGAAAGTACAGGTACTACCATTACTGTCAGAACAACATGGACGACAACGGCTGGGGATGCGCCTATCGTTCGCTGCAAACGTTAGCCTCTTGGTTATTACTTCAGGGATATACAGATACAGAAGTACCGACGTTTCACGACATTCAGAAGTGTCTAGTAGACATTGGCGATAAACCTTCCAGTTTTGTAGGCTCAAAACAGTGGATCGGTTCGACCGAAGTCAATTTCGTTCTAAATTCGTTACTTAATGTAACATGCAAAATTTTGTACGTCAGTTCGGGCGAGGATATGGCTAGTAAAGGACCAGAATTAGTTTATCATTTCAAACACCATGGCTCACCCATAATGATTGGTAATAGACGGACTGCCAGTGGTATGACTTTTAAACTTCGTTTCAGGGGGTGGCGTTCTTGCACACACCATATTAGGCGTTGATTATAATAATTTAACTGGCGAAATCAAGTTTCTTATTTTGGATCCACATTACACCGGTTCTGAAGATTTGGACATCATATTGAAGAAGGGATGGTGTGGATGGAAAGGTGCCAAATTTTGGGATAAAACAGCATACTATAACATGTGCCTACCGCAGGTTCCGTCTTGCGTCTAATCAGTTATGATTATTAAGCTTTTATTACTTTGTTGAATAAATAATTTTATTTAAAAATATATTTCTTAAATTTTACAAATAACAAATAAAATTAATGTATAAAAATATCAAAAATAGATATTGGTAAGTAGATATAATTAATCATCAGAATCTGGTGTGTGCAGCCATTCCTCAAATGATGGAAATTTCTCTTCCCTAAACGCTAAAATAATATTATATTGGATAAAGCTTCAATAGTAATTGTACCTGAAATGATGGTCGAATCTGTACTGCTATGCCCTGAGGGAGATCTTGGTGATAATACTTTTGGTGTAAAACTGACCACAAATTGACCTTTGTCTGTTATGGAATACAAGTGTCGTGATGCGTCTTTTGTCTCCTCATTGAAGTCAAATTCCTAGAGACAGAAGGAAGATACATTAGTTGTCAACTGTACGTATAAGTTAAAATTCATGCTGGGAGTAAAAACCTGGGCGTGGAAAAGAGCAAAAGGGGTAAACGTGAAAATTGAATGAACAAAATAGAACGCGACGCCCCCTCCCGGAATTAATACGCACAAGAAACGTACACCTGCATTTTCGTTATTTCTTCTAAAGGCGACTAAGAACACGCGCATTAATTAAATTAGGTCTGATAACACTTCTTATCGCCAAACGGCCAGATAGCACTTAAATGCACTCGACCTGATGTTACTAAATTTTAAATAACGCAATTTTTACATCTTATAATTTAAATAAAGAACTTACACGAATGATAGAATTCATAAACAATTAAAACCAATGCTAAAAGTGCCTAGACCACGTCATCTACCTATAGTCCAGTCATTGAAGGCAAAAAATAAGGCCAACCTCGGAATGAGAGATAATAAGCTGTAAACTTCTGCAAACCTTTATTTTGTCATTCTGAAAGTTGTCTCAAAAGTCACATAAAATCTCGTGTCCGCGTCTTAAGATATTCAAGGTCAAAGGTATCAAAAATCGTTTTTTTGCAAATATTTCGTTTCCTATGGTTTTAATGCCATTTGCACTTAATATAAAATTATCTATAACTTTTACCCAAACATTTTTCAATATACTCAACGGTTTTTGAGATAAAAGACGGTGAGCGCGCGGCGCTTATAGTGGTTTACAGTGTAATTCAAGGTCAACCGTAAGTGCAGATGAATTACTTAACACAATATTTTGCAACTGAATGGTTGTGGTTCACGCTGTGGATGCAGGAAATCGGGGTTGCAATGGTCTATAGCTTGCGGCCAGTGTAATGGACAAGCGTACCTTAACGCTTCACCCTATCAAAGTGATCTTGATGAAGACAGTGCATTTGACCCCGAAATTCTGAAAGATCTGGAAACAAATGTCCTTGACAACGATAATAATATTGAATTGCAAATTTTCGACGGTGATGATGAAGAAGAAAATTAATACTCAAATATTGCTAATTATAAGATTCTGAAAAATTTAAACTTAAACTGCAAGTAAATGAATGCAATGCAACAGAACATCACTATATTATCATGGTTAATTAATAAACAATGAAAATTATTTATAATTATATATTTTTTAACGATTTATAATCTTTATACCTGGATTTACGGTTGACCTTGAATTACACTAAACAACTAAGCGCAGCGCGCTCACCGTCCTTTATCTCAAAAACCGTTGAGTATATTGAAAAATGTTTGAGGTAAAAGTTATAGATAATTTTATTCCCTATACTTTTTATGATAAGTACAAATGGCATTAAAACCATAGGAAACGAGATATTAAAAAAAAAAAGATTTTTGAGCCCTTTGACCTTGAATATCTTAAGACGCGGACACGAGATTTTATGTGACTTTTTGGACAACTTTCAGAATCACAAAATAAAGGTTTACACAAGTTTATAGCTTATTATCTTTCATTCCGAGCTGAAACACTAATATGACTGAACTACTATTCGCCCCTGATCTAAACCTTTAAAATATGTATATGCAAAACCTAAACTAAAACTAGCCATTTTTTTGTTGAGCACTAAAATTCCAATTCTAAATTTAACAATGGTCGGTTCCGATTGCAGAGTTCTTTAGTCTTCTAAGGTCTTTGGAATCTCTGGAAATAATAACTTAAAAGGCGACGGAAGGCCTTCCTGAGATTTCTGAGGTAGTTATATATACGTTCGAAAGTTCCCTTTTGCTTTCTACAAGAAATCTTTTGAAAACCGCTGTATAGGGCTAGGAATTAAGCCATGGCAATGCCTAAACAGATCAGGAAAGTGTGGAGCAAAAATCTGAACAACATAGAAATCTTTGAAAAGCACTTCTAGACGCTTACTAAAGCTTTATAGCGCATTTCCAGAACACTTTGGAAAGGGCCTTCTAAGATCTAGAGGTTTCAAAAAAACACTTGAAATTTTTAACAACAGGCCTAAGGAGTCTCGAAAAGGCACATAAGAGACTTTGGTATGCGCTAGAATGTCACTGAAGCGTTCTAAATACAAATTGATTGTTCAGACCTTTTTTATAGAGTTCCTTCCAACATCCTTTTAGCCCTAGCTTTGTACAGAATTTTCCATAAGTCAAATTGTCGATTAACCATGCTAAGACTAGGGAATACAATACGCCCGCGATGAGCTTTCAAATACAAAAACTCTGTTAGGAGGATGCAAAAATCTGGCCCTTCAGTTAAGTACCATTGAACTATTAAGAAAAAGCACCACCTACCTGGTCACTTTCAAGGTGTTCACTTGCGCAAAACTGATGAAGCTTGGCATACTCTGGCAATGTTTCCTCTAAAACGAAAATATGTTTTCAACGCTTAAACAACTTATGCCTTTCCCACCTGACGAAATGTCCACTTCATCTAGCGTCTTTAAGTTTGGTAAAATACTTTTAACAATTTTTCTGTACAAGGGAGTGTCAAAAGCTTGAATTAATTCTATATTTTCCGATAGCGTTAAATGTTCTAACGACTCACATATTGTCAAAAAAGTAACAGCCATAACATCTTTGAGTAGATTTCTGAAGAGCGCTGAATAGTACCTAGGTACTCATTTCATCATACCTGCACGTACCTTTTCAGATTGATTAAGCGAATCTTCGGCAGGAAACCGCAAGGACTTAAATCTGTGATTTGGTTACTTTCGGCGTGAAATTCTTCCACAGTGTCTAAACCTAGCATACCATCTAATGTCGTCAGACCGCAGGAGCATACCTTCAAGATTTTCAAATTCTTGAGCCCGTATCCAAGATCACGTAATGATGATATTGCACTGCCGTCAAGAATTAACTCTCGAAGTAAAGGTAAATGGACACTCATGTGTTGAAGAGAGGTGTCAATTGAAATTACTTGCAACTGTATTTTTGTGACAGTATGCAATTCGCTCGTATTGGCGGCGTGAATCTGAAATATTTACTCAACGGACACAATCGATATCACACCATTCTTTACCAAAACATCTCTAATTGTAGGTTCTAATGGTATTTGAATGTGTCCATAAGGAAATGGGTTCCAGTCATAATTTACTTCCGAATCTGATTCGTGTGACATGCTGCTACCTGATGATACCGGAGAGAGAATGAATGGGGTAACTGATAAGGATGAACGAGGTGACGTTATTTCAGTTGAAGGTTGTTGCTCTAGTTCAGGCATTTTTCTGCAAACTTGATTGAAATTAGATAATTGACAAGGGTGCAAAAATTTTACATGATAAACAAAACGCTTATTGATTTAATATTCGACTTGTTGCTATGGAGAACCTGTAGAATTCAAATCGCAAACAAACGACCTTCAAACGGCTCAGATGAACAGTGAATTTGTTTATGTATTTGATCAATTTTGAAGACACCAAAAAACGACTTGTCTGAGATCGATTGAGTAGAGTAGAGTATATTTTTATTTTCACTATATATACAGTACATGCAGTGAGTCCGCATATATAGGTACATGGAAAATATGTCAACAGTCACAACATAATGTAAAATAATAAAACGGTACAAACAAATACGATACAATTATAAAATTTATAGAAAATATAGTTACAGTATGCAGTTATAATGTAAGGTCTGCTACGCCATATTATGTAAAGAATTCCTTAATGGAATAATTTTCAGCATTAACTAAGAAGGACTTTAAGGTGTTTTTGAACTTATTGATATTGTTTATGTTTTTTAGATCGGTTGGCAAGCAATTGAAAAATTTACAGGCGTTATTATGACTACTTTTTTGGTAATATGTCGTTTTATGCTTATGAGGTAGCAAGTTATTTTTAAATCGAGTGTTGTGGTTGTGAGAAAGTGAAAGGGAATTAAAGTGTTTTTTATTCTGATAAGCATATTTTATGATTTCATAGATGTGCAGACATGGTACCGTTAGAATGTTTAATTCTTTGAACCTGGATCGGCATGTGGCACGGTAGCCTATACAGCAAATTATTCTCACTAAACCTCTCGCCAGGAAAGATTGCCGGTCAGAGAACACTTGATCCCGGTCTACAATCTATGTTTTTCTAAAGATGTGAGCGACTTCCGTATCGTGTCAATGTTGAACAAAAAGACTTTTCGTTCAACATTGGCACGATCCTATTTCGGAATTCGCTCGCATCTTAAGAAAAACATAGATTGTAAATCGACACAAGGTGTGCTGTGACCGGCAATCTTTCCTGGCGAGAGTTATACATATTTTTGCAGCTTAAATAATCTTAATAGGTTGGGAGATTGCCCGCAGTGAATTATTGCAAATCTTATATGGCTTTCAAAACAAGCAAAATATAATGTGCTAGGGATTTTATTGCAAAAATGGACGACGATAGTTTTTTACATAAGTTATCTATATAATGGTCCCATTTAAGGTTTTCATTTAAATTTATGCCTAATGTTTTTGTATTTTGCTCTAGTTCAATCTTCGAGTTCTTATAGATAATGTATTGGGGAAAGTCATGTTTTGATCTAGCTGTAACAAAAGGAACGCATTTTGTCTTGTTTATATTTAGACAGAATTTATTAGTTTCCATAATCCATTCTAAAATAGTATCCTTAGTTGTACCTACTAAGAAATGGTTGGATATCGCTAATTTTTGGACAGGTAATTAATATATTATTGTCGTCCGCATATGTAGTGATGTGAATGTTAGGGTTGTAAGTAAAAAGATTTAGCAGGTCGTTTACGTATATAATGAACTGTGTTGGTCCCAATACACTCCCTTGAGGCACGCTCATTTTAACTTTCAATCTATTTGATAGGACAATTTCATTGTTTTCAGTTAATCGTACTGTTTGGTATCTATTCTCTAAATATGATTGAAACCACTCCAAACACGCACCCCGTATACCGTATCTTTCCAGTTTTTCCAACAGAATTGTATGGTCTACGCAATCGAAAGCCTTGCTCATATCTATGAAAACTCCTAACGCAATACATTTATTAACAATATATGGTTTCGACTATTTTGTTGATAAATGCGAAGAGTGATGTTTCTACGCTTTTGTTTCGCATAAAGCCGTGCTGATTATCATTAAGAAGGTTATTTGTTACGAAAAACGCCATTAATTTATCATTAACAATGATTTCAATAATTTTTGAGAAAGAAGAAACTAAGCTGATGGAGAGTCAGATCGATTTTGGCGTGTTGTAATGATCGTGGGGGTCCCCCGAAGCCGACACTGCAATCTTGACTTGCCCTAACAGTGATATTCATGTAGAAGTAGACATAGGAATTTCCAGATCTTTATTTGTTTCAAGAAGTTATTTGGTTGCATAAAATTAGGCGTCTTTCAGGAGACTTCATCATGTAAAAGTAGACATAGGAAATCCCTATGTCTACATCTACATAAATATCACTGTATACTTACAGTTGGGAACGCTAACTATACGAGCGACGATCGACGCGACGTTTCGCAGCACTTTTGAATCTTGGTAGCAGCTAGCAGTTGGATAGAGCTGGTTGGCACGAATAGGTCCTATATTGCGTAATCGCGGTTCTTTTTATGTGTTGTGATGAAACATAATCGGGAAGGGAATTGAATAGAATGCAGAATTTTGGGTGCAAGAAAACGCAAGGAAATATAAAGATATAGGGTTTGTATAAAAAATATCGGGAAAACCATGGTTTATGTTAGATATTGCTACAAAATATTAACATTCCTAAAAGTACGCCCCTTGATCGTTGACACACTTTAACCAGCGTTTTTTGCACCGACTTGAATAGGCTTCCTGGTAAGCGGATTCCGGATTTCACTTTTGGGAATAGGAAAGTCTCCGCGGCATGGACTGCGGGGGGTTGGGAATCATCACAATGCCTTTTTGGCATCAAATAATCGGTCACCTTGGAGCAGGTGTCCTATTCAAAAACCCAACTTTGGTCACCCATGATTACGTTTTTCAAAAACTTCTTCAACACATTGTTAGAAGGTTTTCGCTTGTGCTGGTCGTCCGTCATGACCTTGGAGACGAATTTGGTGCAGACCTTCCGCATCGCCAAATTTTTCGTGATAATGATGGTCATCTTGTCAATGCTAATTAGACCTGCGATCAAGCGCACACTTAACCGACGGTCCAGCACGCTTTGCTTTGCAAATTTTTGTGTCATCAGTTGTCAAAAAATTCTTTAAAAATGGCTCCAAGAGTTGTATGGATGCATTTCACAAAAAATAAAATGTGCAAAGACGGCAAAAGTTATGTAGAGCGCACCACATGCAAGTTTTGTAACTGAATCAAAACAAATATGCGCGCTGTTGCTCTAAAAGCAAAACATAACTTCCCTGGATTGAGCACCAGTCACGCACACGAATACGAATGCGTGGCCACGAGGCCTCAATGAACCCAAATGAGCGCAATGCGTTACGACCGCCTCCAGTTCCAGCAGGTAAACGCATGCACAAGTGAAACGGCTACATCAACAGAATCGCTAATTAGGGGCTTTTTGAACGGCTACACGCGAATAAGCAGGAGTGGTGAATTTCTCATTCATAAAATACCACCGATGGCGTAATAACCATGAAGGCAACAATTTTCACATCTTGTGGCAGTTTCGATCAATCTCGTCCTCCTTGGGAAGTACTAAGTACAACTTCCACTTAGATAACCCTACTACGGGATATACATACCTTGTTGTGGTAGTGGCGCTCAGTAGTCACTATTCTTAGTGGCGAAGCTAAGTAATAATCCAGGTTTTACCTATCAAGTCTGGTGCGTGAGCTACCCAATTCCTAAGTCTGATGAAACGGATGCTGTGCCATTAATTTGCTTAATCGACACGAGTACTCACGATAGTGGGAGTTCCAGGGCAGTACATTGGTGTCAGACTCTTGAGGAGTTGTGGCATGGTTTGAATGAAGGAAACATTTTCAATAGGGGAAAAATTGGGGTAACAATCTTTTTGTCACCCCACGTGATAAACGGATGGCTGCAAATGTGAACAAACACACTGAGGGTTATACATAGATAATAAAGTTAGTTAGTGAGCACATTACTTTTAATTAATTTTACAAATTTTGTACTTACAAAATAAAAATCATAATACGTCTTACTAAGCCATATCTAGTAGCCTATTTAGTGACACAGGTAACCACGAACAATTATTTTGGGAATAAAATACAACATTTCTATCAAAATACACTTGAACACCGTTCGAACCTAACCTATACACCTGCTTCGCCTCGTAATACTTATTAAGCACTGGTACAAACAAAATTCCTCGTTCCTCGCAGCGTTTCGCCAGAAGATCCTTAAATCCTTGTGGAATTTGTGTTGCAGCTCTGACTGCCTCCACCATAGTCTAAAACACAAATTATTTTAACACTGTCAGACTTTTTATCCAAAATAAAGCGTATCTGAATTTATTGTATTTTTAGGCATTTATTTAGGCAAAATGACACTAAGCTTTAAGGGTGGAGTTTGACCAGATGCATGATCGACTCAAGAACTGGACTGATTTAATTTTAAAAAATTCAGACGCGCGATTTTAGCTTTGAGAGGTGTGTACACTATTGCATTAATACATACCTCAACGCGAGGAGGTGGTGGTGGTGGTGGGGCGTTTGTCTCTATATTGGTAAGATAAGACACAAATTCTTTCGCGCCCGGTTGCTGCCCAGTCGTCACGGCTCGGTTCATCATTTCCAACGCCTTGTGAAAATTATCTGTAACGTCCCAAATAAAAGCGAGATTTGCAATAAACATGGCGCTTACCTTTAATGGATGGCTGTACCAGTAACTCGTCCGATAGCATTCTTTTCCAGCCAGAGTACCACTCCGTAACCTGATTATAATCGGGATTATGATTCAGCCACATCGCCAGAGTTTGCAACCATCTGGGGAAAAAGTACTTGTCCAAGATTGAGGTTAAGTTCAGCACGGAGAGCATATCTTTCCAATCCATTACCCAGTTCCAGGCGTCTGCAAATTTTCAAATCAAATTATGCGCTGTTGTCAATGCCCGTTTTAGATTGTCAAATTGCTACATATACAAGGTGTCTCAATTTTGAGGTAGAATTGGAAAAAATTGCTTAATTTGTTTTTACAAAAAATTTCACTTATTTTTGAAAACATCAAAAAACACTAGAAATCGATGTCATTTATATTTGTGACATTGTGTGGTTACCACGATACTACTTAACTCGAAAAGGTCAAACGCAATTGAAGTTCCCATAGACTATATCTGTATGAAATCTATTAAGTTTTTAAGTTCTGAGAAATTTTGAAGACCGTTTGGAAGATGATACGTATTATTTATGAATGTGAAGAAGTTACCTAAATGCTGTTGATGAGGATTTATGGCAAGAGACTGCATGCACAGTTGTAACTTCGGCACAATATGTACCAAAAGAAACGCGGCAAATGAACCCTCCGGAAGAGCATCTTTCCACGGTTTCAACATTAATTTCGCCGAACGATCTGACGGATGCCAGTTAGTCAAGGCCGCCCCTAATTTCTCCTGGATTATCGGAAACACGTTTTCGTTTAAACGTGTATCTACAATTCAATATGTGAGTATACACAATAGCGATACGTGTCGCAAGAGGTGCACTATCATACACTCTTACTTAATAAGGGAATCCAAGGGTGAATCCAGTAGTGTATGGGAACGGTGTCTGTGAGTGGGTTCCAGTTGTTCACTTCGGTCGAAATACGCGGCATTATTAACTGATCCAGGATATTATCCAAAATCCACTGTGGTAGGAGGGGTTTCCAAATCTCCAATAAGTTGATTACCGGTTCACAGTCACGTATGTTCCAAACACTATAAAAAAAGGACACACTTTAGTGTGCAAAAAATGTCTTTGTCAATTCAAAACATTTGGTGCATCCACCAACCACTTGCAATTTCAAAAATCCTACACAGACCGAAAATATCAATATCAAAAATTTTTTCTTTTTGCAAGTTGTCCCATTACTAAAGGCCAATTCACAGTATCGGTCACATCACGGTCCGGTCAATTATTGTAGCTTGTATTTCTTATAAGCATGTTCTGACCGTGACCTGACCGTCAAATGTGAATATTCCTATTGAAATAGCATGTTACAATATTTTGAGAGAAGCGTGACCTGAGCTATAGTGTATATTGAACCTACAAAGTTGGTTACATCATAATATAGCTTATAATCTCAAAATTATAATGGTCAAATCAAAGCAATCATTAACCATCAGGTTATAGAAATATTCTTCAAAATATCAGTGTTTGAATGACAAACCCTCTATTATGCATTTTTACGTTGATTTTATTAATTTAAAAAATGGTATTTTATATAACATCTCATTTAATCATATTCGCTTCCATTGATTGCATGATGCTATACGTCTTTCGCTATAGAAACCGTTGCACGTCATTGATTTGTGTATCAATTTCAGACATATGCTGCAACACTGCAACATGTACAAAAAAAAACAAGTGTGCGAAATCTATAGAAAACTTGTCTGAAATTGATTCATAAATCAATGACGTGCATCGGTTTTTATAGCGAAAGACGTTTATGTAAACATACTTAGTGTTGACGTCATAATACACTGATGACGTGCGCGCCAAACTAAGGAAAATCCTAGTGCCAAAAATGAAATAACAGTGAAAGTAGTGTACAAAAAACAGTGATCAATTATCATAAATACAAAGTGGAAAATGATCCGTTGTTCAACCCAATTATCTTAATATAAACGGCAAACTTACCTAACACACGTTCTCAATACGGGCACCCAAGTGTGCCATAAGAGACTATCATATGGCTGAATTCCCATACTATTACCTTCTAGTGTCCCACGCTGTTGGGGCTTCTCCAATATATCCTTCCATTGCATAAATATGTCGATGTATAGATTCGGAGAGGCCATCGGAGACCAGCTCGCTAAAGCTGACGTTATCAATGGTCCGACTAGACCAGGCGCCAATTCACCAAGATGAAATGAGTAATATTCTTCGGAATGGTTTTGCTACAAATAATGGCCATTTTATTCATAGGGTTTAATTAGTGCATAATATCTACTTTTAAAAAGCAAAAAGTATGTAGACTCAAGTTTTTGAGAGAGAGAGAGGGAGGTGTTTTGCTGGCGTTGCTCCCAAATGAAACATTTTGAATCCTTCTTTTATTCTAAAATTCAGATTTTTTTTGTTACATTGCTTATTATTTTATTATTATTATTTTTATTATTTAAGAAACGCCTTGAATTTCTAATTTTAAAAAATCGCAGCAGCTCTGGCAGCTTTTTCAAGTTTTTCAGCAATCACTCAAAAAATTCCTTCGACTTTAAGGGACCCTTGCAGCTTCACATTTTTAGTGAAAAATTGACATGTCAAAAACTATGACAAATGGGTACTTTAATCTTAATTGCGTTGAATTCGGAATAAAATAGCGCGTTTAGAAAAAAAAATAGAAAATGGGTTCTATTAAAAAAAAACAAAGATGGCGACACTTCCGGTTTTTTCGGAAGCGGCGCCATCTTGAAATTATTTGCAATTTGCAATTATTGATTATGACTGTACACCAAATTTGAAGTTTCTATTTAACTGCAAGTTTAAAAACGAACGGGTTATGTGAGCCTTCCTGTATAGTGATTGACCCTTCATATTGTAACGGAAATGCTCCAGACATGACGTCGCCTTTGGCGCTCTGGAATTTTCTACGCGCGCGATAGCGGGATATGTAGAGAAATATTTCAGACTTATCCGGAAAATTACGCGAGCGTTCTTGACTTACATTGCTTGCGTGTATAAATGGTTGCGGACCGAACATCGCGGCAGTCTACTACCGAACGAGTACGGACGAAACATCGAGCGCGGAAATATAAACTGCGAAGTGTGTGTGATATAAATAATCGATATAAATTGTACGGTTTTTATAGTGTTTTAGTCTTGTTTAATAAATATTGATATAAATCGAACCCGAATTCATAAATAACGTTACAATATGATAGCAAGCATATATAAATGGGTACGTTCAGCCAATGCAACTGTTGACAGCAAATTTGTGGTGCCAATTATTACCAACTGTTGACTTCCCCCCAGAAGTCACCATTCATCGTTCAGGTAAGTCAACATCTCAACAGTTGTGTCGGCTGAACTTACCCCACGTTTTCACAATGCATTCAGATGCCACCACTACCCCTTTAGTCCTGAATGCAGCCTACTAGGAACCAATTTCGAAAAAAAATTCAAAGGGCTGTAACTTTTGAACTAGTAGCCCAATTTTAGAAGTGTTTGAAATTATGGATTCTACAGGCCACATTCTATAAGAAAATTTTTTTTCCTGGTTGATCTGGGACAATTTTTTTCTCGGGGCTCAAAAAAAGGCAGTGTATAACCTTCCTTTTTTACAAAAAATCGACTACACCAAAATTTCTCGGGAAGACACTTTTTCTTATTAATTTGGGTGCGTAGAATCCAAATCAATTCGTACTTTTTCGATCAGACTTTCAATTTTTTTCAATTCAATTCAATTTTATTGTTACCTTTTGACAATGGATTAACATTGTGTAAGGGCTAGTCAGGACAGTAAAAAAAAAAAAAAAAGATTACATAGTAACATATAGATTGCATTTTGAACTAATAATTTTTTTCTCCAACCACCTGAATAAGACGCTATTTTGTGACAGTGTTCGGTACGTAAAATTGACGTTTTGCGGATTAATCGATTTCACCATGGCAACTGTACAAAAAGTGGATACTTTTGGTCCTAGTACCAAAAAGAAATTGACCTTGAAAGTTGGCCAATTAAAAAATTACAATCACGGAGATATGTCACATTGACATCGTTTTACATTGCAGGTTGTAAGATATTTCTATACATACAAATCAAATATTTTTGCATATTCAATGCAAATAATGCTGTTACCTATACGTTTGTACATGTATTGAAAATGATTTACGCTCGCTATTTTTATTTAAACCATGTGTAACGTAATTTACATATTCGGTGAACGTAATTTTAATACGTATACAACCCGCCGTCGCGCGTAACGCCATCTACTTCAGACCCATTGCACTATTATCTGTCATTTTGAATTCAAAATTTGAAAAAGTTAATTGCAATTAATTTTAATTAAAAAACTGTATGGTAAGTTTTTTATTTCAATACAAAATATAACAATATTAATTGTGTATACAATAGAAATGACTGAAACTGATAGCGACATGGATTGCACTCCGCCAGAGATTATAGAAACGGCAGAACATGCTACCTTAGATTTGCTCCCTACAAAGTCGCGAGAGGTGAGAAGTAAGAACGAATAGGTTATAAGTTAACCTAAAAACTAGAGTGGCATGACACGTGAGGACAAGAAAGCAGAAGTTCTCATACTAGTAGTGAAACTGTGACTGAATCTAAATTCGAATATAATTTGAAGTAAAGGGGGTTGGAGAAAAAATTTTATGTTTTATTCGTACAAAAAATGCGTTTTCGGGACTGCAAAATATAAAAAACTTCGTTGAAACATTTTTGGTATGGAATTGTTGCTAGAACAGATCTCGTATTACCTCTCTTAATTTCCAGACTTATACGTTGTTTAAGAAATTCAGTTGAACGACTGTCTAGATTTTTCAAAAATTTTCCGTCCTATATCCTTAACAAAAAACTTATTTATGAATGAATTATTTAAAAATTTAAAATTCGATTGTTATAAAATCATGGCCAACTACTAAAAAGAAAATGCGAAAAAAATCGCATCAATTCCTAGATCAATTCAATGAAATGGGAATAAATCAGAAACTGTTAAAGATAGCTATAGGAACATGTAATATCAAAATATTCCAATTTCGATTCTCTATCTCATGCAATAGTAAGAACAGGGTCATTCCATTTAAAAAAACTGAGTTTATAGACTTTAAAGTTTCTTAAATTTGGATCTCCATAGATGCGGTTGTACGCAACTTAACTTTTTTTTAAGTACACTAAAAGAAAGCCCTATTCATTCTCTATGCACTGATAAAAATGGGTTGCCATGACTACAACCGATTTCAAGTAATCAATTATCAAGGTACCGTCTGCATCCGCCATTTTTTTTCTTAAAGTCAAAATAACTTAAAAACCATAAATGGCAGATATCGACATATGGGTATCGAAAGGATTGAAATTTCATGTAGAATCCAAAAATGCAATAAAAAATACGGGTTGCCATTTAAAATAATGAAATTACTATCTACTTCCGGTATTTCCGGAAGTGCGGCCATTTTTTAAATATTTTACATCGATTCGGCCTTCAGAGTAACTCCTTTAACTCGTTTAACTAAAGCTCCCAAAAAAACACCCTGTATAATGTACTATTTCGATCAGACTTCTCAATCAAAAGTTATAGACTAGAAACCAATTTCAAAAAAAAAAATTCAAAGAGCTGTAACTTTTGAACTAGTAGCCCAATCTTGGAACTGTTTGAAATTATGGATTCTACAGGCCACATTCTATAAGAAAAATTTTTTTCCGAGTCGATCTGAGACAATTTTTTTTTCGGGGTTCAAAAAAAGGCAGTGTATAATAACCTTCCTTTTTTACCAAAAATCGACTACACCAAAATTTCTCGGGAGAACACTATTTCTTATTAATTTGGGTGCGTAGAATCCTAATTAATTCGTACTTTTTCGATCAGACTTCTCAATCAAAAGTTATAGACTAGAAACTAGTGATTTTAAACTACACGTTTTTTTTAAAGTGCGTAATATTACGTGTAAAATTACCAATTGTTTATGTATTTTATGTAATTTATGTAACTCACCATTTTTTAAAAAAAACCGTAATTTTACAGTAAAATTACCAGTATTGATGTTTTTTATGTAATTTACAAATATTTTTGTAAAATTACCTGTCGTTTATGTTTTTTTTCGATATAGTATAAACCTTTTTGTATTTTGTGAGTGTTTGAAAATAAAAACACTTGTTAAATTATATATTTTGGTGTATTAAGTAAAATACCCAAGCAGTAGGTATTTCGCCATCACACGTCATTTGGAGAAGCTCCAGACCGCGAATTAGAGGCTGTATCATTTTCATTAAATCAAACTAAATTCAACGGTGAATCGTTTACGTTGGTAGTACCGTTTATGATCTGTGGTAGTACCGATCAAAATGTATCAAATAGGTATTACATTTACAAAAATTATGGTTTTTTAAATTAAAAACGTAAGTTTCATAAAAGACATAAATTACATAAAAAAACCGGCCTCTTGTAAGTTACGCGTAATATAACCGTTTTTTATGTAACTTACAAATCGTTATTTTACAATCCGCATCACTAAGCCTACCACATCAATGGTAGTAGGGTAATCAGTAATAATATACAAACCTGTAGCTTCCTGAACATTTCAGCAAATTGTCCAAGTGACAATCCCTGCATGGGATCCATAAGTTTGTCGAGAATTTGTAAAATGTCTTTTAAATTCGTAATCAGAGTCTCTTCCTCGGCTAAAGTAGCGCTAAGGGAATTTTCCTCGTGATGCAAGGACTCCAATTGGTCTTGGCTAAATCTTGACCGCCTATCCACATTTATTATGTCCTAAAAATGTGAAGACACATTTTAATGTTTTGGCAATTAAAGGTCCATGTACTAAAAGTGCCACCTGTGTGTCACATGCGATACCTAAAATGTGGCTTGAGTGGACTTGAAACATAGGCAACACTTTCTTAATAATACCTGTTCACACATATTCACTAATATATCTAAATTATGTTGAATTTCGGGCAGTGCGAAATTTGAACACTTTTTATGTACGACGTCCTCAAAGTGTTCGGCGCCAGGCGGAGCTTTTAATCCACTGAGTGCATGATAGCCGCTCAACACCCTTTGCTGGGGACCCGTCATATCGATTACTTTCACCTTTGTCAACTCGCTAAAAAACCCAATCAGATTTAACACAAGTTCAGAAACAACTTACTTAGCAAGTGATGAGCTGGAAAATGCTCCCGGACGTTTACCTTTCTCAATAACGTCATCTACGGTTCTATAGTAATACCTAGTTTTCTTCTTTGCCATATCACTTTTCTTCCACTTGGACTCGTATTCCCTCTCTTCATTGTCGATAATTTCTATATTTTCCTAATGGGCAAATTTAAATCAGAAAAGAAAAGGAAATCTTGGAATATTTTGAAAATTTGACAATATACCAAGGTCGATGAGAAAAATTCATCTAAAATATTTTCCAAGTTAGTGGCACTTCCTTGTATGACATTGAGGCCAACTTGCTTATTTTAAATGGAACACCCTATATATTATTTCATTTTTAGATTCTACAAAGTACATTAAACCAAATTTTCAAAAAATTGCAGTCTCCTTTTGAAGATATAGTCGGGAGACACCCTGTATATTGTATACTCACCTTCACTTTAGGAATGCTGGCAGATTTTTCTGGTCCGTACGCCCCGATGGCACCTCGCCCCTTTCTCAAATGAGCCTCAACAGGAGCGGAAATACCTTGCAAATCCTTCCCCAATCCCTTACCGGGTTGATATCCCATTTGCAATAGCAATTTCGCGCCGATACCCTTCGTGTACAACTCCCAATTTCCGACGCCCTTCCTCATTAAGCTTTGGTTGGCTAAATTATTCGTTCTCCTCAACCCTGCGATTTCTCCGGTAATTTCACTCGATGCCGATTTCTTGTTGGTCACATGCGATCCAAAACCTACGATGTAATTAAATAAATCGTTCCAAATTCAATCAGATTAAAGCTTACCTGCTTTTTGCGGTGGCGCTTCATCCTCCGAATTACTAGACGTATTTTCTACTTTAAATGAGGCAGATGGGATTTCTGATTCATCGTCGGTCTCCTCCTTCTTGATGTCTTTGTCCTTTTTACCGGCTTGCTGCACTCCGCCAGAAACAAAACCAATAGGTGCCGAAAAGTTCTTGGCCGGCTTTTGCTTAAAGGATGCCCTCTCGTCAACTTCATTGTCGCTATCGTCCGCCCAAATGCCTAAAGTACCATGAAATAAATAACAAAACATGGAAATGAAGTAACAAACCATATATTTGCTGATGCTTACTAAGACCTCTTCGCGGTCTGTTTGGATTAAATTCATTTTCTATATCATAATCTGTTATTTCAAACTTCTCGTACTCCTGATCTGACATTTTATATTCACTTTACTTGTTTAACGACCACTTTCAAGAAGACATTTTTCATCAAACAAGGGTCAAAGGTGACGCATCAGCACGAACACGGAGATTTCTGCATTTCTGAGCAATTTTTTCAGGTTATGGTAAGTAACTATTCGAAATCTTACTAGATGGCAGCGCTTTAGAAGCCTCTACACTTCTACAGGGTGGCTATGTTTTCCCGAAAATTTTTGGGGTAGTCGATTTTCGATTAAATGCAAAGGCTATACACTTGCTTATACTTAGGGTCGGAAATATGAGTTGTCTGAAATCGACCATAACTTCAAACATTGGGCAACTAGATCAAAAGTTATAGCCCCTGGAATTTTTTTTCGAAATTGGTTTTTTGCCTGTAACTTTTGATTCAGAGGTCCAATCAACAAACTACGAGACGTTTTGGAATCTACGAGGCAAAATTAATCGGACAAAGTGTTTCCCCGAACATGGGGTAGTCGATTTTCGGTCAAAATGCAAAGGCTATACACTTGCCTATATTTTGGGACGGATAAATTCATTGTCTGAAATCGACCGAGAATACACATTTTCTTATAGATTTTGGTCTGTAGAATCCATAACTTTAAACAGTTTGAAGATTTGGCTACTAGATCAAGTTACATCAGCTCCTTGAATTTTTTTTCGAAATTGGTTTTTGCCTGTAACTTTTGATTCAGAGATCTAATCGACAAAATACGAGACGTTTTGGAATGTACGAGGCAAAATTAATCGGAATAAGTGTTTTCCCGAACATTTTTGGGTAGTCAATTTTCGGTGAAAATGCAATTATACACTTGCCTATATTTTGGGTCGGAAAAATGATGAGCAATGCAGCAAACAAAAACCTCCCAAAGATAATAGAAGCTATTGTTGCTGTAAAACAAAGCGGGATTCTGAAATCGACCGGGAAAAAACATTTTCTTGTGGATTTTGGCCTGTAGAAACGATAATTTCAAAGTTTAAAGATTGGGCTACTAGATCAAAAGTTACAGCCTCTTGAATTTTTTTTTCGAAATTGGTTCTTGGCCTATAACTTTTGATTGAGAAGTCTAATCGAAAAAGTACGAATTGTTTTGGATTCTACGCACCAAAATTAATAAGAAAAAGTGTTTTCCCGAGAAATTTTGATGTAGTCGTTTTTTGGTAAAAAAGGAAGGTTATACACTGCCTTTTTTGGAAACCCCAAAAAAAAAATTCTCAGATCGACCCGGAATAAAAATTTTCTTATAGAATGTGGCCTGTAGAATCCATAATTTCAAACAGTTCCAAGATTGGGCTACTAGTTCAAAAGTTACAGCCCTTTGAATTTTCTTTCGAAATTGGTTTCTAGTCTATACCTTTTGATTGAGAAGTCTGATCGAAAAAGTACGAATTGATTTGGATTCTACGCACCCAAATTAATAAGAAAAAGTGTTTTCCCGAGAAATTTTGGTGTAGTCAATTTTTGGTAAAAAGGAAGGTTATACACTGCCTTTTTTTGAGCCCCGAAAAAAAATTGTTCTCGACCCGGAATCGACCGGGAAAAAACATTTTCTTGTGGATTTTGGCCTGTAGAAACGATAATTTCAAAGTTTAAAGATTGGGCTACTAGATCAAAAGTTACAGCCTCTTGAATTTTTTTTTCGAAATTGGTTCTTGGCCTATAACTTTTGATTGAGAAGTCTAATCGAAAAAGTACGAATTGTTTTGGATTCTACGCACCAAAATTAATAAGAAAAAGTGTTTTCCCGAGAAATTTTGATGTAGTCGTTTTTTGGTAAAAAAGGAAGGTTATACACTGCCTTTTTTGGAAACCCCAAAAAAAAAATTCTCAGATCGACCCGGAATAAAAATTTTCTTATAGAATGTGGCCTGTAGAATCCATAATTTCAAACAGTTCCAAGATTGGGCTACTAGTTCAAAAGTTACAGCCCTTTGAATTTTCTTTCGAAATTGGTTTCTAGTCTATACCTTTTGATTGAGAAGTCTGATCGAAAAAGTACGAATTGATTTGGATTCTACGCACCCAAATTAATAAGAAAAAGTGTTTTCCCGAGAAATTTTGGTGTAGTCAATTTTTGGTAAAAAGGAAGGTTATACACTGCCTTTTTTTGAGCCCCGAAAAAAAATTGTCTCAGATCGACCCGGAAAAAAAATTTTCTTATAGAATGTGGCTTGTAGAATCCATAATTTCAAACAGTTCCAAGATTGGGCTACTAGTTCAAAAGTTACAGCCCTTTGAATTTTCTTTCGAAATTGGTTTCTAGTCTATAACTTTGATTGAGAAGTCTGATCGAAAAAGTACGAATTGTTTTGGATTCTACGCACCAAAATTAATAAGAAAAAGTGTTTTCCCGAGAAATTTTGGTGGAGTCGATTTTTGGTAAAAAAGGAAGGTAAGTATTCAAATACTATGCGAAGTATTCGAATACTTCTCAAAGCATCCAAATACCTTGCGAAGTATTCGAATACTAAATATTGGTGTTACAAATACAAATACTGCTTCCATAAAAGTATTTAATTACAAAATATTTGAATACTTTAAAGGATTTGAATACTAAAAAGTATTTACAAAATCGAATACTGCCCAGCTCTGAATATACTTGCCTAAAACCTTTATTAACGAAACACGTTCCCTTCTTGGCACATTTGATACATATAGAAGCAATTAGGCTAGAACGTGAAGTAAATGCTTGATTACAACCAAGTGGGTTCCTGATTCGAATTCGTGTTCACGAGAGAGAGAGGAACAACCTATATAAAAACCATGCCCACTTCAAAATCAACGCGATAAAATTTACTTAATAGAATGGACATAAAACACAAACCAATAACAACATGTACTAATCAAATAACCTTGTTATGCACAAAATAGGTCAAATTTCATAAATGAAATTCCAAGATGGACATTATACACTGATTTTGTGGTAAACGTTGTTTTTTACCTATTCCAAAATATGTCTACTGTGACAATATTTAATCTTAAATGATCCACAAACCCACAGCAGACAAACACTGCCAAAAATAGAACCAATTGCCAAATCAAAAAAATATTGCGACCTGAAAACGTTAATTTGTAGAAATTAATATTTCGTGAAGAATTGGATTTATTAATCCATGGAAAGTCTGGGTCAGGTCATCGGCAATGGTACTTGCTTTCCAATATAGGAACCTATTTTGTAACAAAATGCACTTATTTGGAGCTTTTTGCTGATTATCTACAATTTTTGACACGTGCATTGTGTACGAAATAATAATGCTGTCACGACGAGATTTATTTCGACTATCTACAATATTTATTTTTGCTCTTGTCTTGGTGAAAATATAATAATTTTAGCATACACGTGTCACATAATCGCTACATAATCAGTGAGTGTTTATTTACAAGTTTAATCAAAACAAATAACAATAATTAGGTACTCATTTAATGATTTAAATACACAGCAGAAAGCACATGGCTTCGGAATAAAAGTAAGATAGATATGCGTAGCGTAGTGCTTTGATGGTTTCTTGGAGTTTTGTTCAATTCGCTTGAAACAAAAATTTACCTAGTACACAGACGTTTTTTCACCTTTGAAAAACTATCCGTGACAAGGTTAGTGGGAACCAAAAAAATTCCCTCAAATTCTTAAAAAAAAACATGTAGTAAATAAGCGGCAGCATTTCCTCTATTAGCTAATGCGTATTTTTCACGAGTGATCCTCGCCACGTGAAGCACCAAAAATTGATATGATAAGAAAACGTTTGTAACCAGTTGGTGCAGAATTGCATAAAGTGCCTTAAACCAGTTAAATTCAGTTTTAAGGGATATCCAGTTTTTGGTTTTTGGCGCACCTTGCAAGACTTTGGCCTAATTTCATACCAAATAGTCAAAATTGTATGTTCTCATATATGCAATTCACAGATCTGAGCTAACTCATTCATTTTGGTGACAAAAAGTTAAAAATGTGTTTTGCAGTTTTTCATATTTTTTTGTTCCTTTCTTGTTTTTTTCGTAAACGGAGAGAAATAGCGACAAAAGTACGGAAACCATTATTGTTCTTTTTAGCTCAACTTTAACGCATTTTCAATACCTATTGAACCAAAACGATTTTGAATACAAACAATTGAAGATGGCGAAGCCCTGGCTACAAAATGAAAATAAGAATAACTCCGAAATCCGAAGTAGCTTAGTAAATAGTTTGGTTACGCTTACAAAGTAGTAGCATTTATCGATGTTCCCTTTTTGGTAGATTATGGGGAAGGGGAGCTTTACACATAGAAGGTAGAAATTGATTCCTTCCATTGAGACTTTTCATTAGAGTACCATTCAAGATAAAATCAATTTATGCTCCCCTATAAAGCTTACATCGCTTTGCTCTGCCGCTTAATAAAGCATAATAAATATAAATAAAATACACAAAACATGATAAAAAACAGTTGAGGTACAAGCAGGTAAAAAATAAAGGTAGCTCTACTCATATTTGGTGCAATAAATCCCCTTTGTTACAGTAAAATGGAAAATTACACGGCCTTGGAGCAGGCCCGTAGGTAGGGGGTGGCTGAGCCCCACCTAGAATATAATAATCCGTCTTTATTCTTTTGAATGGTTTCAAATTATAGAACATGTGCTCTTGCCCCCACTGGAAATTACGGTTGATGGTTCCTTTACAAAAATGACAGCGGAAGCCTTTATCAAAAATTTCTTAAGCCCCACCTAGAAAAATACCGACCACCCCTGCTACTTCGTTCTGGCTACGGGCCTGCCTTGGAGGGAGAATTCAACGTTAACAACAAAAGATGCGGAAATTAGTGAAACGAAACTCTGAAACTCATATATCACACATAGATTCTAAACAAAAGAGCTTTTATTAGCAGAACCTCCCCCTGAGATATGTAACTCGCCCCTCGTCTGGGGGATCCGAGCCTACAGTTAAAAGTCAAGGCCAATCACAGAATTAGGTGTCGTACCTCATTTGGTTACAGGTTTTGCCACCTCTCTGACCGCCTCACGGAGAAAATGTTAGTTTACAAAGAACAATTCGATAACTTCCACATTAGAATGATCAAATTTTATATGAATATTACTTCTGGTCAAAGCCTTGTAATATAAACAAAAATGTAGCAAAACTTACACCAAAAATGAGCGGTTAACACTATTAAATACGTTATTCTGCATTGAGGTTAAATCAAGCCAATTTCAAAAATAAAGGTGAATAATTATAAAAAAACGTTGCACAAATAAATTATAAAGAAATCCAGAGATTACTACCAGTGTTAAATAACACAAAATAACATTTACGGAGCGATGCTTTCCAGATTCTCCTCCTAAAAATGGTTGCCACAAAAATGTGTGCATCATCGTAGGGTGTATAATATACATCAGGACGGAACCTCTCAACCTCAAAAAGTTTTCATGATACACAGCGTCAAAGGTCCTTGAAAAATTACAGTATTCTAAAAGGTTTTCTAAATCTGCTAAAGACTATTAGACATACTCGTTTATTAGTAAGTTTTCAAGAGCGTTTAATCTTTAACATAAGACAAACGTTTTGGAACTTCCACGTGTGCTAATAGTCTCTAGAGACTTTTAGTCGCCAAGAGGGGCCTGCTTGGCTCTTTAAGTGGCAAGTTTATTTGTAGGTACTACTTTTACGTATCAGCGTGTTTAGTCCTCCATTTAAGAGAGTAAAGTGTCACTGTTCCTAATCTCTCTAACAGTTTGAAAAGACTTTTATTAATCTTTAAAAGATCTAAGCTTTCATGAGCTTCTCCAAGAGTTTTAATAATTGCCACAGCTTTTTAGTGATCTTTGGAGTCTCTAACTTATCTAACAGATAGTTAAACTGTAAAAGCCTTTAATAATGTCCTTTTTTTATAGGTACCTGAACCTTGAAGAACATTTAAACGCCTTTACGGGGTATAAAGGTATCCATGTGCGTTTAAGGGCCTTTTAGAGGCTTTTAGAGTTGTCGTCAGTTTGTAATGTAAAGAGTCTACAACAATCTTGATTTTTAGACCCCAAAGATTTGCAAGGGCCTCTAAGAACATCCCAAGGATTTTCTAGAGCGTTTGAGTTTTAAATTGATTTTCGTAGTCTGAAAGTCTTCAAAAGCTTTAAAAGCATTGTAAGACCATTTTAGAGACTTGTCCTGAATAGTCTTTAAAACCTTTTATGGGTCTTTTGGAGCTGAAGGTACCTACTTCGCCTATCCAGTCCAACACTGCTTGTTTCAGAGATTGCCATACTCAAAATCAAAAAACGTCCCCTGTACTATGAACTGCAGTAATATATAACGAATTCTTTTCTTATACTTATCTGATAGGTACAATACTTTTGAACTCTGAACTCCGACACCTATTGCATCACTCTTGCTGTAATTGATTTGAATTTAAGCGCATTGTATGAACGTGGCTGAAACGAGCACAAATAAATAAATAATTGTGTCCACTCGTTACAGGTTTTCAAAAATTACTTTAGAAATCTGATCTTGACCTAGTTAATAAAGATTTCGTTTGGGAACCTATGCTTTCTTACAATCTTATGAAATTACCATTTCACAATTTCTGTTGACGGTACTTTCAAATATGCTCTCAGTCATAAAAAGGTGCGCCTTTATTAGAGGCATGATTTCAAGTAAGGAAGATTTCTTCAAGTTCTAATTAATTTACACCGCAATTCAGATCGCCTTTATTAAATGAACCATCTATTTCGATTGAATGGACTTACATTTTATAGTTATCGTACTAGAAATGGTCTTTGAACTAACATGCGCTTATCAGTTATTTACTTATTAGTGTAATTAAACTTCATACCCCCAAGATAAAAGTCAGTTCCCCAGCGTCTGTTGTAGATAGAAGTCTGCAAGCAGTGCTATAAAAGAAAATGGAAAATTATACATCATCGGACAGTGACTCCGAATCTTTGAACAAGGTTTTGGATTTTACCCACCAGCTATTAGAAATGGAAACTCTCGAAGACAACCTGGAAGTATTTGTAAATGACGAAAAAAGGACTGCAGAAGAAATCGAAACTATAATTTTAAATCACAATCATCTCGAAACGCTACCGTTCAATTTATTTAAGTTCGTTAATTTAAAAACGTTGGACGTAAGTTATAGTGGACTTAGCGTACTGCCGGACATCTTCAAGCACACATCCATCACGACCTTCGTCGCGAAAAATAATCATCTTTCAAACAAATCGCTGCCGAAAACGTTCACAATAAACGCCAAAGTGAGAGAAGTGAATCTCAGTGGAAACGCGTTTAGTGCATTTCCGGAACAGCTTCTCGATTTTCCCAACCTAAAGTATTTATATTTGGGCTCGAACCAAATAACGGCGATACCCAGAAAAATAAAAAAATTGAAAAGGTAAATGAGGAACTTTTAGATCATGCACTAACCAAACAATTCTAGTTTGAACGTTCTGTGCATGGGAGGAAATTGGTTAGTGGACGTACCGGAAACGGTGGGCGAATTAGTTAATCTTCAAGCTCTAGTTCTTTGCGACAATCGAATAGACACGTTACCACCAAGTATCGCAAGATTAAAACACCTAAAGTCTCTTCTCTTGCATAAAAATTTGCTGAAGGCGTTACCGCCTGAAATTGTCGGACTTAAAAATCTGAACGAGGTAAATCGCTTTTTGAGTACCTAATGTGGAGAATCATTGATCTTATTGCAGTTAAGTTTGCGAGACAATCCGTTGGTAGTGCGGTTTGTCAGTGACATGATGCATGACCCAGGAAGTTTACTAGAACTAGCTGGCCGTACTATCAAAATTTATGGGATTGAGGTCAAACCTGGGGATATTCCTCAAACGTTAATATCTTATCTAGAACACGCTCATCGATGCGTTAATCCTCAATGTAAAGGTAACGTTAATTTTTCTTCTTTTCCTTTTTAGCGCAATGAGATGTGCGCCAAGTACCGTCCTTTTTGTTTAAAACGGTAATTGACGTCACTAGATTTGGTTAAATCGTTTTCTATTTTTGTCCAAATACGATTGGATTGGTCTAGCAAACCCGTGGCACATAAAAGAAAATTCCCGCATGGACATGGGAATAGATGCTAAATGGTAAAAACTATTCTTGATTTAGCTTTATCGCAAATGATAACGAACTAGTTCAAAGCAATGCACTATTGCACCACGTATTTCACCTTTGGCTTTGAGATTAGTTCAGAATGTTAATTTGGAATGACATTGCAGATGTGCACAATATTGCGTAATTTGAAATCGAATATCATGCACTCTGGCGTGTTGGAAATACTATCGCGTATTTGCATTGAACTATCTCTCTTAGGGGGTATCGTATGGGGGCAATGGGACTAATGGCCTCATCATTGAATAAAAAATTATAAATTTTATTTAATTTAATTAATTTAATTTATATAAACAATTATAAATTTTTTTATTCAACGATTACTATACATATACCTCAAGCCCTATGCTTAAACTCTATTTTTTAAATCCTGAACTCGTTTTTCAAACTTGAAGAAATCTTCAAAAAACTGTTGCATTGTTTTCTGGAAGCTTTCTTAAAATGTTTGTTGAAAATTCAAGAACATTTTGGAAACATTTTTCTGTATTTTGTATAGTATCTTCTTGATACCTTACTAATGCATAGGTACCATACTTCTTTTATTTTGAGAGTTTACTGAACTGTTTAATTTCTAATTTTTTTTTAAACCTCACGAATTATTTTGGAAGCGCTCCTAAAATGTTACTCCACACTTAGAATACGTGTACCAAATTTGGTTTCAATCAGTTCAGCTGTTTAGCCGGAAATGAGTTTCACATACTTGTGCATGCGCGATTTTGCCCAAAAGCTTTTTAAGGGTTTCCTTTTATGTCTAAGAAGTTGTGTACCAAATCTGGTTCAAATCGGTTCAGCTATTTAGCCGGAAATGAGAGTACAGACGGACCGACATAATCGACATTTTGTTTGATTCGGATTCATGATAGTTCAAAATGTATATTTCCCTAAAAAAAGTGGGGAGTCATTTTTTACACCAATGCAACCTCACCTACTAACGACAGACTAACGTGCGAGTGGTAACAACCAATGTCACCAATAACTAATTATACAAGAAATTGAAGCTTAACCTGGCAATAAGCACACAAAAGCGTCACTAAACTCGAGAGAGCGTCCGCCTTTCCCGGCGGTTGAAATCAAACTGTCCGCAGGCCAACGCAACACTTAATATTTCTTTTACGTGTCTGCCATGTTTCTTTTCAAATGGCATTTGTTTTGATACCGCACTAAATGTACATATATTTCGCAACCTGATAAAGCATACAGGGTGTACCTAGCTGTAGAACTATACGGTCTACGCACCTAAGGGATTTCAATGGTAATTTTTTTATATTGAAATATTTTCTCTCCTAATTATTTTACATTTTGGACTCGATTTTTAAAGCCAGTGGATACCAACATAAGTCGGTAAGGAGGTACTCTAGCAATCGACGAAACACTGTCCCGACTACACTCCCAAGCAAGAGTACCAGTATCAGTTTACCATATAATCTTTAGGTTGTGGTGTATTCTTCTATACCATATATATACCTACCTTTCAATATGTACCTACCTATTTTTCGAATTTTATAGAAATGTTTTCAAAATTCCTTCCCCAAAATAGCGGACCTCTGATACGCAAAAATGGCAGATATGGTACCTTCATTATGTAATCAAGATTATGCAAATAATTAGGGATCAAGTTATCAATATGACCTCGTTATAAAGAGCAAATGGTTAGCGTGCTTACATCGTTTTATTGAAGATAAAATAAGGTGTTTGGTCTACAGAATTTGAAATACTAAATAGGAAATGCCACGAAATCGTGGAAGGTGATAGAAGGTTTTCGCAATAACCATAGAACTTCATATGTAGTAGCCAGTAGGTATCATTGAGTGCTATTTCATTACTCAATGGTACTACCTAACCCAATGGCATCAATTATACGTACCTATTTCAAGAAGTTATTTGATTTTCGTTCGAAAAGTTACCCTGCAGCTGCCCTTCGTTGGATGACCACGCAAAAAACCTCTATGAATTAGTTACCAAAATTCATAATGCGAAATGACATTTTTTTAGTTGTTTGTCCATCCACGGCTCCACCAGTTCCGTGCAGTCTGTAGACACTCAAAAAAATATTACGTACCAGTAAAGAATGGCGTTTAATCCCCTCTCAACTCACATTTAAAAGTTCGTACCGTAGCGCGATTGAAGTGTAATCTCAATTGCTTGTACATTGCATTTTCTGTCGACCGCACACCATCGCCCAGTGTCGAGGAGGTGCGAGATAAGGTTCCTTGTGTGATGTAAAAGACGGCTTACGCTTACAGGAGGTTTGGCTGTTTATTCCCCGTAAACACCCGGTAGCCCGTGTGGCGACGCGCCGCTTGTGCATCCGGCAGCAAACTAACACTTGTTGCACTCTCATTGGTCAAAACGGCCACCCGATGAGAGCGTAGCGTCCCTGGCTCAAACGTTTAAAAGCAGAGCTCCGAATTCTGCAAACGCAATTCTTGTTTGAACGGCGCTTCAAGAAACAACCAGTTCGACCTCGCACCACGCAACACCAGCCAGAAGACCCACATCCGCGCTCACTTCGACAACGGCGCTCGCCGTGTGCACTTCGGCTACCATTTTGCATACAACAGCAACAGCATTTTATTTAGAATCGCCCACTAAAGCCCGTTTTTGTTCTAGAAGTATTTCTTATGACAAGAAAAATTGGGAAAGTTGTGCTCAGACAAAAGCGCCAAGTTTCCCATCAAAATCAAAATTGATACGTTCACTGAATCATATCTTCAAATCAATAGATAGATAGATTAAAATGATTTCCCCGTGAATCCGAAACATCAAATCGCGCGCCTAATTTCGTTTAAATTTAAATTAGGTACAAAATAAAAAATATACTTATTCACTATACCGTTTGGTATACAGGGTGGTGACTTGCGTCGCGCATCATAGGGATTTCAATGTAAAATTCATAACATGCCATTATTGGCTCCCCAAATTATTTTAGAGCAAAAATGTGTTAAGGTTTTTTATAGACAAAAATTTTTTACGTCAATCAACCGCGTTAGTTTCCAATTTTTTACATAATGAAGACAGAAAATTGGAAAAATAAAACCTGCATCTTTTTCAATAATCTGTGATGCCATGGAATTTTATAATACAAAAACTACAATATCCGTCATGCCATGGAATGTCTGCTATAAAACAAATCAAATTCTATCAAAAAGTTTTATATTTAGAACAGCGAATTCAACATAAAGAAAGACCAAATTACTAAAAACGGTTTGCTAATACAACAATTGACAGTAAATGTTCGAATAAGTCACCATTAACTGCAAGACAGTACCCAAGTCGATCATAAAATCCAGCTGCTAATTGACAACTTGACATCTTTTTGTTTTACAAAATTCCATGGCATCGCAGATTATTCAAAAAGATGCGGGTTTTATTTTCGCAATTTTCCGTCTTTACTATGTAAAAAATTGAAAACTAATAATAATAATGTATATTTTGCCCAACAGATGAGTATCCAATTAACGGACAAAATTCATATAACAAATAAGCAAGCAAGTAACAAAAAGATTCAAATTTTATGAGACAAACTCAAATTGGGGAAAATACTTGTCATATCAATAAAAGTTCATTCTTTAATAATCTCACAAAAAAATTTAAAATAGTGCTTTCCATTATAAAGAATGGTCCTGTTAGACCTCAATAGATGCACACCACAATAAATAATTTTTAACGATGTAGATTTACTTAAATTTGTTTAAAGATCTTTTAAATGCTTTCACATAACTAACAAGAGAATATCGTTTTTTTCAGCACAAACTAGTGAAATTAAACTAATAAATTAAAAACAACACAACTTCATTTTAAAGTATTCCTTTCTCGAAAATTAATTATAGAATATAGGTTTTTTTAATTGCAGCTGAGAATTAAAAGTAACAAAATATACATAATTCAAACGAGGCGCGTCGCCTATAACTGTGTTTCAGCACTTTCAAAATACGACATAAATAATAAATTCATTGTAAAACACTTACAGAAAAACAGAATTTTATACAGTCCGCCCCTGAATAACTCAAATGTAGAATTTACATACACAGTTACCAGCTGCAGCTCTTCAAAAGTACATTAAACTAATCATATCCCTTTATTATACAAAATCATCCATAAATTGTCGTACCTATCCAAGTCCTTAATCCCATCAGTGAATGTAACCAAAGAGTATACAACGAAACTCTTTGATGTAACCAAAGGAGAATAGTCTGATGTAACTATACAGGCCAAACGTGTCTGCTATATCTAAATGATTTATTGAATACAGGATAACTCAAATATCAGAATTGATACGATTATATAACCAACCCTGTCTCAAAAACAAAACCACTTGTTTTACTCACGTGTAGTAACTTGACCCTATACTGTACTTGACCCAGGATAACGCCATCTATAATCAGTTGCAAGATAAGTCAAATTTCACTCATAAACATATCGGCACAGTTTGTAGCAAAAAACCAGACAATCTGAGAGTAATTTCCAGTGGTTGTGCATTTATGTACCACATACTTCTAATCCAAAAACAAGCTTTTTGTAACTTTTAAACCATCGGAGCAAGGTCCTTTATCAATCATTTCCCACAAAAGTACTTGGGTTTGAACTACATTGCTCTAATGCGAATTTTATTTCCAGGCGTATTTTTCGACAATCGTGTAGAACACATAAAATTCGTGGATTTCTGTGGAAAATATCGCATTCCGTTATTGCAGTACTTATGTTCGTCAAAGTGCATTAAAGACAGTGAAGAAGTTGTGAGGCCGAATCGCAGCTACATGGTGAAGAAAGTGTTATTAGGTTAATCGAATTAGTAGACAAATTGTAGGGAGGAAGGAACATTTCCTTTATAATAAAAATTGTTGTATATTTGAATTATATTTTAAATATTTATATATTGCATTGTCAATTAATTAACATACAATAAGCAAAAGATATTTACAGCAGAAAACATCGATCTGAAAAAGAAGAACCTGACAATTATAATATTTAAAACTTGCACTAAGATTATTTATTTGCAGTTTTGATCTAGCAACAAATTACATCGTGATTTGGAACTCTATACTTTTCTATGTGTTTTAAAGGCTACAATATGGAACAACCAAAGATATTGCCCAACTAATATTAACGGTACTGCGATAATCTTAAATCAGCTTGATACAGGACGAGGCGTATATACAAATTTACAATAATTTTAATTTAGTCTACATAAATAATTAATTACATATGTCATCTCTAAGCATCATTACAATTACAACTTATTAATTAATAAAATTTAGGAATACATTTGGTTGTCCGCTACACAGCGTACTTTTAATATTACGAACGTAGCATACATTGTGCAGGATTTCAGTAATTTTGTTAACCGTCTAAATGTACTATGTCTGTGGTGCCTCTATATATTTAAACATTTCAGGGTTTCCACTTTCAACCTATATACAAATGAACGCAACAACGCAAATCGGCATAAAATTAACGATATTCCTAAAATTCGCCCATTTAATAACAAAACAAAAAAAAAGGGAATTATGTCTATGGCATTCATAGAATGCAAATTTTGTGGATTTAGTTTTGATATTAAATTTCACATGGTCAAGTTTTTAACGAAACGGCCGAGAAGTTTTACAACAATGAAATCCTGGCTTATCGCTGTTAACAAAAATTGGGTTCAATAAACCAGATTTTATTAATGAAACTTAATCTATTTGATATGTTGCAAAAATACATTTTCTTCTATCTACAATGATCACAAAAAGTCTCTCAACTAAATCTTCTAATTAAGCATACCGTTTGAGATTGAAGACATCTTCATAGTACTAATTAAATTATGACCATGTTGACAAAATATCGAGGATGTAATCAAGCCTTTTCACCATTCAGCTCCCGTCACATCCTCTACCAACATTAAAATATCTAGAAGCTATCCGAACCAAAAGGTCTTGATCCCCGGTTAATTAGTAAATAATGGAGAACTTAAATTAGATCAGAAACTACCAAATTCTTCTCATATCTCAACTATTATTTTTTCAAAGACACATAACCTTAGTGCACGCTGATGAAATAGTCTAATCAAAGCAAAACCCTACCTTATGCCTCCACACCTGAACCTCATGCCAATTAATATGAATAAAACAAAATCTTTGGCATAAACTATAAACTTCTACTTAGGATCTTTTGATTGTACAGGGTGTCCTGTCTAAATAATATTGTTTGTTTGCCATATGTATGGGAATGAATTTTTAATGGGACACTCTGTAGAACCCTATATGTATAGCTGGTGATGTGACTGAAAGCATATACACTTTAAGTTCCCCATTATAGGAACTTTATACTATTTTTCATATGAAGTGAAGTAGAGATAAAGATTCTAGTTACTAAACGAATGAGAATATGAAGAACACCTTCAACACATGCATCGATGGTATGAAAACCACATTACATTACGAATATAAATACCTATTCCAAACTAAGTTTAACGTCACTATATAAGAGGCAAGAGGCTGCAAATAATTTTTTTTTTTATTGTAAGACCGTTAATTTGCATGCAATGCATGTAGAAAGCGAAACTTACGATCGAAACTACGCCTTTTTTTGTCACTCCGCTTCTAAAGCACAAGCGAACTGTATTTTAGGTTAAGTTCCATGTTATTGAAACACTCACTTTATTGTGTCAAATCACACATAGGGTAGTTATTCTATCTAATTAAATACACTGAATAAAATTCAACAGAGTTACGTCTGTCTGTTTAGGATTCATCTATCTTTTTTTCCCTTTGGGCCAGGTAAGTCTGTATTTGCAAAAAAAAATTGTTTACAAGTCAAATAAAATTATCGTAAAATTTAATGTCGCATTAAAAAGATTGCAAATCAATCAATAAAAGACTTAATTTAATAAGTTATATTCCGTCTAAAATTATATAAAATAAATAATAGACAGCACTAACAAGATAACACAATTACCAGTTGAATAAACTATACAGTGTCGAAAAACGTGGTCAATTAGAAGTAGTTTGTGAATTCGTAAAATATTAAAAATGAAAATTTAAAAATATATAGCGATAAAATATAACAAAAAAGAAACTATAGTGTTAATAATAACAGAAATTACCTATACATAACTCGAGACCAAATTTTGCAACACTGAAAATTAAAAGAAGGATAATTTTTTGACATAATTATTCGCACATTTAAAATGATACTTTAAAAACAAGGCATTATATATAAATGCCAACTATAAACAAATATTCTGTACAATGCACTATATATTAATCTATAGTACAGCTGTCCCAATAACAATCTGACATAGATCGTTTTTACTAAAATACAATGTTAGCTTTAAAATAAGTCAAATGCACTTCATTCTTCCGAGGGAGAAGAACAAAGCCACTTACCCTAAAGCAAGATATTACACTATTTATGCTACACCCGATGCGGTACCTTGCGATGGGGCCGTCGGCGATTCGTTAGTATCTGCAGTACCTGATGCGCCACCGTCCTGTGGACTATTTGCAGTTTCCGAATTCCCCCGAGGCATTAAAATGGAATTTAGGTTAGGTTGGATGCTTAACTCTGCAAAACAACCTCAATAACTCGTGAAAACTATTATCGTACGTACCTTGCTCTGTAAAGTTAAAAAGTGGAGGTAGCTTATTTCCATTCGGCAGAAGGGTGTTCGGCTCTCTCAGTTCGTTAAAAAATTGATGCGCGCAGGCCTGTAGCGGACTGATACGCGACGAAGGAGTGTATTCCAGCAAACGAGCGACTAGTTCGATCGCCTCGGGCGGCGTACGCGCGCGGAAAACCTGTTGACAGATCACTTTCTAGTTTACACACATACGTGCATCACCTGCATTATTCAGAAAAAAATACTTATAACTTAAAAAAAAAAGCTCACACCCACACGACAAATAGTGTTAATGGATAATAACAGAAAGTGGAATTGATTACTCCAACATTCACTTACACGAATTCTCTGATGTTCTGTGGTGCATTTGGGTAGCGACATTCGCGTCAGCAATAACTGCAAATAGACGTCCCATTGAGTATTTTGGAAGCGGTACTGCAATAGGCATCCAAGATATTCAACACTTGTTAGTATGTTATGAGTGAGAGACAAAAAAATGATATATATTATACTTAGCATTTTCGGATCGTCTTATTTGAAGTATTTGCGGACACCTAACAACCTCCCTTTAGATAAACTGCCACTATGGTATGGGGTGTAGATCAGGTGGTAGAGAGAAACACTTTTTTAAGTAAGGTTTTAGGTGTAAAATGTTCCCCTTGGGAGTTAAGCTCCCCCCCCCCCCCCTTCCAATCACATAATGTATCTTTCTTCTTTCTTCTAAAGCCAAAAAAATGCCTATAGGCATATTTGATTTGTGTATACGTTGTCCAGGTCGTGACGTAACTTGTTTTTAATCTTGATGATAGAATTCAGTCATATGGAAAAACTGTTGTTCCTTATTCCTAAGTACATAAAGAGTGCATCGTCCCAATTTAATGACTGTCGAGATTTTTGTGATCTTACCAAGAATTGCAGTTAATTATTTTTTTCAAATTTACAAAAATTTTGGATGTGTTAACTTTCATTCTGGAAAACTCCAAATACCAGAGTGTTTTTACACGTTTATTATTTAAAAACGGTGCACCATATTGAATTGGAAATTTCTGGAAGAGATTTTTTACAATATCATAAAAGACATACAAATTTTTTTAAAATTTACTTAATTGTTACACCCTGTATAATCTTTCAAAATACCATAATGTGCAGCAAAAAAGGAGGTTGAATATGAGTTTCTAATGTGATGATTTTAGTGTGCTTGAGACACAATGGTTGTGTAATTTTTTGTTCCGCAGTTTTACAATTTTTTACAATTAGATGGACCCATGTTGAGTACCATACGGGTTTACTAATGTCTACACGGCGCTGATAAAGATAAAATTGTGTTTGTCAAAATAGTTTTCGAATTTGGAATAATATGAAGACCCTGATAAACTTTTTTGAAATTTTGAACCTGAAGTACAGGGTTATTCTGTATATATAGACAGTGCGTAGCGCGTTCATTGTAAGAAATTTTCAATACAAAAGTTGTGGGGTTTATCATAAATTGCCAAGATGTAAAGTAAACACGCAGAGTTACTAAAAAATGCAAATTTGGTACATTTTTAATGGAAATTATATATTTTTATTTGTATATTTTAAAAAAATGGAATACTTGTTTTCTTTTTAATTTCAAAAATATATAATTTGTTGACATTTGTATTAGCCATTTTTAAAATATTTGCAATTATAGTATATTCTCAAATTGGTTTACCAAATCGCAGTTGCCATGACAAAACAAATGCCAAATATTATGTTATTAATTAATATATTATTTTTATCCTGAAAATAACCTAGACCAACTTTACTTTTTAATATATTTATTCAATAAACAAAATGTACTCAAATGTTGGATATGATTACAATACATTTTGTGTAGTTTTTAGCTAATTTACGCATAATATTGCTAATAAAAAACTCGGGATGTTATTTCAAACGCCACCAAAGCAAATGTCTACACATTAATCTTTTTTAAATCAAAAAGAAAAGATCAATTCAATCTTTGAAAAATATACAGGGCGTTCCATTAAACATTTTCCAAATTTGTATTTTTTACTTTACATTTTCTGGAGATTCATAATAAACCCCACAACTTTTGTATTTAAAGTTTTCTCCTTGTGTGGCTTGTGGCAAAAAAGTTATTACTAAAAGAGAAAAACCTGGAAAATAGTTTGAAGTTTCTGAAATAGCCGATAGAAGGCGTAACTACACTCTTGAATCTAAAAAAGTGAAGTTTCTGGAATTCCGCTATATTAACCCAACAAAAAAACAACTGGGGCCTATTTCATAATGCATTTTGCATTTTTCAGATAATATTTTGGTCCATAAAAGTATTTTGACACGTGATAACACTCGAAATATGTAAAGTAGAGATGAATAACACACGCCAGCTACGTTTACTACAATATTTTATGAAACAGATATCTTTGCACTTTAAAATTATGCAAATGCAAAGTGACAAGTGAAAAGTTGCAAAGCTGCATTATAAAATAGGCCTCTGGTCTTTAAGTTAAGAATAATCTGAACCTTTTTTATTTGAGAATTTTTGCTGTATCTCTAAAAATAACGTGGCGGGGGGTATTCAAAGGTTTTGTAAAAAACACCTTGCATCTTCGCAACGGCGGAACCAATTTTAACAAACTTGGACTAGTTGAACAGTGCTACAAATATTAATATTTGTGTTTTGTTAGTTTCACATGTCGCCGTTAGAGGGTTTTTTTCGACATTCTGACAGAAATGGTTAATTTTCTCCAACAAATGAAATGCTTTGATATGATTTTCTTAAATGAAAAAGTAGCTAAATGATGCCTAAACAAGCTTGCAAAAACCGCATCTCGATATCTTGTTTTAACACTTTTTTTTATTGGACGAGTATTTCCAATTTGGGTTCAAATTCCGAATATTTTAAATGTAACTGCTACAGTGACAGGTGGGTGAACATATAACATAGAAAAAAATGAACTGAGACAATTGTAAATGAGTGTTATTGGTTTGATTAAAGTGAAATGAGGTGTAAGCATGTTTATAAATGCGACGAGTAACATCGACCTCACAAAAATTCACGCCGTACAAGCACACAAAATAAAAAAACACTTACCTGCTGCCACGGATGGGATTTGATTTGAGGAAATTTAAATTCAGTATAATTAGGATTCATCTCCCGTATTTGCTCCCTTGTCGGAGTACCGAGGACTTTAATAATTTCAACTAGTTGATCGACGCCGGAATCTCCGGGAAATATCGGTTGGCCGAGCAGCAGTTCGGCTAACACACATCCGGCGCTCCAAACGTCGATTTTAGTCGTATAATCTATGGCTCCGAATATAAGTTCGGGCGCTCTATAATAACGACTACATATATACGAAACGTTCGGTTCGCCTTTAACTAAATGTTTAGCGCTTCCGAAATCGCACAGTTTTAATACTCCCGTTACGGGATCTAAAAGTAAATTTTGGGGTTTGATGTCCCGATGACAAATACCTAACGAATGTATGTAAGCCAGTGATCGAAACAATTGATACATGTATAACTGTAAAAGAAAAGAAAATTAGCCTTTCGCATACGTCCCAAAACAATACCTTAACCTTAATAAAGCTGATTGGTATAGTTTGCTTCAATTTACTATAATGCCTTGCCACCTTGTAAACCGTTTCTGGGATGTATTCTAGCACCAAGTTCAGGTACACCTCATCTTTCTAAGGAAATAAAAAATTCAGTTTAGTACATTTTATTATGCCACAGTTTCGCGTTAAGCCCTAATTTTTCTAAATTAGTAGATAGAGAGTCGGTCTTCTCAAACCAGAGAAGCCCTTCTCTACACTATTTAAATTACGGCCACTGTACAAGTGCCTATACAAAAGTATTATTGTTATTAATAAAAAAAAACAAAAGACATTAGCGTGTGTTTCTAGGAGTCTACGTTTTCGAGGTATGAATTTTTCTTTAGAAAAATAGAAATAATTTAGTCTTCAACTAAAGCTCTAAGCAAAGATTTTACAGCATAGCAAGGGGTAGCCGCTAAATATGGAGTTAGGACACAAGCACGTCCATACCTGCTCCAATGTGCCTAAGAATATGCTCATATCACATGGTACTTCGGCACGCTACACATTTAAAATACTTGTAGTTGTTGAAAAAGGCACAATGTATAATGGCCGATGATAAGAGATAATTTCGAATATTAACTGTTTCCACTTTCATATAAGACATACTGGGACCATTTAAGGACAATTTGGAGATGCATTCGATTCAAAGAAAGGAAATAATGTGATCCCTCTCACGCGCATGTGCATCAATATCAATTGTCAGAGCGTCTACATCAGTAATAGAAAATAAATATAAAAAATAATAGAGAAATAAATCTAAATTCTAATTAAAAAATGTCGCTGGTTTTTATTCTTGTATATTCACCGTATTTACTACTCCAACTCCAAACAAGAGTAGATATTAAACACAGATCAAGTGGCCGTTTAAGAGAAAGAAAAAATTTTGAATTTTCTTTTTTATTGTTTGTATCAAAAACGGATGCTTATCCTATCCCATTTATATAAAATATTTCCGAAATTCGCACATTAAATAACACCCTTAAATGAAACTGTACAAAAAATTTGATCTGGATGAAACTTAAGTATTTGAAAATTTTTTAACAAAAAAATACAGGATCTCTAAAATTGCATTTTGAAAATTAGAACCAAAAGTCCAACCACAATCAACCAATCCTGCGCAAAGGACAGCCTATACAAATATCCAATAAAAATATGTGCTCTCAAAGTCCTAAAAAGTGTACACAGTAGTCTGGTGAAGAATAGCAGTAGGTTTAATCACCCTCAAGGACTAAATTATGTCGATCAATATTCCTTTGTAGCTTAGTTATGGGATGCACCATCATAAAATAAAAATTTTGAAAAAAATTTGGGAACACCCAAGATCTACAAGAAAAAAGGTAATGGTGAAGTAATTCTCACGTTGGTGTATATACAAAAATGTTTTTTCTTAGTTCTTTGTCCAATTCAATTATCTTACGAAAATAATAGGTCACGCAAAGGGAGAACAATTGCATCACATTATACGGATGCAGAAGTAGAAAGGTAAGAGCGAAATTTTTCAAGACTGTCTGGTACCAGTGACTTTATATGTTTTATATGAAAGCGAATCGAGCATAATACTACTACTATCAAAGCGTAACACAGTTTTCAAATGACACAGATGAACTGATTTTTAAGACAGCACTTTGGTTGTCACAAGGGCAAATTAACTAAGTTTCCGTATATATAATTTCCTGATTGTACTCATACATATAGCAACATACTCAAATAGTGAATGTACGCACAATCAACAGAATAACATTCCCACTCTCCTTAATATTGCATCAATTCCTGCCAAGATCCAGAGTAGTATAGCGCTTCCTTCAGCCAAAACCCGTATAATAAAAGTGTACAGTGTGGTCCGTTAAGTGTGCAACAAATAGAAATGTTATATTTTTGGACTACCCTGTATACTGTTTAACTTGCAGTCATCCTACTTCCATATAAAATACACTGTATAATTTTAACCATTTCAAGTTCCCTTAACCATTTATTTGCAAAAAGTATAATAGTCTAAGATCCCACATAAGGTCAACCTTCGCCCATTTGTTTACACATTTTATAGCAATCTTGATAATATGTAAACAAACACATTGCAAATTGTTGGCCTAAAAAAATTGAGTCAAGACTACCCATAATTAAACTTAATGTAATTAATATTTCTGTCTGCTTTTAACACATGGAGAGAGCGCATGCGCACTCTCTTACATCGATGCGTATATCCGGCCTTCTCCTTCATACATGCAAGTGTTTTTTTAAATTTCAGAATCTAATAATTAGATTGGTTTCAATGTTACCATTAAGTTCAAAGATTCTAGACGACACCAAATTTTTCCTGCACCATTGTTCAGAAGTAAAGTTGCAAAATTTGTAAACAAAATCAGAAAGGGTCTACACAAAAACCTAATTAAAGCCTTGAGAGAATAAATTAAAGAAGAAACGTAAACTTTAGGCCTTCTGAAGCGTCACATTTTTAACCCTTGAATTAGGAAAAATATGTGTTACTACCCATTCTTAACACATTCCACTCTGTGTATGTGATCCCGGGCACATTCTGAAATACTTTTATACATTTACTTAAGGGGCAGCAATAAATGTTTCGCCAAATATTAACCCATCCATAACTAGGAACATTTCCAGGGAGGTAGTAAATGTTTCGCCAAATATTAACCCATCCATAACTAGGAACATTTCCAGGGAGGTAGTGTGGCAAGCACGACGCTCCTCAGTGGACTATTATTACCTCTGTCTCTTAGTCTTTTTCAAAAGTATTTTCAAATTTGCATTTTGTTCAATAAATTTACACATACCGCTTCACCGCGAATGTGAACAAAAGTATGTCTGGAATAAGAGCGATAACAAAGTGTACATTTCGATAATAGCAAACGCTAGTGAGACAGGATTTTCAGATGAAGAGGAGGATTTTCAGATGAAGAGGAGTGAGTTGGCACGTAGTATTTGTGTGTGAGAATTTTATTTTCGCGTAATTGTGACTATCCGCGGCTAATTTCGCGCGAATTAATAAGCGCGTTGGCGAGATACTACGTTGTAAAAAAGCGTAAATGGTAAATCGCGGACACTTCTCTAGTTTCTCGACCGCGCGTCGAATTACCAGGAGACGCCTTGTTGCGTCCACGTACGCACGAGAAAATCTTGTGTGAACAAATTCTAGACAAGAATATTGCCGCTATTTTTCAATCGCGCCGTAAAGAAGTTACCTTATTTCGTAGCACGGTCGTTTATTGTCTAGTGATAAAAAATCTACTCGCATAAACAATTCTGAGCAGTATAAGTTTTTAAAACCAAATTGCGAGTAATTAAAATCGCCTACAGTAACGCCTAGTTAAAAGCAAGTTTCTCAAAGTTGAGCGACGTCGTTGGACTCGTGCGATAAATACCATCTTGTATACAGCGGCATACGGCAAGGAATTTAAAGACAATTAATTGGTGCATTTTGCCAACAACACAACCCAATTCATAAATTGGGCAAAATTAATATCAACATGACTTCGAGTATTACTCTCGCGAAATTGAAGCCGGTTTAATTTTGTTTGAAGGAATTTTAATATTCCTAAAGAAATCGACCTATGAGAACCATTTGCATGGAACAGATTTGTATTACATTTATAATTAAGAATCGAAGCTGTTACAGCCCATGGAACTCCAAATACAATTTGTACAAGACTGAGTCAACACCAAGTAGGAAATAATGCCAAAGATAGTTTATTGGCAGACCTGGGGATCGAACGTGGCACCAAGGTGTTGTAGGCGAGTATCAGTAACATACTGCCTCCTCTTATTTTAATATTCCTGTAGCAAGTAACTGCCTTTACCTTATTATTTTTGCCAAAAAAAGGATATGTTACCCATATCATAAAATGATTGCAAATTTAAATGGCAAAACTACATGGTAGATTTACTTACAGGGTGGTTATTTCTTTCCACAAGTGGTAGAACCTCCCAAATATGTACAAAAATTACCTTTCTCCAACAAAGCTGATCGTAAAAGGACGTTTTTGTGCAGTCATTCCCCCAAACCAAAATTATTACCAAATTCGTAAATAAGTGCGTTTTAATGTTTTCATAACAAGATTGGTAGATACCGTCGCAAAAAAATAAACTCCCTCCGGGTCAAAATTGTGCTGTGGTGTACAATCAAAAACATAAATTAGTAATGGTAGTAAATCTGTGTCAAGTTTGAAAACTGGCAAACAAAAATGCCTATTTTGACTGTAATATTTAATAAAACTGAGTATAAATGATAGTAGATTCAAAACAGTTGCTTGAATAACACTGTAAGTTATGCCACCATACACGGTGCTATAACAATACAGTTGAGCAAACGTTTAGAACCAGCTACGATTGTCATTGAACGGAATTTAATTTAAATGAATCATTCTCAACTAAAGCTGGATTACACTAATTCGATACAAGATTATTTCGCCCGATATTAATTCTGAATGTTATGTTTGTCTCTCCAGTGGTTAAAACGTTAAGCCATATTGATCTCTCCCCAAGTTGCTGACAGCTGACCATTCTAAGAATGGCATAACGTCAGAAACAATTCAATTGCAAAGAAAGTTCTATCCCACTGACAAGGATGCACCTACTAATCAATACTTACGATATGTAACTGAATTTGATTATTTATGCTGCGAGATAAAATTGTCTGAATGACGAAACAAATTCCGTTCAAGTGACTGTTAAGAGAGTACTTAACTAATTATTCTTAAGATGTTTACCTTATCGCCACTAGAATAAAAGAAATATTTTAATTTAACTATGTTACAGTGCTCTAATTTTCTCATGATCTGAAGTTCCCGATTCTAAAACAGAACAGTATCGTAAACAAGGATTAAAGTTGGCAAATGAGGCACTTACCTTGAACCTCTTATCTTGAAGAACTTTTTTAATTGCAACCATTTCCCCGGTGTCTGACAACTTCGCTTGGTACACAACACCAAAGCTGCCATTTCCTATAACTTTAGTATCTGTATATGAAACCTCTTGCGGTCTATCGGGACCTTGTCCAGGTGTGGCCACTACGGTTGTCACTTTGCCCCCGTCCTTGCCTGGAAAAAAAATGGGAAAAATTACAACTTGCAATCTCGAGGCAGTCGAGATTAAAGAAACTGCGCGCTTCAAATTGTACCTAAATAAGTAACTTTCTGTTTTGAACACCCTTCTTCACCTTCATCAATAGAATTGCTTTTCCTGCATTTTCTCGATTCGTTACTCGATGATGCCATTTAGAGATTAATTTTTAAAAACTAAAATGGAAGTTACATCCTGTATGTTTGATCTATTAATCTTACACCCAAAAAATTGTACGCTGTTGTAGTGAATTTGAAATTGTAACAGTTCACATTAATATACAATGTTTGACAGATGACAACCTGCAACTTGCTTTAAATTACTTGCTAATTAGTATGAAATTAGATTCGATTTGAAATTGATGAGTAGGGAACGAAGAAACATATTGGTATTGATTAAACAAGAAAAGTTTCTTTCTTGTACTAAATTATTCATCAAATTCATTCATTCTACTACATTTCGGTTGGTGAGTTGAAGTCTGAATCTACGATTACGTTTGGGATGAGTTTTCAAATGTACATTCGTTTGAGAAAGCTTATGAATTATAGAAAAGCTCTGGGAAAACTTTCAAGTTGGATTAAGTATTTTTACCTATACTTCGATATGAATGTATTAATCATTAGTTTTTAATGAATCAAGTGGAAATATGACAGAAACTAATTATATAGAAAAACTTGGTATTTTTCAAGAGCAATAGTCACAACTCACATGGCAGGTCAAAGTAAATGAAAGACTTTTGCGCTTGTTTGTGTAATGGAAAATTTTTTCGTTTGCTACTCTCACTTAATTAAAGCTTGAAATTTTTACACCTGCTTAAATACTAAAGTAGAAGGTGTAATCAGTTCTAGTGCCAAAAGCTCAGTTGCAATTTAATGGTTCATGAGCATGAGCCCTTTCACGGCGTTTTCGCATCATAAGGCCGCGCGAGTTATTTGGTATTTTACATTTTTCAAAAGTTGTCGAAAAATGTACAATGTGCTCGTAAATCGATGACGCTTTTCAAATTACGAAATGTGAAAATTGCTATACATAAAAAACCCTCACGTGATTAAGGGGTTTTTACGATGAAGATTTTTGAGCTCTATAGGCAAATTTACGAGCAAATGTATTACATCTTTAGGCGACGTTCGTACTGGGGCAATTACGATAAGCGGTTGCGACGATATTTCAGTGTAAATATCTGCAGAACGGAGTGTCGGAGGAGGGTACTCTCAAAGAGGGGAAAGATCGTCTAGACGAGACACATCTATACTGGCGATGTTAAAACTTAATTGTGAATAACTTTGAAAGTGTTGGAGCAAAATACATAGTTACCTACAAAGGGAAAATGCAATATTTCGGAGAAGCTCTCTAAGGGCTTGATTCTTAAATATTCGTATGGCAGGAAACCTTTAAATGTTTATGTGTAAAGAGCCGTCTCCCCATTATTCATCTACAACCTATACTTGTTCGTTTTAGACGTTCAGTGAAACCTATCGTTCGCAACGTATTGGAAAAAACTCCTAATTTTAACGCCTCATACTCAAAATGCCCCCTCGCACTGTACAATGCAATGTTCAAAAAAGTAAAGTTGGATTAGAAAGGGAAGAGGCTCCAAATAAATACATTTTCCCTATAAATTAAGAAATGTACAAATATGAAATTTACAAAATACCTGTACCATACTTAGTAGGTGATAGTTTTCCAGTTGACCTCGGAGCGAACCGAAGCAAATGAACCAAAAAATACTCCAAAATGTTTCGGTTGAGACACCAAAAGTTTATTTTTATTCTGTCATCTTTTTCTGAGCAAGAGCTTTTAGGTATTTTGGGTATGCTTTCCGATTTTGTAAAATTGATCTCTTTATTTGATAAGCACCTTGGGAAAAAACGCTTTTTTGACGACTATTTGCAATTGGATTAAAAATAAGAACATAAATTAAATATTGATAGGAAAAATATTTGAAAATAATTTATTTAGATACTTCTTAAAAAATAGAGTAGGCGTAAACACTTTTAAAAAACGTCACATTTTGATTCACAATTATCTCAGAAATCCAAAAATTTTATATATTACGGGCAAAAAAGGTTAAATAAATAAAATTATTATTATTATGGTCGGTGTATCTTGTGAGAACTCAGGTCTAGCCTGGTTAACTAATCGCACGGATTAAAATCAAGTAACGATTAGTGTCTGTGTCTGTGTCTGGTAAAGTTATGTAGGGTTCTAAAGAAAAAAAATAAATAAATAAATAAATAAATAAAAATAAAAATAAAAAATAAAATAAATATTCACACACTCACATTGGAAATCTACGGATAGTATGTAATTCATACTTACCAACATAGCTATTAATGGCCCCAATAGTCAACGCTATCAGGAAAGAAGAAAACAAAACAAAAATATCATTATAATAATTCCTGTAATTTTATTAAATAGAGTTTATTGTGTAAGTGTTTCTTTGGCTTTGCGTTTGGGTTGAATACGAGTGGGTTGTGATAACGTGGTGTGTTTCTGCGAAGAAGGAGTTTTGTGTTTTTTAACTGTGCTAGGACGTGTAACTTTATTCAGTGGACCTGTCTTTGTGGTACATGTTGCCTTACTTGTATTTATGGCGTTTCTTTGTTCTTGAGGTTGTATTTGTGTGGTTGCTTGGGTTTTTGGTGGAGATATTGCAGTATTTTGTGAGCTAGTAGTGCTGTTTAGGTTTTTGCGTTTGGGTTCAATACGAGTGGGTTGTGATAACGTGGTGTGTTTCTGTGAAGAAGGAGTTATGTGTTTTTTAACTGTGCTAGGACGTGTAACTTTATTGGGTGGACCTGTCTTTGTAGTGCAAGTTGCGTTACTTGTATTTATTGCGTTTGTTTGTTCAGGAAGTTGTGTTTGTGTTGTTGGTTGAGTTAAGAGTGGAGATATTACAGTATGTTGTGTGTCATGTTGTGAGTCTAAAGTGCTGTTTAGGCTTTTGCGTTTGGGTTGAATACTAATGGGTGGTGATAATGTGGTTTGCTTCAGAGGTGAATCTCTGAATGTAGTATATGTTGTATCATTTGTTGTACTTGTTTGTTCGGTAAGTTGTATTTGTGTGTTTGTTTGGGTTAGAGGTGGAGATATTACAGTATGTTGTGTACCTTGTTGTGAGGGAGTGCTGTTGTTTACATGTATACGTTGTGGATCATTTCTGTATGTAGTATCTTGTGTTATGTTTAGAAATTTACGAACAATATGGCATGTGTTGATAATGACTGCTTTTTGTAAATGTTTGTGTGTGTTTTTGTCTAAACCTAATAGTTGTAAATTGTGGTGTATTGTCTTTGGTATAACTCCGGTAGCACTAAGAATAATGGGAACTATAACAGTAGATTTAATTCTCCATTGCGTCTTAAGCTCGATAGCTATATCGGTGTATTTGCGGTGTTTTTCTGCATGTGTTTTAGTTAAGTTGTTAGTGTTGGGTATGGCAATGTCTATAATACAAATGGATTTTTGCGTTTTATCTATAAGTGTAATATCTGGTCTATTATTGTGGATAGTTTTGTCTGTGAGTAGTGTCCTGTCCCAATATAATTTGTGTGTGTTGTTTTCAAGTATGATCTGTGGCGTGTATTTGTAGTATGGTGTCGTATCTGTTATGAGATTGTGTTTAAGTGCTAATTTTTGATGTATGATTTTAGCTACCTGATCGTGTCGATGTTTGTATTCAGTTTGTGCAAGTCGTGTGCATGCCGATATTATATGTTGGATTGTTTCTGATGTTTGTGAACAGAGTCGACAAGAATCGTTTGTCACTGTTTTGTCTTTATGTATGTGTTTTTTATAGTTGCGTGTATTAATGACCTGGTCTTGTATTGCTAACATGAAACCCTCAGTCTCCGGGAAGATATCACATTCAGACAACCAAGTGTGCGTTGCTATAGAATCAACACAATCCTGACTAACCTCTTGCGGAAATCGTCCATTTAACGGCTTTTGGTTCCATGTTTGTATGTTATTTGTGATGTATGTAAGTTTGGATGGAGGTGGGAGTATATTAGTTTCGTGTAGGTTAAGTGGTGTGTAAGATTTGTCTGCATATGTTACTGTTTTGTGTAGGCCTGAAGTATCTGTTTTGTTATAAAAGTATTGTCCTCTACCTCCTTCCAAACGAGGAAGGTAAAGTCGTATAGTAGAGGAGTGAGCTGTGAGGGTGATGTATATGGTGTTTTGTTAATAGTGTACGTGTGTTTCTCTGTATTTGTCCTAAATCTGTATTTGTCCAACGTATAATCCCAAAAGAGTATGTAAGCACTGGTGTGGCATAAGTGTTAATAGCTTTGATTGTATTTCTACCGTGTAATTTTGTTTTAAGTATACTGCGTACTCTTTGTAGGTATTGTGTGATAAGTGTTTGTTTTATACTCGTATGTTTAATGTGTGTGTTTTGCTGAAAACCAAGATACTTATAAGTTTCATTCTCGTCCATGGAATTTATTAAATTATTATTATTATTATTATGTATACTTAAAAAAAACGGATAAAACGCATGGACTAGATGGCTATAATAGGCAACCAACTCTACACGAATTTGCTTTAAATGATAATCAACGCCTGCTATGCAAACATTAACTTGATTATTCAGTGTCAAATTAGGGTTACCAATTAGTCATTATTTTTATTATTAGCAGCAAATTGCGATTTTTTTTACACACAGATGTATATCAAAGACGATAAGGTTGAAATATTAACACGGTAGGAGAGCGGTAACAGTTTAAGGACTGTAAAAACGGCTCCAGTTTATCGCGTGTAATGTTGGTTGCCTACAGTAATCTGTTCCATGCCGTAATCCTAAATAGTATCATGATTCCATGCGTTTGATCCGTTTTTTTTTAAAGTATACATAGCCCATATGTATACATTTAAAAAAAATTCCCTGTATATAAGAAAGTTGACTTGCGCACACTAATCAAAATGTTTGTTGCCTCAGGTGCCAGAGCGGTAAGCTACCTAACACAAAAAGAAC